CCCTTGCCCACGCTCTGTGAGCTACCCGCACCCTTTGCGTCAGATGGACTTGAACAATTTAGCACTTGCCATCTCCGCACTATGACTGAGCCCACATTCTTTACCGATGATGAATGGACGGGGTACAGCAGCCTAAACGTTGGAACACAGATCCGATTTGATGGAGTTGGGGGCGACAACAGTGATGTAACAAGCAATCACTTAGACGAGTTCCCTAACAGCCACTTTCCCTTTCAAGTGGAGCGTGTCATACGCTTCCAGTTGGTTCAAGAGTGGGATAACGGCAACATGTACCTGCTGCAGTCTAACTATTTCCACACGCAAGCTTCTCTCCATGCGCTTCGAGTAACAGTGAATAGAATCACTGGACGCCTCAAGATCGCGCGCAACAATCTTTTCCACTCACACTGGCCAGTGCGCGATGCGGTCATCACACCATTTGGGATAGTGGAGGCAGTGCATGTGCCGGGATACTGGACGTGGTTGTGGAAATGCAAATGGTCTGAGACAAATGCTTGATGTCTTGGTTGAATACTTCAGGGCACCTTGTCTGCTTGCCTTCTAGTGTAGCGAGCGTACGCCTGCCTACCTGCTAAGCTTAGATAGTCGCCTGCCTTTTAACTGAATTTACCACGCACTTCCTTCGCCTAGTCAGCCTCCTGTTCCTCAGAAGACTAAAGATAGCCTAACCGCCTGTCACGTAAGCAATCCATGATGCCTCCGACCAGGTCTTTGAATGACTGTCAAAATTCTCTGCTGTCACTCGCGTATCACAAAACGAATAACAGTTTGATCGTAGTAGGGTAAGCTTGCGGGAACAAATGCCTGAGGAGCTTGCACTTACAGAGCAAAAGATGGGAAGACGCTAGTTGGTATTGATCCTCGTCGAAAGACGTAGGTTACACCTAGAGATGCTGCCTGAGCTACAACGCACGTTTGCTACGTAGGGAAGGTCAGCAAAGGTGCAGTACAGGATGTTTTTTATGCACGTACACAAGCTGCGCTGATGCTGATCTGAGACCATTCCATTCGTTTTGTCAAATTGACGTCTTCGTACTGCGCTGCTTTGGTTACTCCTTCTATAGATTGAGTAGACAACAAGGCCTCGTTTGGATCTGTGCTGAACGCTGTAGACAAAAGTGGGCTGCAACCGCCAATGGCTAGGTACATTGCGCTGGTGAAGATTGGGAGAAGCTTCATGCTGACTGTAGGCGCAAAACAAGGCCTTTGGTAGTAGGATGAAGACGTAGACGATCTGGTTGTCTCGACTTGCCGGCTGTTAAAGCTTTATACTACATATCATACTAGAAGCGGACTTATGCTAGCTATCACAGACAGATTGTGTGGCTGTGTCTTCTCCAGGCACAAGCTTGTGCAGCGGCATTGTCTGTACCCTGTTCCTAGACGTACGGCGTAGCTTGTAGCTTGTATCAGATTTATTCGGTGTTGTGAACACTTGTCGCCTAGAGTTGAGCGGTCAAGCAACAAAAAGAGGCACAGTGCGACAGAGTGAGACAGCAGTAAGCAGGCAGCACTGCAACACCGCAACACCCTAGCATGGTTACAATATCAACAATCCCCGAGAAAAGGAACGAGAAAGGCGACTAGTCCTGTAATTTCCTTGTTGCGCCCTAGGCGCTGTTAAGGCTGACTTGGGCGGAAGCTGTTCAGAGCACTGCTGTATAAGAGGAGACATCCCCCAATTCAAAAATAAACAAACAAAGTCCTTTCTACTTCCACAGTCTCTAAAGACCTAAGCCTTGATTCGCCCGCCTTGACTACTACTGTACCCTGCTCCCAACAAAGATGCGTTTCTACGAAGCCGTCGTCCTCCTTAGCCCTCTCCTTCTCCCCTTGGCTTCTGCTGAGTGCTACAATGACGAAATCCGAAACACAAACACCCAACTAGCACACAATAACATTCGAAATGTTGCCAAGTTCCTACAGGGCACGCTTGTGGGAAGACAGGAGCGTGGAACCTGCGTTACAGACACTGCAAACGGCAGCCAGTGGTACTTTGGCATTCGGAGCATGACGGACTCAGAGCAGCAAGTGACGGAGAACGAGATCGACGCATATCTTACCCGAGAGGTAAATGGTTGCAAGAAGCATGGAGGATTTCGCAGGGAGGGCAATGTGGAATACAAGTACGTGTGCCCCAATGCAGATAGAGACAAAGGCATTACACTAACAGCTGGCTTTCAGCGCCGATCCTAACAATGGTGTTTGCTATGACGCTTATTATATCAGTCAGCACTCACGCAGACAAAGCGCCGCAGCGCAGGGTAGCAAGGTTGTCTTCGTCCCTATCTCGGGCCCCGTACCATCCCGAGCGGCGATGCAGGCTGAGGAGGTAGCAGCGTAGAGATGCATAGTGGACAAGCGCTGCTATTGTTCCAGCAGTAGCAATTTAGAAAGTCAATGCTACCTTTTGGATTGTTTTGTATTACTATCGCTGTTTGGAAACAACACGTGTCCTGCCAAACTGTAGTATATTGCTCCAGATACTATAAGTGCACGTGCAATGTGTTATTTGAATGTCCGCCGCCTGAAGTAGCTTACGCAGACCCAGGTTGTTTGAGCGGGATAAGACAAAGGAACAGCAGGAGGGACAAAGGTCTCCAGGCTTCTACGACAAGCTCTCAACCGGCCTTCCTCTAGTCTTCTGCGGCGATCTCTCTCTCGCTGCAAGACAGAGAGAAGACAAAGAAACTCCCTAAGGATTGTATGCAAACAAAGTAGCAGGGCAATAGCGCAAGAGACCATATTCAGACATAAAGACGTTTCTGCCCTTTTGCTGCGCCACTATGCTTCTCGCGTTCCCTAAGCGCCGGCTACGCGTCCTGTGCGTGGGGCCAATACGCCGCCTACGCCTCTCTCCTTGAACCCCGATGCTGTGCCTGCGATCTTTTCTTGTAACTTGCTAGATAACCTGGCGTAGAAGACCTGGTGTCGCGAGAAGGACCGAGGGGGCGCAGTGTCTGCGGAGACTGTCTCCCTAAGCGCAGCAACTGCACAGACCTGTGGTTGCGTCGTATTGCCAGCAACATTCTAAGAGAATCACCAATACTACTCTTGAGTTCTTCCCAAGGGCTGCATTTGACTCTAGTCTGTCCTTCCTCCTCTGCAGCACAATGACCGCTCCCTCGCCGCACGTCACTACACCCGCAGGCAAAGCCTCAACAATGCCTGCTACGATGTCAAATTCCACTTCTACTCCACCAGCCTTCCGCTTGTCGCTCTACGTGACGCTTTCTTTGGTCTTTATAGCTGTTGCTTTCCTTCTGTGTGCAGCACTTCTTATATCCCAACATAGAAGGCTGAGGAAACAGGATAGAACGCCTATCAGACACCGCCAGAATCCACCACCTGTGCCTAAGAAGGACCTGCACATATCGAAAGCATCTGTCAGCTCGTTTGGATGCGCAATAGCATATAACAGCGTTGCGCGTAGCAGCCAGGTTCATGGCCACTGGGTTGCTCACCCCAAACGAGCCAGTCAGAGCGCAACATGCAGCGCGCACCAAGCTCTACAAGGCACAGAGGCGCTAGAAGCTGTGCGCACGCCGTACCTCCATATACAAGAGCAGCCTATTGCCATAGACGAGTCGCCAGTAGATTGTAGAAGCCCCTTCCGGTGGAAACGCGAGCCCACAAGACGACTTAGCCTAGACTTGGAAAGTGCTTGGCCTCGACCTTTATACGCCGCTTCAATGGAATGGGAGCAGGAACGTTTGCTTGCGTTACGGCTGTGGAAGAGCCCTAGCGATGACTCGAGTAGTCTGTATTCACGGCCGAGTTCGTGGTGCAGTCTCCCTAACACAGAAGAACGTGGAGTAGAGGGCCTAGGGTCCAGTTTAGGAGCGGGACCAGGGCCAACGATCCGATCAGGTGCAGTTCCCTCGCGTAGATGCAGCATACCGCCCCCTGCTCACACGCAAGAAGGGCTCAGTTGCGAACAGGGCTCAGTTGCAGACTGGGCACTGCCAAGAGAGATGGAGTAGAAAGTTCGCAGTAACCTGCAGTATAGTACGGCTCTGGCCACGTTTCACCCTCACAGTTCCTGCTTTCAGTCGCACTTTTTCCACTTGACATGACTGAGCGCTAGTTGTGCCTTCTCCGTGTAGAAATCCGAGCGCTGGCTCCGCCACCTCCTTGCGACGCTGTAGGCACCGACCGTGCCTTGTGCTGCGCTGGGAGGCTTATGATCCCAGCAACTGCAGTCTGCGCCCGAAGCTCGACTGATGTTCTACAATCATATAGAGGGGACTGACCTCCTGGTTTACAAGCAGGGCGCCGCTCTGCTGATCAACGGCTAGGAGTATTACGATCCCTCAGACCTCCCAAACTGCAGACTATAACTGTTACTGCTTGCACCGCTGAGATTCCGCTTGACTGCAGAGTACCTTCCCCTGTATGTACACCTTTTGCGCAACAGGTACTGATCCTGACATAGAGAAGGAAGCCATTTCGCGATGCATTCAGGCACAACGATCCACACTGCCACAGCTGTGCGTTTCATCTCGGTCCGACCTGTGTTGATTCAGATTGCCAGTCGGTCTCCGCGATGCCGCCCATCGACTGATTTGCTTCCTGACAGTATGGTCCCTAGCAAAGATATCAGTATTCCATAGGACTGGGATAAGGGCCTGAACTTGGGCTTCCTCCTAATTCTGTCGGACAGCACCATCCCAAAGACCTGAATCTAGCACTACGTTCGCTCCTGAAGCGTCGACATCCTCATGAAACCAGTAAGGGGGGAGCTCCTAGACATCTACCTTGCGGTGAGGCAATTTAATAGGTGGTTGGCCCTGGAAGGCACAGCTAGAGGTAAGATCAAGGGAAGAAGACTTTAGATATCGATGTTGAGGCACAAGGGAGGACCTGCAGTGTGCAAGAGATAAGAGACGCAGTGTGCAAGAGATGAGAGACGCAGTATACTTCTATTCTAGGCATTAGTCACCTTACATCTCTTACAATTGTACTACAACGCTCTATCTAAATACTATTATAGCTGCGAAATACTAACCTTAGAAACCCTACTGCATTTTTGCGTAAGCCTCTTGGTTCTCAACATCTATGCAGAAGTTCCTCGCGGCTCTGCAGCCTCAGATCGCTGTTCTGCAGGCTATCTTAATTCCCCTGCACTACTTGAACCCATTGCAACTCTTGAAGCAATTGATTGCTTACCCCCTTGTGCTCCATGCGAATTCCTACTCCTACCGCGTTAGTCACTGTGCTCGATAAGGAGCGTCTTTCTTCAAATGTCGCCTTACCAGTCTTCTAGCCCTGACCCCACTAGTACCTCTATTAGCTTTATTACTTACCATAGCTTTTTCTTCTTATAGCTGGATGGCTAGGCTTAGTGTATGAGATATACTAGGTTATTATTAGTAAAGTACACGTCTTTGCCGCTCCAAGCCGCCTGGTGCGCGTTGCTGCAGTGCTTCTGCATCCTGCTCTTGTTCGCGGTGCAGAAGCCGCAGTCGCTGGTGATCCTGCATCGATAGACGTCCAACGGCTCGCCCAGCTGCTCGATCGGCGGCCCCAGCGGCGCGGGCAGCTCAACATCTCGCGGCGCGGCGATCCGCCATTGCCGGCAGTGCTCTACGATGCATTCCCTCTCCTTGCTCGCCACGCCGTGCTGGTCGCGCAGGTGCACATCGACGTTCTGTATGCCGGTAGCGTGCTCCCTGCAGACTAGCACCTGATAGCGCTGGAGGTAGCAGAAGCGCTCTTGCACGTTGCTGACTGTTATCTTGCTCGCACGCGGTCGCTTGCGGTGCTGCGCTGCGGTTGGCGTTGCGGGTGGCTGCGCGTTCCAGCAGAGCTCCATGCTTGGCGAGTTAACCCTAAGAAACCCTAAGATGACCCCAAGTGCAGCAACGCAAGCCGAGAAATGCAGAAACAAAGGCTGGGGCGCGATAGAGCAGATGATTCTCGGCAGGTTTTGTATGGAACACGTCGCGCAAGCAGCGCAGCTTGGGGGTATGATCGGGGGTCGAAGGCGCGATGTTCGCCCCCTACGGCGGGCCCGATTTGGACGCGCAACCCTAGCGCTAGACCTAGTCTGGCGATGATCGGGCCCGATCGCGCGCGTCATATCGGTTAGGAAAATAAGCTATAGTATTACTTAGAAACTTTATCTACTCTATTCTTATATATTTGCGCGTTATACCTATTCTCTCTATACTATCTATAGCATTATTAGGATAGTTTACCTCCTTTAGCACGCACCTGCTTCTTTACCCTCTTACTATTACTATACGCCCTAAACTTCTATAAAGTAGTTAACTACTAGCCTTCTTTAACTATAAGGCTTCCCTTAGTATAAATATACCTTCTTTTATATAATTTTTATTATATAGTAGCCTTATTAGCTATTTAAAGCTTACTAATTTTCTATTATACTAAAACTAGCTTATATATAATAATTACTACTCCCTTTAATACCTTCTTAAACGCCTTAACTATTAATATAGAAGAGCTATCTATATACCTCTAAATCCTTATCTTTATAAGTATTAATTATAACCTAAGTTCTAGAGTATTACTTAGAGTTTATAACTACTAGGGCTTATTATTTATAGAGAGTAGTAGTAATAGAGTATATAGCTTTATATTAAGGGTTAATATAACCTACTCTAGGTTATAAGGGACTAGTCCTATACCTTAGAACTCTCCCTAGATATTACTAGGGGTAATAGCTTTCTTATAAGCTGCTTTAAAGTATAGCAGGAACTTGTACTTTATAATATAGTTAATCTAGTTATATATAAGCTTATTAACTTTATCCTTATATACCTTCTTTAAAGGGCTAAAACAAGCTATATTAAGGGGCTATAGGAGATATAATAAGTATATAGGCATATATAGAGTTATAATCTTATAATCCTTATAGTATTACTTAAATTCTATAGAGTTATAGCTTCTATAACTATTAATAATTAGTAAATAGTAGGTACTAATAGTATATATCTTTATATGCCTATTAAAGTGCTTTAACTAGTTAAAACTAAGCTTATTAGTAGTCTAGCTATTTTTAGAGATAGTAATAGTCTAATCTTAGGGCAGGTTATTATCCTTATACTAGTTAGATAGGTGTTAGCAGGCTTTAAAGATAATATAGGGCAGAATAGCCTATTCTATAGTATTAATGCCCTTAATAACTATTACCTACTCCTAGTTACCTAGCTAGACCTACTTTACTTATTCTAGCTTCTCTATATCTATAATAATAACTCTAGTAGATATCTAGCCTATTATAAAGCCTATCTTATTAAAGTTATATATATTATTATCTAGGATACTATACTTAGCTTTAATATTAGCTACTAGGCTAAACTAGCCCTAGATTACTATAGAATTCTTATAGAGGGCTTGCTTATAGTTATACTTATAATTAAAGACTATTTTAAGCTCCTCCTAACGCGAAACAAACCTACTAGCCTACCTTAGGCTAATAGGGGCTAAACTGCGCTTTTTTTATAGAGAATTAGCTATATTAGCTATAATTATAAGCTAAGAGGACTCTCCTTATATAACTAGCTTAAGTATGCATATAATAATTATCTACTTCTTAGCACTAGTTAGATTATATAAGTTAGCTATAGTATTAACGCATAAAGGTTATTCTATATATTAATAGTCTAGTATAGTTTAAGAGACTCTATAGATAGCTATAGCATATTATACTAGAAGTTTTGCATCTTATTTAAGAGCTTAAAGCGCAAGCTAGATCTAACACTCTTTTAACATATTAAAATAGAGTTAGTAGGGGGGCATTTAGATAGTAATAGTATTTTAGTATAGTCTTAGCAAAAGTAGCCTACTTAGTATACTAGCCCGCTTGCTATATACCTATATTAGTAAGTACTATATTTTCTTACCTTTAATTACTTTTCTATTATAATCTAACAGCACTAGAGCTAGTTTTAAAATTTAGTCTAGTAAGTTAAGGTAATATATATCTACTATTAATTCTTAAATAAGAGTCTAGTAGTTAATTAAATAAACTTATTAGTAGCTATTATAAGAATCGACTATTAATATCTCGAATCTTATAAATAAGATACTACCTAACTTAAATAACCTCTAACTTAGCTCCGGCTCGATCCTAAATTAAGTCTTAGACATATCTATAGCTATCTAGAACCGACACCCCTCTAACTTAGTCCTAACTTACCCCTATTAATATTTCTTATCTATTCGTAGCTAACTAAGACTTATAGGTATAAAAGGCAGGCTTATAGTAGTCTTAGAATAGATAGTTTTTAAGTATTCTTTATATAAGACCTATAGGAATAAGATTCTCCCTAGTTATCGACTTTCCTAGTGCTCCTATATACCTTATAGTAGAATCGGAACTATATTAGAGGATTTTATTACCTGCGTCGTTATATTATACTTAAAAACTCGTTCTAGCCAGTAACAGCCTCTAAATAATATTATATTAGTGTTTAGTTATAAGTAAGCAGTCCGACACGCGTCCGACTATACTACTCCTAGAATTGCTTACTCCTAGTTAAGATACTAGAGACCTCTTAATAACTAAAGCCTTTAGGTTTAGATTATTACTTTAGAAAAGTCGCGTTAGATTGCGCTACGGTAGATATATAGAGACTACTAATAACCTACCTAAATTAGACTTAATATAATATTAGGCATAATAGCTAGTCCCTTAACTAGATCTTAAGCTAAGTCTAGAAAGGGCAGGTCCTATAAACCTCCTTCTAGTTTAGTCTAAGAATAACCCCTACCTTTAGAGGAAAGCAGGTTAGAATTAGACTACTTATACGCGGCATTAGCCTATAAGATTAGTCGGTTGCGTTAGGAGCTAGCTAAACTTTATGCTAGTCTTTATTCTACAGACCTTCTCTATCTCTCTACTAAGACCCCTAGACTGCAAAGAGTCTAATAAGCATCTAAAGCAAATACTATCTTTATAACTAGGGAAAAGCTAAGTAAAAGAACTTCTAATATTAAAGTACTTACTAATAGGAAGAGCCTTATCTTTTAGCAATAGCGAGCGTTAATATAAGATTAATTAGAGATTAACTTAGATTACTATTAGTCTACCTAAGCTTATATAGCCCTTATTTAGGGTTATACCTCTAGGTTAGCTAAAGAGTACCTAGAACCTTAGTACTTATTAGATAATAATAGCAACCGTTTCTATACCATAGAAGAGATAATATTACTTCTATAAATATACTTTATTACTAGAAATAAGTAAGCAGAGAGTTAAGCAATTTTTAATAAACTTTAAATAGAAAGGAACGAAACTTTCCTAGCCTTTAAAAGTTATTTTCTTAGCTCGGCTATTAAGAGACAAGTACCCTAATTAGAGTAGTTTTATTACCTATAGACTAAACTTACTCTAGCCCTTTAAGTACCTAACCTAGGTTTTAAATAGTAATAGGCAAACTCCTTTCTATAGATAGTAGAACACCTTATCGCCTATAATATAGAATAAAGGAATAATCTAATAGTAACACCTCTAGCTATTGCCTAGCCCCTGCCCTTTAGGCCCTAACCCTAATTAGACCTAAAGCAGCCTGCTATACTATTATACTAACAAGAATATCCTAACCTATCCTATTTAACTATATTTACGCGCAGCACCTTAAACCTATAAGCAACGCTAAGCACACTAACGCCTGCAAGGGATCTAACGCCTAGTACTTGCTATAACTGCGGCAAACCTAGATATTTTGCAAAAGAATGCATGATGCCTTGGGTGCGCAAAATCGAAGTCGAACAAGAGGAGTTTATAGACGCTAAGAAAGATATAGATAAGGACCTAACACCTATAGGAAACAGAGTTGCCTAAGAGGATTACTCTACTTAGGCCTAAACTAATATAACCTCTTAAATCTTTTCTTGTCTTATTTATTTAGTAGACCTTATTTCCTTTTAGAAACCGTGCTATATTATAAGGGTTATAGTATATAATTCTACTCCTTAATTAATACTAGTGCCTAAGGTTTCTTATTCTTAAATTCGTTAATTGCAAACTCTATTTTAACAGCCCTCTAAACCCCTATTTAGAAGCTACCTTTCTTAGTATAAGTAAAGGGTTTTTAGGACTAGATTATGTCCCCTATATCTTATTATATCTAACTCTATATAATTATAGATAGATAGAAGATATATAACTGCCTATTTATTATTATTAATTTAGGTTCTTAAGATTATATTATTAGGATTAAATAGTTGCGCAGGTTTAAACTTAGACTTAATATAGAGCGGTCTTAGTTAGTTTAGCCTGCTAAGTATTCGAAATCCTATAACCCTGCTCCCTCTGTTTTAATAATATTATATTAACCCGCAGTCTCCTCTAATATATAACTAGACGTTAAGTAATAAGATAACCTATAGGATATAGACGATTATTAATAGGCGTTAAGCCTATTAGCAAATATGCGTCGTATGCGAGGCATAACCTCTATGCTAAAATTTTAATCTTAGCCTTTAGCTATAGTAAACAAAACTCTAATAACTATACCCTAACTCCCTTCTATACTATATCTATCTAAGGTTGCTACTATTGCATTCTTGTCTGCAAATGCCTTTTATTTTGCTATGCAACAACCTTAAAACAAATTCTTTATTACTAACTTATATAAAATCTAGCGATTGCTAGATAACTACTAAGATAACCCTAAAAATGCTTATCTTCTACGCGATAAGCTGCTAGCTAGATATCGCTAATATGCTAATATATTTAATAAGATAGAAGCTAAGACACTACCGCCTTATTAACTATATAATTATAAGATTGTGTTAGAAGAACCCTTGCCTAACTTATACTCCCTATTATATAAGCAGAACCTTAAAGAACTTAAAGCTATAAAGAAGTTTATGCAAGAATAACTTAAGCAAGGATAGATTAAGTATAGTTAGAGCTCTTTTGCTTCCCTAGTCTTATATATATATAAACTAAATAGTAGTCTGCAGATCTATATAGATTACTAGAAGCTTAATAACCTTACCTATAAGGACTTATATCTAATACCTTGCATAGATAAATTATTAGCACGCCTGTTAAAAGCTAAGATATTTAGCAAATTTAATATCTGCGCAGCATTTAATTAAATCTAAATAGATCCTACCTCTAAAGAGTATACTATGTTTTATACCTAATATAGCACCTATAAGTATAAGGTATTACTATTTAGCCTTTGCAATAGTCTAGCTACCTACTAATAGTATATAAATAATATGCTTATCGATTATTTAGACGACTTCTACATCGCGTACCTTAATAATATCCTAATCTACTCTAAGAACAAAGCAGCTTATAAGAAGTATATTAAGCTTATTCTTAAACGGCTTAGATCTACTAGTCTCTAAATTAATATCAAGAAAAGCGAGTTCTATATTACTAGAACTAAATACCTAGGTTATATTCTTACTAACACAGGTATTAAAGTAGACCCTAAGAAGGTGCAAGTCCTATATAATTAGAAGCCCCCTATAATAATTACTAGAGTTAAGTTATACCTTGGTTTTACTAGTTTCTATTAACAATTTATGCTTAAGTTTTCTTAAGTTACTAAACCTTTAATCGCGCTCTAAAGCCTAAGTAATAAGTTTAAGTAGATAGAGGCGTGTTAGACTAGTTTTAAGTCTCTTAAATAGAGTCTTCTAGCTATACTAACCTTATATTACTTTAACCCTATATACCCTATAAGGATTAAGACTAACGTATTAGATAGCGTTATTATAGGTGTCTTATCTTAAGAATACCTAGATAAGCGATAGTACCCTATTATATTCTATAGCTGCGTTCTAGCTAGAGCAGAACTTAACTAGGAAATCTATAATAAGGAACTATTTACTATCCTCTAAGCCTTTAAAAAATAGCAGGTAGAACTAATATTAGTTATAAGTTAGGTCTAAGTATGCTCTAACTACTAATTCTTAGAATATTTTATAGTTATAAAGGTACTAAATGCGCATTAAGCCTATTAGGCAGAAGTATTAAGCCTATTTAATTTCTAGATTAAGTACATGCCTAGTAAGCAGAACAAACGCGCTAATATCCTAAGCTAACGCGAATAAGACTTAAGTAACCTTAAGGCAGCCTAGCTAGATAATCGATCTTGAGTATTATTAGGCCCCTACTAACTATACCCTAGCATTAACTCCGACTTAGCTAAGCAATACCTAGAAATAGCGGTAGTAATAACCCTTGCCTCTATAGAGAAGAAGATAGAACTTAACTTACTAGAATTAGTCGAAGCTATTCTTTAAGCAAACTATAATAGTTTCCCCTAGAAACGTTAAGTTCTACTAGAAGGGTATTAGATATACTATAGGCTATTATTATATAAGAACTATCTATGCGTACCTATAGATCCCCTACTCTGCACCTGCCTCCTTTGCAAAGTCTATAACTAATTATCTACTGCTTACCTAAGTGCTAAGAAGACATATTAATTATTATTGCAATAATATTACTAGAAGGGTATAAGTACTACTTATAATTGCTATATATAAAACTATTTATCTTGTTACTATAACTATCTAAGATAGACCTAACTCTATAGGTACTTATATCTATTACTAATCCCTAACTAACCTATATAGCATTTATATATAGATTTTAAGTTATTTCTAAAAGACAAAGCTAGATATAATTAAATCCTTATAATTATTAATTATCTTTCTAAGCAAGCTGTCTTAATACTATGCTACAAGATAACTACTACCTAAGGTATAGCTAAACTCTTTATTTAGTAGGTATATTATTTTAGATATACCCCTAAGTTAATCGTTTCTAACCAAGGTCCTTAGTTTATATTAAGCTTCTAGTTAGAATTCTGCCGCATTATTAGTATAAAGGTTAAGCTGTTCACTGCGTATTATAAGGAAATAGATAGTTAAACTAAAATTATAAATAAATATATTAACTAACGTTTACGCCCTTTTATATTATACTACTAGGATAACTAGTCTAAATTGCTTCTAATAATAGACCGAGTTTAGATAATACTACTATATTCCTCTCTAGGAATAACACTATACTAGTTGCTATATAGAAGCAAACCTTGCTAAAGCTAGCAGTAGTCCCTCTTAGAACTAAGGGCGGATCCTATAACGATCCTTAACTAGAAGGAAGCTATAGTATTAGTAACTTAGATATATAACGCTTAGAAAGTAGCTAAAGACAACCTAGAAGCAGCTTAGACCTAGATGCGAATTACGAAAGATATTTACTAGCTCCTAGTAAACTAAAAAGTTAGAGACAAAGTCTTCCTATTAACGCGGAACCTAGCTAACGACTAGCCTAGCTATAAGCTAGCTGCCCTTTAGTAAGGTCCCTTTAAAGTTATTAAAGAAGTTAGTTACTCGTACCGCTTAAGGTTGCCTACTAGCTTAAAGATATATAATGTTTTTGCACTAGACGTCTTGTGCAAAGACCTGCATAATCTACTGCCTAGTTAACCTATACCGAAGCCCCTAGGCACTCCTATAAATAGGGTAGAGAAGTAGGAAGTATAAGAGATCTTAGGCAGCTAGATAAAGCGTTACTAGTTAGAATACTGTACTAGCTAGGTTAGACACAACCTAGACCTAACTTAGTATCCTGCTGCTAATTTTAAGCACGCGCCTTATAAGTTGCAAGTATATTATTAGAAGTACCTATAATAGCCTAGCCCTCTGCCTAAACTCTTATAGTAGTTGTTAACCTAGCAAGAAGAGCAGTAGGTATAGGAAAAACAGTAAGGTTAATTATAACAAAGGAAATCTATAGTATTAGGCGCCTCTAGTTTAAACCTGTCCTGCAAACGCCTAAAACAAAGGAAACATTAATATATATTAGAGCTATAACGTAGCTAGGTCGGGCAAGTCTTCTAACTAGAGTTCCTTGTTAGACAGGTTAGAAGGGATATTAGAGAGCTCGCTCTCTTCGTCCCCTCTGTCTAGCATCTTAAGGTTATCTTGTTATGCTACTCTGCCTCGCGCACAACAACTACCTCTACTACGCTGCGAACCGCGACCCTAACTCCTACTAGCAGCAGAACCACTTCCTTAAGCAGACGCCCCAGCCTTATATGTCTGCTAAAGGTCTGCTACTACCTTCCTTAACGCCTAGACCTCCTCTGTTAGGATACCTACCTCCTTAGTAAGCCTCTCTAACATCTCTTAAGCCTATGCATTATAGGCAGGTTGCGTGTAGAAGTAGTGTAGAAGAATACTAGTTGCTAACACCTTCTTAAGTTATGCAGTTGCTACTTGCATAATACTAGAAAGCTTAAGCGCTGCCTAATAAACATTGCGCTATATATCTGCGCGCACCTTCTCTATAGCAGCAGCTTCCCTAGCTAAAATCCCCTCTTTATCCTCTACTAATGCCTTAACCTACGCGTTAAGCGCCTCCTTAAGAGCGGTATACTTAGGACTAATATAAATTAGAACTTTTCTAGGTTAGTATATAGTTATAAGTAGGATAAGGATATTATAATATTACTAGTTAATACTTCTTATTCTGCTATATGCAGTATGCATACTAGGATAAGGTTCTCGAATTAAACTTCTATTTAATCTAATTGCCCTTTGCTAGGGCACGCATAGAACGAAGGTAGATAACCTAATAGGCTACCGCAAGAGCGCTAGGAGGGACTAGTATTAGCATAGTAACTAAGAAACAAGCCTAGGGAAGGATTAGCAGAGGCCTAAGTTAAAATTAAGGACGTTAACTTATAGCAGAAAGTAGTGTCTGTTAGAGAATATTAGTATACAGGCGCGATTGTTTACACCTTGCTGCTAGCTTAGGCGCTAAGCCTAGTTAGTTATACTAGGGACGCGAAATTGCTATATAAACGGTATTATAGACCTATAAGCCCTCTAACTTAGCTAGGTGCAGCCTTATTAGCTGCTGCTAAGCGCGCGCCGCATATAAATGCAGGGTCCTTTATTAATATTTATATAGCAAATAAACAATAATAAGGCATAAACAAAGAGATAGCAAGGCAGGGCAGAGCTAGCTTAGAACTAAGTTAGTGCAGGGATAAGCGCAAGGCTAATTAACTATATTAGGGATAATATAGCTATAAAGGAGGGGGGTAATATAAGAATTAACTATTAATATCTTGAATCTTATAAACAAGATACTACCTAACTTAAATAACCTCTAACTTAGCTCTAGCTTGATCCTAAATTAAGTCTTAGACATATCTATAGCTATCTAGAACCAACACCCCTCTAACTTAGTCCTGACTTACCCCTATTAACATTTCTTATCTATCTATAGCTAACTAAGACTTGTAGGTATAAAAGGCAGGCTTGTAGCAGTCTTAGGATAGATAGTTTTTAAGTATTCTTCGTACAAGACCTATAGGAATAAGATTCTCCCTAGTTATCGACTTTCCTAGTGCTCCTATATACCTCGTAGTAGAATCGGAACCGTATCGGAGGATCTTATTACCTGCGTCGTTATAGCTATAGTAATAAATAATTAGGTTTAGAGTAAAACTAAGGCTAGAAAGTTCTACTTATTTAATATACCTAGTGCAAATAGTATAGAGATTAAGACGCTAGATCTTATAATCCTTATTAATAGTAGTATCCTAGAGGTGCATATAAATAATAGATTTATGCTTAGTACTTAGGTCTAGAGCTAGTCTTATAGAAGAAGATAAAGTTATTTTTAGAGACGTAACAATTTAGGAAGGTCTAGTTAATGCTTGCCTAGAGCATAGCATCTAATACAATTGTGTATAAGAAAGGATAGACAAGTAAGGGGTAAGCATAACCCCTCCTCTAACTATAATATCTCAACAGCTACAACTTGCATCCCCTGTTTCCTCTCTTCTATCACCCGACGTACGTTGCAAACTGGCACCACTCTGCACTGTTACAAAGTCTCTGTGTTTCTACATCCCGCAAACACATCGCTACAGCCACGCTACCTTTGTCATCCTTTGGCATGATGTACATTAACGACTCAACAGGCACGAATCCTGGTCTCCTTACGGTAATTGGTCTGCCCAAGTCCAGTCCGAAAGTCCATTTGTATGCCTGTATTTTCGTCCACGAGCTGAGCATGATGTCTGCATTTGCTTTGCACCTAGCGGTGAAGCTGATATTACGGATATGTTCAGGCGACTGCGATAAATAGGTCAACAACGACCGTGTTCGGTGTGCCACATCTGACGTATTAATATCGACTTGCTGACGTAACGTTGCTGCGACGTGCCCAAGTGGGAGGCTCAAGAGGTCAGCAAGTGTAAGATGCGTGTACGCCATATTTTGGAGTATCCCGGGGTAAGCCGCATCGATGTTGAGGTAGCGTCTGGCATCAACCGCGCGAGCGAATGTGATGGATTGATCGGGCGGAAGACGCTCTTGTCGTACACGCAGAACGGACTGATAAATGAATGCTGAAAGAGCGTCATCGGTCGAGACGAAGCCCGCAGATCCTCCTGGCAGCTCACTCATTGCTTGCTGCTTGAGCTCTTCTAGCGAGGACGAGGCGAAGTTGAAATAGTTCCAAGAACACTTTGGTGAACTGCTTGGCATGGTGTCAGCCTGCTTCTTCTCAGAGCTGGCGTCACTGCTGACTACAGGCTCGGAGACCAGCAATTGATCATTGAGCTCAGCGCCGTGACTCCAGCCCGCCTGTCCGCACAATGGAACTAGTCCTTTCCTCGCCATTTTGCCAAGCCTCAATTCCTCTCCGGTCAACTGTTCTCCGGAGCAAATCTTGGAAAACCACTGCATGACTGCCGCTTGACCTAACATGTCACATGTGTTGTGTTGCATGTTGATGCACATGACCAAGCCGCCCCTGATGAAGCTCAGTTGCACCATCATTACCGGCGCAAGCTCATCCGCACTTCCTGAAGACCCCCTTGGGCCGAATCCCAACCCAGCCAGTGTAGGACAAGGCGCCCATCGATCCTCTTGAAGCATGGACATGGGATATCCGGCTGCTTCCATTTGCGCGAAGCTCGGTACTGACTCGTCATTGGTATAGTCTTTGACAAGTAGGCGCGGAGTCTCCTCGAATGGTCGAATCTTATATAATGGCGGAGCGGATGTAGCGGTGTTGACATTGACGACTTGGCCAGCTACCCAAGGGAAATGCTGCGACAGCTTTTTAAGTCCTTTGGATATGATCTCGACGAGTGGCGACGGCAATTGCGTATCTGAGCGAGAAAAGACGAACGCGAGCTGTGTGTAAAGTTTGAACAGCGCAGGCTGTGCTCCCATCAAGTCGATGTCCAGATCCATTGTGATTGTCGAAGATTGCATACCTTAGACCATCAGATTGTCAGTTGTATGCGTCTTGTTCACGGCACTTTCCAAGATGCAAAGAAGTGGATGGGCTCTCGAGGTGGACTTTGTTCAAGGGCAACATGTACTTTATCGCTCAAAGAGCGAAGTGAACCCTGTTGTCCTACATGACATCAGGCGTTGATGACAGCCGATGGAACAACAGCGGACGTGCAATATTGATTGAGGTGAGCCACGATTGCTCGAAGTGAGTCACTGTGGCTTGTGGGTGTTTGCACATGCAATTTTGCGCGATTTCGCGCGATTTCCGCCTGTGCAGGCTCTCCCTTTCGGTCCTAGTTAAAGTGGATCCAACCGCAGCGAGACCCCTCGTAATGCAGCACCAACTTGGATAATATGCTGTTTGCGACCACCACAACATCTCGATCCACCAAGCATCTTGCGAATTCTCTCATTAGGTATGTAGGCCCTGCCCTGTGTCACAGACTTCTGAATAAACGTCCAGCAACATAGCCGTTTAGGCCTTGCAAGTCACGCGACTGGTATTACACACGCTGGTCGATCGTAACTCTGCAATTACATAGGGACCTCTCCATGCTTCTGCTAACAATACCGGATTCGGCTGCCGTTTGCGACCCTGTATCAGATCTCCTTTGTCGTCGCGCTCTCAAAATAAGAGGATTTGGCTGTTTGCCGCATAGCCGACTGACACGAATGGCTCAGACAGCCCGCCGTGAACGTTGCTGACAAGGTAATGTCATGCACTGATCACTAGCCACCGCTCTGACTACTGCGTGCAAAGCGTGCAAGGGCACGGTATGTCGTCATAACTAAAGTAGGTATAGTAGGGCTTGTAGGTACACCAACTTTAATCAGCAGCTTGTCGGACGAGTTCACCAGGCTTTCCAACGTTGCATGCAGATCCAACCTCACCACAAAATCCTAACGACCGAGAGGTAGACCTGATGTCTATTATCCCTATCGCTGTCACTGGAGCGACCGGTGGCGTTGGCGGATTCGTCGCGCGCAACCTCGTCGCGCGCCAGCTTCCACAGCGGCTTCTCGTCCGCGATCCCAGCAAAGCGCCGAAACTGCCTCATAGCGAGGTGTATCAATTCAGCTACAGTGACCATATCGCCATCAGTGCAGCGCTGAGGGGTGTACATACCCTCTTTATGGTCTCAGCCTCGGAAAGCACGGAGCGCCTCGACCAGCACCGCTCGTTCGTTGACGCGGCTGTCCAAGCTGGCGTGCAGCACATCGTTTATACATCCTACGTAGCCGCTGCGCCTGACGCCATCTTCACTCTCGCACGCGATCACTATACAACTGAGGAGTACATCAAGGCCAGCGGAATGCGCTGGACTTTCCTGCGCGACAGTATGTACACCGACTTCATGGACTCCCTTGTCGGACCTGATGGCGTTATTCGCGGCCCGTCCGGTAGTGGTCGCGTCTCAATCGTCGCCCGTGAGGACGTCGCCCGCCTTGCCGCTGCTGTGCTCGCTGACCCAGATCGGCACGCTGGAACCACCTATGATGTCACTGGGCGCGAGGCGCTCTCCATGTCAGACGTTGCCGCGACTATCAGTGCGATCCGCGGCCGCGACGTTCGCTTCCACGATGAGACTATTGCAGAGGCCTATGCCTCCCGCGCAAGCTACGGTGCCCCAGACTGGCAGGTCGAAGCCTGGGTCAGCACCTATCTCGCTATACGTAGTAACGTTATGGCGCCAGTTTCTAATGCGATTGAAACCGTTACTGGCTGCGCACCGATGACACTCGCTGAATACTTGACCGCCAACCCTGGATAATGCATAGCTCATGCGAAGTTAATGTACCTGAGGATTGTTAATATTAAATTCGTTTCGTTGATTGTTCTAATACGCCTATGCCGCCTAGAAAGCCATCATACTGATAGCATCAAAGGCTGCAGGGGCTGTGCTTGCTATCACAACGTGATATCAGCAGAGATTGACCTAGTCTATTCACTGTTTCAACGGTGGTATGAGACATTTGATTCCAGTTCGTTTGTCTTGTCGATGACGGAGGCTCCCAGACAGCTCGCCGACCAGCAGGGCATATAGAATAATGTCCAGGCTCCACACGTCGACCTTCTCGCCAGCGTACTTCTCGCCCTTGAGCATCTCCAGGGCGCAGTCGCACGCAGTGCCGCACCATGTCTGCAGGTAGTTGCTCTTGCCCTCGTACTCGCGCGTGAGGCCAAGGTCGCACGGCTTGACGTCGCCGTGCTTGTCCAGCAGGATGTCCTCGAGCTTTAGAACGCGATGCACGCAGGCCTTGCTGTGGACACAGGTGATGGCACCGACGAGCTCCAATGTGATGCGTCATTCCAGAATCGCGGCTGCACCAACTTCCGGGAAGGAGAATTAGAGCGTAGATTCGAACTAGCTGTGAAGGATCCAGTGCAGCATTTGAGGCACAAAGTCGCACAAGGATGTGATGCTAATTTTGTGCACTTCGTGAGTGCAGTTAAGCTGTAACTACTTATTAATCACCCTAACCCTAACCCGTCATTCTCATAGACGACCTGTTGGGTACGCCGCACCGATGCTATGCGTTAGCTTAACGTGCCGCCCTCCTGTAGCGCTCAGTTATCTCGACGTGTATCCGCCGTCAACCATTAATGCACTTCCCGTGACAAAGCTACTCCTTCCACCCGCAAGATACAGCACGCCATCCGCAATCTCCTTCGGCGCACCCATTCTCTTCATCGGCACCGCGCTCTCGACGCGTTCTTCCATTGCCTTCAACACCTCTGGATTCTTCGTTGTCATCGGCGTCTCCGTGTAGCCAGGGCAGATTGCATTGACCCTCAATCCTCTATGCGCATAATCTTCCGACGCCGTTCGAGTGAGCCCAATAACAGCATGCTTGGCCGTGGTATACGCTGTCGATAGCGTGATGCCCACCACGCCCTGTATCGAGCTGAAATTCACGATGGACCCGCGCTGAAGCGGCCGACCATCAATGCTGGATACAATGGGCTCCTGATCCAGCATGATCGCTGCCGCGGCACGCAAAACGTAGAATGTCCCGTTCAGATTGATATCGAGTACTCTTTTCCAGTCGTCCGTCTTTGCGTACGCAGTGCCGCCGGCGTGCTTGATGGCGATGCCAGCCGCGTTGACTACGTAATCAAGCCGGCCAAACTTTCCCGCGGCGTCGTTGACGGCGCGCGTCACCTCTGCTTCGTCGGCGATATTGAGTGCGTATGTCAAGACCTTGCATGGGCTGTTTCGGTGAACTTTGGCGATTTCGGCCTTTGTGGCTTCAAGACCCTCGCCGTTGATGTCGAGGATCGCAACGCCGGCTGCTCCTTCCTGCGCGAAGGCTATTGCGCAGGCAGTGCCTATACCGAAAGGTGAACCTGCACCTGTGACAAGAGCGTAGCCTGGAACGTCCATCTTGATAGACTTGATAGGCCGACAGATGTTTACAGGTTCTTGCAGGAGTAATGTTGTTACTGGGAGTGTTTGAAAGTCAGGTTGGGTGAGAGGAGAATGTGCCCTTCATTAACAAGTACTGAACACTCGCACCTTTAAAAAGAGTCATCGCGAAATGTTGCTCTAATTGGAGGGAGTGTGCAAAGCTGCCGTACGATGATCCGCGGTTTGTGCGTTCCCCACCCGATTCGCCCGGGGACGCTTTCCTATTTCTCTGGGCTAATGACGTACAACAGATAGTCCCGACGAAACCATGTTTTAGCAAGTGACTTCTACTGGAAATTCTATTCTGGAGTAGTACTCCAGGTAATTCTCCATGGCCGTAAATAACAATGAGTCAATACAAGGATGCGATTTGGATCAATGTCATGTCCCACTGCACTCAATACATGTGCTAGGATGATTTGAACTATATATCTACAATTCGTACTATCTATGCAAATACAAGTCCTTTATAACCCGATGTCCTACACTCCTCACACCTCCTGCGGTACTCGATCGCGCTACCAGTGTATCGCGCAGGGTGATAGCTCCTCTGAGTCTTACCTTCGACATTCTTGTTGACGCCTGTCATCCAGCTATCGACCTCGTTGATCAAGCCGCCTTTGCTACACTCACAAACATGCTCTGTCCATGCGTCGACTGCCTCCTGCGTCGGCTCAACAGATGTGTGATTGTTGTCCTTACAGTACTGAAGCAGGTTCTCAATGACCTGCACTGCATGCTCGATGCTTCGCGTGGCATTGCCAAAGGGCTGATGAGGACCGAGCGTCATAAACATGTTCGGCATTGAAGGCACTGTGATGCCGAGGAAGGTATGGGGCTTGTGGTCAGGCCAGATAGCTCTCTTGCCCTCCTTACTATCACTGCTGGCGATAAGGGGCCGATCGTCCTTGCCATGCCATTCAATTGCATTGAAAGCGCCGGTGATCGCATCGAAGCCAGTGGCGTAAATCAGAACGTCCAGCTCGTGTTTCTTGCCATCTGACGTGTTAATGCCGTCTGCCACGATGCCTGTAATTGGGGTCTTCTGCAAGTCGACTAAGTTGATGTTCGGTTCGTTGTACGCCTCAAAGTAGCCGCTCTCGAGCGGAACCCGTCTCGTCCCAAACCCATGGTTTTTGGGTACAAGGCTCTCTGCCGTCTCAGGATCGTGCACTCGCTGACGAATTTTCTGCGCCATATACTTCGAGTACAATTCGTTCGCTTGTCGGTCAGTGTACGTATCGCTGAAAACCCCCAGCCACTTGCCAAAGCCAGGCGCATTGTACATCTTCTCCCAAAGCGCGAGACGCTCTTCATGTGTCACGTCGGCAGATTTGCGAGGATCGGCTTGGTGCATGAAGCATGTCGAAGTCTCCGCGCATGTCTTGAAAACAGCGTCGTACTCGGTTCGGTAGATATCCATCTGCTCGGTAGTGACTTCGAAGTTGCGCAGTGGCGCTGACCAATTTGCCGTTCTTTGGAAAACGCTGAGAGACCTGAAACCCGGTTGCTGTGAGACAGCTGTGATTGTTTGGATGCCAGTGGCGCCAGTCCCAATGATGCCAATGCGCTTGTTCGCAAAGTCGCGGCTTATATCTAGATCCGATGGCCATCGCGAGGTGTGGAAAGCTTCGCCCTGGAAATTTTGAATCCCAGGGATAGCAGGCAATGTAGGCGCAGACAAGAAACCCAGGCAACTAAGGAAGAATCGCGTTGTGTATTCCTTGCCGTCAGCGTCTACAAACAACCAGGTATGGTCTTTGTCGTTCCAACGGGCAGTCTTGATCTGAGTATTGAATTGGATGTCCTTGTACATGTCGTGCTTCTCCGCAACGCGCTTGATGTATTTGTGCGTCTCAGGTTGCGGGGAGAACGCCTCCTTCCAGTGCCACTCGTCCAGAAGTTCCTTGTCGAACGAGAAACTGTATGAAAGAGACTCAGAGTCGAACCGACATCCAGGGTATTGGTTCCAGTACCACGTCCCGCCGACATCGGGCGCATTGTCGAGAATCTTAACGCGCCATTCGGGGAAACGCTTTCGAATATGGTACAGGCTACATATACCAGAGAGTCCAGCACCAATGATGAGGACGTCGTAGTCAGGGCCTGCCTGTGCAATTGAAGGCATATTGATAATTGGGCAGATTTCGTGCAGAAGATGGAAGTGTCGTGGTTATGAACACGCGTCCATAGATCCAAGTATTTGAAAGAAGATCTTTCAGTTTCTGCCTCGTAGACGAAAAAATGCACTGCGAGTGGTCCGAACTATTCCGGATGACAAGCCCAAATCCGTCAGGCCACTGCATGACCTTCTGCAAACCTCTCCCTATGTCAATGTTCAAGTATTGCCCCGCACTACCTGACATGCGAGATAAGTGATGGTGCGGGGAGATCTGGTGGAAGAGGAAGGTTTCCGCGAACGCTCCATACTATTGTTCGGCCTTCCGATTGGCCAGACCCGTGCACGGGGAACAGACCTTGACGACGCACCTTTTTATGCCGAATACTTGTATTTCCCCAAGCACAAACTGTGTAGTTGAGGACCGCTATCTACTCTCTCGCTCCCATTGTCAGCCATGGGACCATTTCAAGGCAGAGTAGTGAGTCGCGTCTAGGTAAATCTGTTATCATGCACTAACCACTGTCAAGTACGCTGTGACTGGTGCTTCTTCAGGCATGGGCCTTGCAACCGCAAAGCTTCTAGCCTCCTGTGGTGCTTCTGTTTCATTGGCTGACATCAACGAAGCTGGTCTGAAATCTGCTATTGTGTCGCTCAATGAGTTTCAGGAACACATGTACACTGTCGTGGATGTATGCGGTGGCGAACAGGTTAATGCATGGATCAAGTCTACTGTTGACAAATACGGAAAGCTTGATGGCGCCGTCAATATGGCTGGCGTTATAACCAAAGCCACGCCAGTCAAGGATTTGACGGACGCTGACTGGGATTTCTCTTTCGCAGTCAACGCCAAGGGCGTGTTCAATTGTCTGCGGGCGCAGCTGAACGCTACGCGGGATGGCGGCAGTATAGTCAGTCTATCCAAAAAAGCTTTGCTATCCGGGATCTGACCAGTGGTGTAGGTTTGTGCTGCTAGTGTTTTTGGACAGTTCGGTGCGCCCGGTAACGCCGCATACTGTGCCACTAAGGCAACCGTGATAGGCTTGTCTCGCACAGCGGCCAAGGAAAATCAAAAGATCAGAATCAACTGTGTGTCGCCAGGTAAGTGTCTGGATCCTCGGTCTGCCTTTCTGTCGACCATTCTTACGATGTGTTGAAGGTTCTGTAAACACACCAATGTCTCAGGGTGAAGATCCTGAGGATGTAAAGCGAGGGCTACAGGTCACAGCTCAGAAGAGACGGGCGGAACCAGTGGAAGTCGCCAACGTGATCGTATTTCTCCTTAGCGATGAGGCTTCTTTCGTTACGGGAGCTGTTTACAACGTTGATGGTGGTTGGGTGTGCTGAGTGTTGTACATAAAGGCGGAGATCAAGAGGCATCGAGGGTGCAGGCTTGCACGTCGATCAACTCGCACGCTTGCAATATACATATGTAATACTGCTACGCCAGAATTCACCGCCGGCTTCGTGCAAGAGGTTCTAGCTAGAATCGTGCGGAGCGCATTCGTTGCGCATGAGGTCCACCCATGTGGTCTGTGATCCACGAGTATTGCGTTTTTGTTCCCATACGTGTTCGATGGTCGTTTTCGCATTGTCGAAGTAGGGTAGTCCGCTTCGGGCCGCTGAGCCTTGGAACCACCGTGCGAACGAAGCCTGTACTGTGGGGTCTTCAGCCTCGCACGCCGCGATGAAAGCTGGCCAAAGCAGCCTGGCGGATCCATAAGTAGCGCCACCTTCTGTAACACCTGAGCGAAGAAGACAATCGCGAATGCCGACAATGTGAGCCTGCAACATATCTGCTTCTACGTCATAGATCCTTCGATAAAAGTAAATCGTCAAGGCATGTTGCATCGCCTGAAGTAAATCATCAAGCATTGGCTCTGCGACTCCAGATGCGTCCATCGAGAAAGCGTCCAATTTTTGGTGTGGTCGATACAGTTGCTTGACATACCGCTCCACGGTTTTTGCACGATTTAAGAACTCCTTCAAGGACAGAGCATCAGCAACATCTTGATGCCTAGCTTCATCTCGCCATTGACCAAGTCTGATTACCAGTGACAACGCGAAAATGTAGGTCTCAGGCACACCAAAGATCTCCGGATACAACGTCTTGGGCCAAAGGCCCGGATTTTGGAGGTGCAAATCATTCTCGCCTTCCTCGCGGCATTTGACTCGCTGCATTCGACTCTCGAGGTCGTTCAGATCTCCAAGATGGAATGATAGGCTGTCGTGACTGTATGCTATCGCGCCACTTGACTCAATCGCTTTGCGAGTATGGCTTCGATGAGCGGAGTTCGTACCGGCAAGGTATACACTCTCGTGAAACATCCTTTCAAACACGTAGCAGTGATGTAGCAGGCGAACTTTTCGTGACTTCTTGCGATTGAGGCCCTTTACCCGGATAAATTTTTCTGCTTCAATAAAATAGCATTCGGCCTGGTCGCGCTTGCCAATAACAAGAGCCACTTGTACCATGCTGAGCAAAGCGATCAGAATATGCTTGTACTTAGCAGGCTTTGGGTGATCGTAGGCTGTCCGAAGCATTAGTCGGACATGCTCGCGGGCGATATTGAGGTACGCATCGCCTTGTTCAACCCAAGAAGAAGATTGGGTTGTGCCACCTAGGCTGAAGGCGCTGATCGACATCGTGGCGTAGAACGCGCAGAGGCTGGCATGATTCAGGCTCTCACCAAGTGTGAGCGCTGCTAGACAGCTCTTCACATGTGGTACAAAGAGCACGTGCCACGGCGTCTTGCTATGTCGGAAGGGCGTGAGAAGGGTGAGCACTGTGGTAGAATAGTGCTTGATCAGATGCACCGCATCGTGAGGTACGTCGCTCTCGACATACGATACCGACAAAGGTCTCAGTGAGCTAGTTTGTCCGAGTCGTGGGTCATACGTTGAAGCACTGAGTGGGAGACCATGTCCTGTACCAGGGAGGGTCTGCACTGATTGGAAGTGGGGAAGATTGACAATGATGTCGCCATCATCAAATACCTCCTGAATACGATCAGAATCGTCGACGTTACTCCACATCGGCAGGGTCAGTGAATTTAGATCCCCACCTGGAAGTTCGATCAGAGAGTGCAGAAGCGACGTGGTTCGCGGCGTCATAGGGTCGTTAGAAAAAGCAAGTGCGTCCATTTCGACTTGGTCGATATCCTGCGAGGGATTCACGTCAAGAATCCAGTCCGGAAAGTCGTCGCTCGTAGGCATCGTGATAGTGGCTGATTTGAACACTCCGAATGGGCCTTGGGAGATGTCTACATTGGCAGATTGTGATGCGGCCTCGCATGCCTCATCGATCTGGTTGAGCTGCTGCATAACTGCTTTCGGCGTTACAGCCGCTATCAGCCATTCGCTCATGCTTTCCCGCTCTTCTTCAGTGAGTAAAGGCCTCCGGAATCGAGATATGCTGGGGTTCGCGGCAACCTCGAAATCGAAGAAGATGCTGATGTCATAGCCCCCACATCGCAAGCTTGCATTGCGGCAAGTGGTACAAGACGGTCGGCCTTCATCGCACTTTGTGTGTCTTGTTCTGCACTACAGCAAGGTTTCAGTATTGGCGACACCATCGGGTCGGGATGTACTGTACGGTTGCACAGCCGCCAAATGAGCGGCTGCGGCCGACGGCTGCGTTCAGGTCTCGTTGTGGCATGCGTCAAGGCATCGAACGTGTCGAAGTTAGAGGAAGGTCATCTCGAGTAGCTCTCACTTCAGCTTTGATGAGACTGATAGCATATCTTGAAGCAAGTGTTGCCGGTGCGAGTTCTAATGGAAACGGCAAGTCACCCCGGGTCGGCTTGACTTCGGTGGCGCTAAATTTCGGCTCTTGCTCGTTATCTGCTCCGTTACCTTCCTTTCAAGAACACCAAGATTTCGGCTCTGCAACTCTATCCCGCGTCTTTACCACCAACTATCTAGTCTACGCCGTAATGCTTGCCACTGAAAGTAAGGTTTTGCCTCGAGATGAAAGCGCCACATCAAGGCCTAGGCAACAAAACCTTGAAAGACCTCCAAGCCATGGCTTATCAGCTCACGAAGGAGCTAACGTGCCATGGCTCTTGATGGGTACAAATTTGTGATGAGATCCGGCGAAGATTATGCTCGAGCCAGTTCTTCAGTACGTTACGTTCAATCTCTGTTGCACATACTAGTCTCTGTTCCTCTTTTTGCTTGCTCTTTAACACAGCCTGTGCTCCATTCAAGATGGATTCACACGAGAAGAATCCCTGCCAAAAGGCTGCCGAGCAGGATCTTTCTCGACTTGAGAGTCATATTGTCGGTACAACGCAGCTCGTTGAGCAGGCTGGAACCCGCAGAGCAATCAAGAGCCGCCATGCCCAGATGATTGCGATTGGTGGCACTATCGGAACAGGTCTCTTCGTGGGCTCAGGTCAAGCCCTTGCCATTGGAGGACCGGGTTTCTTATTTCTTGCTTATACACTCACCTCCCTCCTCGTGTATGGAGTTGTCACTGCTATCATTGAGGTCTGCACCTTCCTCCCAGTGTCTGGGAGTTCCATGGCATACTATGGCGCACGTTTTGCATCACCATCTCTTGGCTTTGCATTGAGCTGGCTCTACGTGTATTCTTTCGGCATTCTTGTGGCCTACGAGATCACTGCGGCGGCCATTGTGATCAACTACTGGCCAAACAACATTCACATAGCTGTGTGGAGTAAGTCTAACATACTATCGCTTTGTCAGGCTACATGTTGACACAAATTCAGTCACAATCATTCTCGTTGTCATCGTAGCTCTCAACTTCTCACCTGTCGGTATCTTCGCCGAATCAGAGTTCTGGTTCGCCGGTATCAAAGTCATCATGCTTGTAGGCCTACTTCTTGTATCTATTATCCTGATGCTAGGCGGAGGACCATCCGGCGACCGCATTGGTTTTCGAACGTGGAACGATCCAGGCGCAATCAAGGAGTATATTATAGGAGGTGCTAGCGGGCGATTCACTGCCTTTCTTTACGTCTGGGTCTTCTCCGGCTTCTCGTTCTACTTCGGACCTGAGCTAATCATCACAACCAGTGGCGAAATGTACCACCCACGCAAGAACCTTCCGATTGCCAGTCGACGCTTCTTCTATCGGCTTGCGTTCTTCTACGTGTTCGGTGCTCTAGCCATTGGCGCAATCTGCCGTTCTGACGCTCAGGGTCTTACATCTGGAGCTGGGAATGCCAATGCGAGTCCTTGGGTCATTGCCATCCGCAATGCCGGCATTTCAGCGCTTCCCTCTATCGTCAATGGCGGAATCCTCACCAGCGCTTGGTCTGCCGGCAATTCTTTTCTGTACATGTCGAGTCGCTCTCTTGTATGTGAAACAGTCTATAACAGCACACGCCACTAACTCCCCGCAGTATTCCGCAGCCCTCGCCGGCAATGCCCCGAAGGTCTTCAAAAGATGCAATTCCTACGGCCTCCCTATCTATGCCGTCAGTGCGACATCACTTTTCTCACTTCTTGCCTACCTCAGCGTCTCCTCTTCCGCAGGTACCGTCTTCAATTGGTTCATCAGCCTCACCAACACCGCAGGGTACACCTCGTGGATCGTATGCTGCATCATCTTCATGCGCTTTCGAAAGGCCTGTACAGCGCAACATAACAGTGTGCCCTACCAGTCGAAGATCCAGCCATACGGTGCCACACCATCCTTTCCCGTTCGTCCCATTGAGCGCATCGACTGCAATGGCATGACTGATATTGGCCTCACAAACCGGACACAGATACGCTGTTTGCCTCACATCCTCTTTCATCCCTGCGGTATCCTGCAAATTGCACACATAGGACACGCAATGGTCGAATGCGAAGTAATGCGCGATTTCATGGCTCACAGTCCTTGCCAATCTTGGGGACCAGAGTGGGTCTTCGTTCTCTCGATATCCATCAGTACACAGCTAGATAGAGGCGTCAGTCAAGACTATAGGGCCCGGGAAGAATGTGCTGCAGTCAGCGGAGTGTAAGTAGGTCACCCTCACTTCAAGCAGTACGTTACTACTGAGTCGTCTGCTACTTTTTGGTGACAATGCATCTTCTGACTACTATCTCTCAGCCACCCAGACGCAGATCGACAACCTCCAGACTTACATGGTACAAGCAAAGTGTTCGAAACACTACAATGAGGCTTTCTTTCACAACAACTTAGCCAGCTCCGTCAGCCCGAAAGGGTTCACAATGATATGTCTAATTGTTATCAATATTCACAGAGACACGAGATATCTGGGATGTTCGTTCCAGTTCCTGCACAAGCTGGCTGTTGACGGGTTTACAGGAGGGGACCCCAAAAAATCTTTAGAAAAGAGGTAAGGGACATGAAAACTGTGAGGGAGAGGGTTTTAACTTCGAAGTAGAGTAGGTGGGATGTTGAGGCACAAGGGAGAGAATGGATTGGCGTGAGATAATATGACATACGATACAGAGCGACGAAGGGCTAGACCACAACACCAATTTCTACTCTAGTGGCCCCGTCAAATCTACTCCAGCGTGTAGTTGTGCTTCCTCAAAAACTCCTCTAAGCCTGTCAACTCCCCGCGCGCATTGTCTCTAGCCCATGCAACCTCCTTCTCCGTATCCGGCCCATAATATCCAAAATCCCGCTGGAACGCCCACATCTCATACAACTGCGTCTGCATCCCCTCAGGCAAGAAACCTTTGAACACCTCATCGGGGACATGCTGATGGCTAACCTTCTTCCCCGTCACTGTCGCCACAATTTTCGCCACCTCATCCATACTCAATATCTCTGCTGCTGCTGCAAACGTCTTTCCGTTATACTCCTCTGGCTTTGCAAGAACAGCACCAACCCACTTCCCCGTCTCCTCAATATCGATGAACGGCATGCGACTGTGTCCGTAGGCGCAGTTTGCTAGCACCCACTCACCCACTTTCTCGCTAGGCATGGGACGCATGAATGGGCCGAGGAAGTTCTGCATGAAGCTCGCCGGGGCGAAGAAAGAACTCTTCACAGGCAGCGAGCGAATGTACACTTCAATCTCGGCTTTGTCGTCAAAGTGCTCGACGTTCTTGTACTGACCCCCACTGAGCATTGTCGGATGCGACATTGAGGAGTAGATAATGTAGGAGACGCCTGCGGCAAGGGCGGCAGTGCAGACAGCTTTTGCCTGGCGCGTTTCAATATCGCGAGTGTTGCCAGTGTATTGGGTCGCGGTCAGGAAGAAAAGAGTGTTTACGCCTTGGAAGGCTGGGGCGAGGGTAGAGATGTCGTCCATGTCAGCGGATACAAGAGACGCGCCGAGAGAAGCCAGAGAGGTCATCTTAGGAGAGATAGTGGAGCGGGCGAGTGCTCGTACATCGTAGCGGGCGCGCAGCTCGGGGTCGGAGAGGACGGTGGAAGCGACGGAGTATCCCTGATTGCCCGTCGCGCCCAGGACTGCAAGGAGGTTTTTCTTGGTGGTTGACATGTTGATGTGTGTATATACACAAACTATCAGAATTCCAGATCCGGTCGTTCAGTGTTGTACCGTAGCAAAATGGGTAAGTAGTGATAAGAGACGCCGATGAGATATAATTGCCCCCTCACCTTCTCTACCCTCCTTTATACCCCAAATTGTTGTCCTCGTTGTTTTAAGTTCCCCTACCGTCTCATCGTCCCACCGCTATCTCCTTTCTCTATAGCCCTATATCTCGGGATTACCAGCCGGACTTAGCACCGCTCCCCTTCTAAACTCCACGCAACCCTACACCAAGCCCGCAGTACCGCCGCCCCTAGACAAAATTCGGTATCCATATCGACGTAAACCACAGTTTGAAAGAGTCTCAATCCTAGACTTTAGATACTATACACTTGGTGGCGTAGGCGGGTAGTGTTCATGGGGGAACGTCTAGCCGGTTCGGAGATGGCGGAGTTAAAGCTACTAGATGGACAATCACTCTTGTAGTAGCTTATAACGCTGTGGAAGCCAAAATTGCTATTGTCCTTATTTTCAAAGTTGCAAGTTATGATAGCTGTGCTCATCTCTTGTCTCTTTAATTGTAGCTCCATTGGCAATCATCCTGCGTACCCCTTCTTCGCTCTGCTCGTTTCTTCTCGCAACATCAGTCACCTCGCGTTCCGGTCCCGCGGAACAACAACCGCTCTATCTATATCCGCCACAACGATGTCTCGACAGCTGGTGTGTAATTCACCTTCGCCAACACACTCACTCACACCCCCAATCTGGAATCTGCCTTGCCCTGTGCGCATCCAGCGGACGGCTTGGACATTGAGATCTTAACGACGTTCCATTCGATCAGCCAATTGTAGTACCTCGCTGATGCGGTCAGCTTGTACAAATACCGTGGTTCAGCTGTCGGCAATCAAGTAGTCATCTTGCGACACTCTTAGACCTGGACCTGTAAAGGCGCGTCCGACCCAAGTCGTACACCTCGATTACGTACGCGGATTATAGTGACCCCACGACCGTACACAGGAGAGCTAACATTACGGCTGCCTTTAAAATCGCAACTCATCCCATCTATGATAGTTTCACACATGCATTACTTTATTGAAGCGTCAAAAATCAGGCACTCGTTATATTTCACTGTTTTTGCCATGATATATTTAGTTCAGTGTTAATCCTCCACTATGAAATTGCTGAATGACACTTTCGCGGTGTGCGTTTCTCCTTGCTCACACACAGCAAATACACCAAACACACTTCCCGTGAAATCCTTTGCGCTCAGTAAAGCAGCATCTGCGCTTCCCACTGTCATCCATTCCTTCCCCTCTTCTAGACGATATGTGAACTCGTATTGCGCTGGACTTGAAACAATGCGCATTTCCACTGCCCTCGTGCTTTGTGGCATAGGATCTGGGTTTACAGCTGTGAAAGTATAATCCTTTGACGCGTCAACGAAATTTACGGAAAGAAGGCGTGTAGCCAAGTCAACGATAATGCTGAGGTGGCGAAGGGGATCCTTATACACTGTGAGACCGGCAACCACGTTTTGAGCCTCGGCCTTGTTGGCTGGAAGACCAACAGTTGTACTGGCAACGCTGTTGACACTGCGTTGACGACGCGCTAGTAGTGCCGTGCCGTGTGAAGATGACAGGTCATTCTTTGTTGGCTGTAGAACGACGCATGTTGGAGAGGAATATGCGTCATATCCCACTGGAAGGTGCAGATATAGATCCGCTACGTTCGGCCGTATTGAGCGAAGTTTGTCTAGGAATGCTGGAGTCGAACCTGGGAGAGTGCGAGTGCTAGCCAAGGACATGCGTGGTTGTTGGATAACGGGCCATTCGTCTATTGGCCAGTCCACTGTGGTAAGGAAAGTTTCACGGCCCATAGGCTGCTTGCCGTTATTCTCCCGGACTCCAAGTACTGCTGCCCACCAATTTCCGCTGGCATCTTGGAAGATCTCACCATGCCCTATGTTCTGGACGTATTCCTCGGTGCCGTCCGCTGTCATAATAGGATTCTGGGGACAGGACTCATAAGGACCCCAAATATCTCTCGCGCGCGCAATGGAAAGCATGTGATGCTCAAAAGTTCCACCTTCGGCTACGAGCAAATAATACCAGCCGTCTTTTTTGTATATGTGGGGACCTTCCGTGTCGCGTTTTGCAAAGCCTGTCCATATCTCGTGCGTGTCGCTCAGGTGTTTTCCGTTGGTGATGTCAATCTCGAACTGTTTAATGGTACAGCTCGGCTGCTTCATTCTATCTATTAACCAAGATCCCTGAATGAAGGCACGACCGTCGTCATCAAAAAACAAGGATGGATCGATACCATAGAATGAAAAGTGCACTGGATCACTCCATTTGTTGGACCAAATATCTCTCGTGGTAATCAGAAAATTGTCTGTCTTCCAATTGTCATGGCCGTGATAGCAGTTGGTGCAGACGATGTAAAAAGCGCCGTCGTTGTAACGAATGGTGGGTGCAAAGAGTCCGCCTGATGCTACCATGGTGTTGCCATCGTCGAGCGGCATAGCTGCAGTCGTCGCATTTTGAAGGTTCAGTTGAGTTGGTCTGTCGATAGCATTGCCTAGTCATTCGTCAGTACGTCTTAGGATCACACTCGAGGGTTTTATCGACGCACCTATGTGTGCCCAATTCTGTAGGTCAACAGATGCGTATATGGGTATGCCAGGGAAGAAATGGAAAGATGACGTCGCGAGGAAGAAAATGCCATCCACGAGCACAACAGACGGATCTGGCGCAAATCCGGGGATGACAGGGTTTCGAAACATGATCAATGGCTATCTGAGAGGATTTTGAAGCAGACAAGTGTAGGTCAATTGAGCAGTTGTCGTGGCTTTTGATCGCACTTGTTGCGGTCATTGCTCTTGGGTAAATCATGCGGCAGCGGTAGCGGCGGGTACATGTGTTCATTGTCGCCGCGGAGAATTGCCTAAAAGCGACTCGTTGACTACGTTGAACTACCGAACAATTCTGGCTAGCTAGCTAGGTAATTCTCCGTGGAGAATTGCAACCCCACACTCTGTTTGAGCACGGACGACGATCGTACAGTAGCGGCTGGACGACTCGCGCCACAATAAGTATGCGCGTATATATACTAAGAATCTTGCTCGTCAACAACACATCTAGAGTCCTCATTCTTATCTATCATTTCATTCGAACGATGTCAGCATCAACCGAAAAGCAACACGGGGCCGAAGGTGTAGGTGAGCCAATGCTAGAGGACGAGTCTCGGCACAAGAGCCCCGGCTTCCGTGAACTCTGGCAACAAAAACGCGTCCTAGGTTTCTGTCGGTACAGTTAGTTTCCGGCTACTTCGAATGCTGACGATTATATGTCAGGTCTTTTAATTTTCCTCTTGCCAGTCAATTTCGGCTACGAACTCGCGTTGGTGGGCAACATCATTGCCATACCCTCGTTCCTTCGGCGATTTGGCGTGAGAACCTCAAGTGGCGTTCTGGAAATCACTGCAAGAGATCAACAAGTGCTCAATGCCTCCACAACGGTGGGCATCTTCGTGGCGGCGTTCAGTGCTGGTTTCATCGCAGACAAAATCGGACGCCGCAAGGTGGTCCTAAGTGGATGCGTACTCTGCATCGTGGGAATCTTCGTTCAAGGCTTCTGCAACTCGATCATGATGCTCTTTGGCGGCAAGCTGATTAGCACGCTTGGGTATGGGCTTGGCCACGCATTGGCACCTGTGTATGTTGCCGAGATCGTACCAGACAATCTTCGTGGCATATGCCTGACTTTAGTGGTGAGATTGGTTTCATAGAAACTGCCCAAGTATTTTATGCTGACTGCCGCAGAATACAATGATAGTTGTTGGTCAGTGGTCCTGCGCCCTTGTCGGTTATGGTGGATCATTTATCAGCAATGATTGGGGGTGGCGCGTGCCTATTTTGACTCAGCTCCTTCCACCAGTCTTGATGATCGTTTTAGGTGCGGCTATTCTTCCTGAGTCGCCATCCTGGCTCATTCTGCATGGACATCGCGACGAGGCCATGGTGGCACTCCGAAAGTTCAATGGACCCGAGTACGATGCGGCGCAAGCTGTCGCAGTGCTGGAAGCAGTCGTACAGAAGGAACGTGACTTGGCAACAGAGGGCGCTTCATACATCGAGTGTTTTCAGGGCGTGAACATGAGGCGTACTCTGATTGTCTGCATGGTATACATTGCCCAGCAGTTCGTAGGAGCCAATTTTGTAGCGGGATATCTACCGTGAGTGGTCCAATTGTACCAAAACGATCTGTGGGACTGACTGTAGTAGATATTACTTCACCGTGGCCGGAGTCAACAATCCGGTAGGCATCGCTCAAGTGAGCTACGCGATTCAGCTTCTCGGAAACTTTGTCTCACTATTCCTCGTGGATCGGATTGGACGTCGCCCGATGATAGTGTATGGGACTTTCGCAATCACAGCTCTGCTACTACTAGTCGGTGGTCTGGGAACCATGGAGAACAGTCAGACTGCATTGAAAGCTGTAGTAGGTTTGATGTCATTCTGGGGATTCCTTTTCCAGCTCACGCTAGGAGCCGTTGCCTATGCCGTCGGTGGGGAGACAGCTACGGCTCGTCTACGCCAGAAAACGTATTCGATCAACGTCATGACGAACACAGCCGCAGCCTGCCTTGTGACGCAGCTTGTACCAATCTTGGTCAATCCCGGCAACGCCAACCTTGGCGCCAAGGTGGCATTTGTCTTTTTCGCCCCATCAGTGTTCTTGTCCGTGTATCTGTTTTTCTGCTTCCCTGAGATGAAGGGTCGTAGCTACCTGGAGCTGGAAGCCATGTTCCAAATGAAGCTTCCTGCGAGAGCTTTCAAAGGTTACCGCTGTGAGATCGAGGTGGCGAACATCACAGAAGAGGGTGGTAAAGAGAAAGCAGTCGCGATTATACACGACGAGGGCCTCACTAGGGTATGAGATCGGTTCTGAGAAACCAAAGAATACAAGTTCGGCAAATCTTGTCTTTCAGCAGTAATCATTAGCCATTATCTGCCCCGTCTGTACTCTACGAGCCGCGCTTCTTGAATTAGCGTTCCAAGTAATCGGATCCTGTACTGGGTCGCCCTGTGTAATCTTTGGTTTCATCAAGAACACTTTTAGAAGCCCCTGTTGATATTGAGCTCCTCGGAAATGCGCGAGTCTAGAAGCGCAAGAACATCAAGAAGTACAAGAAAGAGAGATTTTGCGCGTTCGACAAGTGCTAAGCTATTGACTTCGTGCACAATTTCTAGCAGTGTCACGCCAACCCGGCGGATCTTCTCAACCTGCGCCCTTAATCAGCATCTCATCATCACAGGTATTTTTGGAAGCTTACGCAAGGTTCCCCGTTGAGCTGTAAGCATTCGATTGATGTTTCTTTCAAAACTTGGATCATATCGCTGGCGACTTCGGTCTGCCGAAGCGCGAAAGCTGTCGCATCTTCACTGATCCCAAGTAAACTCGAACACCCATTCTCCTTGAACTTTTGAAGCAACACAAGCCGCAAGCAGTGAAATGTGACAAGAAGATTAGCCTGCTGGACGTTCCTGGTTCTGACAAGTCGTGTGGTAGCGCGCTCGTCCCGAGTCAGTGTTGCAACGTCCGAAATGTTTGCCACTCGTAGATCATCAAGGATACTGACGAACTGAATATGATCGCAGGTAATGGCCACTTGGATGTCCCGCAGAAACGTAGATTGTTTTGTTGAGTTCTGTAAGGCCTTCATTGCGCCTAGCCTCAAGATAAGATCAGAAGCCTTCATCCACAAATCCTGACATAGGTTAAATCCGGTAGCAACGTCACAGCTCTCTACAATCGTGGTAGACGGTAATGAATCCTGGATTGTGCAAGACAGGTATGGCGAGCGAGGATATAGAGTGGTGACCGGTGTGCCCAAGCACATTTCATGAAGAGCGATAGGGCAGTCGTTCAGGATTGCCGCAGATTTGTCGGCCGTGTATATCTGCCAGAAAGTACTTCGTTGTAGGTGCGCTTCCATTGGGTCAAGACCAAGATAGGTCTGCTCGTCGAATAGCCGCATCTCTTGCGTGAGACGCACGGCTTCTCCCAGCACGTGCCAGGATACCCTGGTCTTGCCCACAGCATGAAAGGCATTCGAGTGATAATACCTGATGGCTAGAGAGGTATAATCAGGCTGCTCAATATCTAGATCCTGATAGATCTTCAACATTTCTCGTGAAGCGCGGAGAAAAGGTCGTCCGAAGAGGTCTCTCTCCGGAAACAATGATGAAGGCAGTAAGAAAGAAGTGGCAGCACACAAAGCTGAAAGAAGTGTCCACTTGCGGATCCGTGAAAGGCGCTCACGATTCGATGTAAGTGATGACTGCGGTGTTGGCGCTTCAGACTCGAGTTGTACGTCAAGTAACTGGACAAATGAACGAATGTCAGTCTCGCAGATCACTGGCGCTATAGGAAATAGATGCTCCATATAGAGGTTGATGCAGCGATCTGCAACGGTGTGCAAGGATGTTTCGTGGACGACGGCTGATATACTATCCCTCAAGTCGTCTTGGATTGCCTGGATGGGATTGTGATAGGAATTCGTAAATGAGGGTGTACTTCGAGGAGACCCATTGTCGAATCCTAATGATAGCGCTGGTGTAGAATGAACCATATCGGGTCTGCAGCGTTCCGTATATTCGTTCGTTGATTCAGACCATGGTGTACGCCGACCTGTGTCGGCATCCGTTGATGATCCTTGGTGTGGAACTGTCCTGCGCTTTGGCCCTCTTCGCCCCGGGGTTGTGTTGTAAGAGCATTGAATCCGAGCAGTTGCACAATTAGCGCAGGGTGTCGACACTCCAGCATTGCACTGAGCTCATTCCGAACGTCAGCGGGTCTTTGGTGGTGTGGGACAGTTACCCGACTCACTCTCACTTTTCGGCGTTTGCAAGCGTCGCAAGCTCTTCGTGCGCTTGGAGCTGATGCTCTCACCGGTCGTCTTTCATCGCACATGGTTCTGAATCGCCTTAAATGTGCACAATGATTGGATGTCGAACGGAGAGCAGTGCATTTGATCATGTGAGAGATGGAGCAATTACCCGCGGAGAATTGGTCTATCGTGGATACGCATTGGGCCTAGCGGCGGACTGCGGGGTCGGCAATCATCTCGAAGTCTAGGACCATGACTCTTGGAAATAATCGGCTTGTGATAATGTTAGCAACGGAAATAAAGTGAATGAGCAACTTCCTACATAGTTTAGTAGTTACACTTTTGGTAAACTAACTAGCGCAGTGCATAGGTCTGCCATAGCTTTAACGCTTATCATAATCGCGCCTCGCTAAACATTGAAGTAATACTTCATATTTCTCATTGTTGTTATCTGTCTTGATATCGTTACTGACCTTTCTACTTTTACGGACAAGGCGCTATACCAAGCCCTCGCAAAGCTGTTGTATGTTATCTCAAGGCGCCTAGTATTAGGTCGGAAAAGTGGCTGATGCTGCCATACAATTTTGTATGTTGACAATAGCATGCAGTGTTATTAATATATACAGATGCACACGAGAACGAGTCTTACAAAAGAGCTTTCACGGGTGTGCCCTCCTGTTCCTTCTTTGCTTCTTCCATAAGTACCCGCCGAAGAATCTTGCCGGTGTTGCTCTTCGGAATTGTCATTACGAATCTGATCCCCCCACGCAGCCTTTTGTGTGGCACCACCTGTTTATTGAACCATTCGTGGAGATCCTGTTCCATTTTCTCGTCACCTTCCAGTCCACCGGCCAACACAATGTATGCTCGCGGCAATTCTGTGGCTCTTGCTGCGGCGTATATTCCAATCACCGCCACGTCCGCAACTGCTGGGTGTTTCAGCAACAGAGCCTCAAGCTGCGCCGGCGGAACCTGAAATCCGTTGTACTTGATGAGCTCCTTTAGTCGGTCAGTGATGAATATGTTGTCGTTCTCATCGACGTGTCCAATATCTCCGGTACGATACCAGCCCCCAGCATCAATAGCATCGGATGTTGCTGTAGGATTGTTGTAGTATCCTTTGAAAATGTTTGGTCCACGAAGCCAAATCTCTCCAGTCTTACCGCGGCCCATCTCTTGGCCATCTTGTATAACTTTCATAGACATGCTAGCCGTGAGGCGGCCACTGCTTCCGATTGGCTTGTTCCACTCCTCTGCCGCTTGTGAAGCAACGGCGGGCGATGCTTCTGTCAATCCGTACGCCTGTTTGGTAGGAACTCCAAGGCGGCGATAGATGCCCTCAATCACCTCCTTGGGCGCGGGAGCTGCAGCCGAGTTTAGCATTCGCAGGGACTCGAGATTGTAATTATCGACGAGAGGACTCTTGGCAAGGGCGAGCGCAACTGGCGGAACTATGTACGCTATTGTAATTCCATCGTCTTGGACGATCCTGCAGAAATTGTTGAGATCGAAGCGCTGCATGATAAATGTTGTGACGCCTCGGTACAACGGCGATAGAACCAAGACCGCCATTCCTAATCTTGTTGGTGTGAGTCGTGTGCATGTTGTCCGAACATACCATATATGTGATACATGGGTAGAAACCCAAGAGACTTGTCCCGTGTCCAGTGCGAGAAATTTCCCTCCGTCTCCGTCGTCTGTAACAAATTGGCCGTGATATTCGCATGTGTCAGCATGACACCCTTTGGCAGACCCGTAGTTCCTGACGAGTACACGAGAAAAGCCAGGTCCCTTTCGGGCTTGATCTCTGGCCTTTTCAAGCGTGGGAACGAGCTGCGTATGCTGGTGAAGTGCTGAAATTCGTGTTTCGAGTCGGTCTCATCAATCAGCAGAATTCTGTCGTTCGACATGCCGACGATGTTCGCAGCTTCTCGCACAGCCTCCAGGCACTCAAAGTTGGTTACCAGGGCTTTAGCATTCGATGCTTTCAAGGATTGAGCCAGCTCGACCGCTGTGGAGAGATGGTTCAACGCACACACCACGCCTCCTGCATACAGTGCACCACACGTGACAGAGGCGACGTTGACAGAATTAGGTGTGATCAAAGCGAGAATGTCTCCTCTTTGCCATCCCCAGTTTGCCAATAGACCTTGTCCGAACTGCTCAGCAGTAGCTTGTATGTTACGAAAGGCAAGCCTTTTGTTTGCTGCAGTGTCAACGTATACGACTATCTCAGCCGTTAGTATGTCACGGCAAATCAGGGGATTGCATATCCACCGTGGTCGTCTGGAAATTCGCGGTCCGCATTGTCGAAGAAAAATGCCCACAAGTCTAGCGGAGAGACCGTAATTGGAGGGTATTGCGAATGAATTGGCATGGTGTCGATGAAGTCAAAACTAAAGACTGTTTCGCAGATGCATTGAACGTAGTCTTAAATGAGATTTTACGGGGACCATGAGCTATGTCCACTTTGCAGCAGGATTTCGGCATGTCGCTTCGTAGACAGCCCCAACCGTCAAGATTACTTTACAGACTGTGCCGCGTTTAGTTTCGTGATTAGTTATGGGCTCCTAACCTAGGTTCTATGGACTAGCTGCTGAGCGTCTGTGCGTGCGGGGTACCTAACAGGGAACACCACCTACTGTGTATATCGTGACTGTGCGCCACAGCACTACTCAGAAAAAGAGTCCAACTCACATAGACAATCGCACAACACGAAGACATGGCGGATTCCAATAGTGGAACAATCACCATCTTCATCGACTGCGGTCAGTTCCAATGCTCAGCTCCCCTGATCATGCTAACGATTACAGTATCGCCGTACTCATGGTTCGGGTTCATAAATATAAAGAACTTCCGCCCTCTCCTTACAGCTCATGGGATCGAGGTCTTCATTGAGCCGTTCTTCCTTGGAGGCGCTCGCGACGGTGTTGGCAACCCTTTCACGCCACCAGTACCTGCCAAGGCTACTTTCGGGGAACAGGATCTAGAACTGACCTCCGAACTCCTGGGTCTGAAGGTCATACGACCTGAGGTGTTTCCTATCTCGTCGCTGTTTGTACGGGCCGTCTGAAACTGTTTCTATGTGGAAATGCTAACCCAAGAAGCCCGTTCGACTGGCGAGATATGTCAAAGACCACTATTCCGCAAAAAAGTTCGAGGAAACCTTCCTTGGCTTGGTGTCAGGCTATTGGGGCCGGAATATCAACATTTCTACACCAGAAGGAGTTCTAAAAGCTCTAGAAGTCGTGTTCCCAGCGCATGAACTAGAGGAGATTATAAAGAAAGCGCTCTCGGCTGAGAACAAAAAGCGAGTCGTAGATACCACAATGAGTGTAGGCGCATTTGGTGCACCGTGGATTATAGCCGTCAACAGAAACGGGGAGAGAAGAGATTGGTTCGGCAACGACCGTTGGAACCAGGTGTTCCATCATCTGAAGGTACCATATACTCCTGTAACGATACTCCCACCTAGCCAGGCGAAGTCACATTTGTAATGTCCGATTTTCATAAATCCTTTAAAGACACGCTTTTTCGACGCAACCTTCATCGTCCTCGGGTAGAGCTAGAGTACTTTGTAGCTATTCTGTCCGTAATAGCAAGGTTCACAACTGCTAGCACAGATGTGGTTATATCAAACAGGCGATATGCTGAAGTTCTATCGTCATAGTGTGCTTCTGCAAAACATTTCCTCGCCCCACGCATCTGAAGATATGAACCGCGACATCTTTGTTCCCCAACTTCTATTGGCCTTCCATATTCCTCGGCTTCCTAATTCTACTGGGGTATTGCGTCAACGCAACCATATGTTTCAAGTACTGTCACACGGCAAGGACCTATGATGGCATCACTACCACCTGCGCACCAATCAAAGTGACCATGGATCAGCCAGCATCACTTATAGATGACTCTTGAGCGTTGGACTTCCATGAACTGCCCTCGTAAGAGACGAAACAGTCCCGCTCGCCTCCTCCTCTATGCGCGCGAAGAGTTCAGCACATGTTGGAATATCTTTGATGACCCCCATCACTTGGCCTGCATACCAGACCTAAGCTTGTCAGCATACGCGTAGATTGATGAATAAAATAAAACTTACGCCGTGTTGCACATCCCCACCAACGAGCACCTCCCTCCCTTTTGCGCCACTAACAATGGGCGCAATTTCGCTAAACTCGCCTGTCGCGCTCTCACGTTCTATCCGCACCGCCTCGGCAGTCATGTTGTTCGCATACATCCGACTCGTATTCCTCCACCGCCGAAGAATAAGCGAAGTCTGATGTTCATCTGCTGCAACGATTGCCTTCTTGACATTGTCATGAATTGGCGCCTCTACTGTACACATAAATCTCGTTCCCATATTGATTCCCGCAGCACCAAGACTAAGTGCAGCAGCAAGGCCGTAGCCGTCTGCAAACCCGCCTGAGGCAATAAACGGGGTGGAGCCGAGCTCCTGACGCGCGCGACTAAGGAGGATAAGTGATGCTATGTCAGATTCTCCAACATGGCCGGCGCATTCAAACCCGTCAATTGAAAGAATGTCAGCGCCTAAAGCTATAGCTGCTTTTGCGTGTCTGATCGTGGTCGCTTTGTGAATGACGATGATCCCCTCTTTCTTTAATTTTCCAATGACTGGACCAGGGCTGTTGCCTGCTGTTTCGACAATTTTTACTTTTTCATCGATGATGACTTGAATGAAAGCCGGATAATCGGGGGGATTGAGGGCAGGAAGAAGGGTGAGGTTCACGCCAAAGGGCTTGGTGGTTAGGGACCGCGTCTTCTTGATTTCAGCACGCAGAGCTTCGGGTGTGGGCTGTGTGAGGGCGTTGATAATTCCAAGACCGCCGGCATTGCTGACTGCTGCTGCTAGCTCTGCGTAGGCTACCCATTGTAAGCCGCCTTGGACTACGGGAACCCTGATGCCTAGTAATCTGGTGACAGCGGTGTCAAAAGCCATGGTTTAGTAGAGGCAGAAGGGAAAGTTTCGAGTTGATGTGAGCCGCTGGTGAAGTGGGCTGTTACTGTTCAAATTGAGTTTATAGTATCCGCCTTTTACCCTAAAAAAGCCTATGTCCTGTGCGGTGTTTAGTAATCGATCAGGAAGCTCGGCTCCTAACTAGGCCGGCAATCGTGATTATGTCGAAGTCTTGGAACATGACTCTTGAGAAACAGGACATTCTGATTGGCTTGTGATAGTGTCAGCGAGAAGAATGAAGCCCGTTAATCAGCTCAGTCTATTATAGCGGACTTGTTTTGTCTGTTTAGCCGTACGGGATGCTGGTGTGCGTAAAGGTTGGTAATTACAGCCTACAAACAAGAACCCTGCTCAATTTGATCTTACGCGTGTGCTGCAAATCTAATCTACCCAACATAGTTTGTCCAATGCTCCCAATAGCATACGGTGGTTCGGTCATCATGCCAGAACTGCAGATGCGCGGTCATTTATGCGTGATCCGTGGCCCGCCTTCGCCACAAGTATTAGGTGTACCTTCTGATAGTAAGCCTGAATACGTTGAGAAATCAGGCTTAGGAGCAAGAGCGCGACTTGCCGCTTCGAGAATTAGCTACATAGCACCTCGGCAATTGCACCTGCACAACTCCCCCAAGCTCCCCACAGTTTAGCGCTTTCTCCTGCGATCCCCGCAAATATTTATGGCTGTGGAAATCACAGGAGGTAACGGCTTTGCCTCAGTCTATTCCAGATCCGGCAGAGAGCCTGGATTTCATATGCCCAGTGGAAGTGTCGATGGACTTCTCAGCAGTGTCCCCAGCGGGAGAGCGGAATGCGTTTCTTAACGCGGTCAGGGAAGCGCGAACCAGATCGAAAATTCCGGCGTAAGCTAGTCAAGCAGATAGAAGCGCAGGCTTTGTACGAAGTGCACTGTAGCAAACCCGGCGTTTGAACTTGTGTTTGTGCAAGTAATGCCGAGAGCACAAGGTGTATGCACAGTAATGCACCCAGGCACGTCCTACCTGCCTCTTAGCACCATTGTAGAATGAAGGCACTTCTGTTGCAGCCAAGAGGCCGACTGATTATTACTGAACTGTTCCGCTCGAGCGCATATAGGACAGAGTCGCGGTAGGATTGTCATTCCTGCCCGCCCGCTGCTGCGGTTTGCCAAGCGGCTCATTGGACGTGTTTGGGTACAATGCGGTATGATGGTCCAAATCGATACAACCGTTCCTGCAATACAAGCTGAGCCATAGATAAAGCTCCAAAGATACGGAGAAGACTTTCGTCGTTCTCAGGGAGATTGCTACTCAAGCCCGATAGTATACAGGCATTTCTTGGAGAGGGGACTCAGCTGTGACGTGGGTGCCACCATCGAACTCATCTTCGCCCCACAGCCGCTTCCATTTGCCTCCGTGAACCAACTTTGGCAGGTAGATATTTGTCTCGGTCTGACCTGCTGACAGGACGGGACAGCACAAGTACTTGTCACCGTACATGTACTGCGTCTCAGTTTCCCAGCATATGGGGTCTTCTGGAAATTCGTAGAAGAGCGTCCTCATAACAGGGGTGCCTTTGTCGTGGGCCTCCATCATGAGTTTCCGTGTATAAGGACGTAACTCCTCACGCAGTTCCATGTACTTCTTGCAGATCTCGAACACCTCTGGACCATATGACCACACTTCATTATCGGCGCCGCTACGACACGAGGCTCCTCCCGTTGTCCCAACCTTGGCTTGTCGAGGTTCTCGGTCTCCATGGAGTCTCATGACTGGGCAGAAAGCTCCCCATTGAAACCAACGAACAAACAGTTCACGAAACTTTGGGTCGTTCGGATCACCCCCGTGAAATCCTCCGATATCGGTCGTCCACCATGGTAAGCCTGCAATGCCCATGGATAATCCTGCCGCCAGCTGGTTTCGCAGGCTTCCCCATGAAGACGCGATATCGCCACTCCAGACGAGCGCTCCGTACCTCTGGCTGCCTGCCCAAGCACAGCGGATGAGGTTCACAACATCGGGCTGACCTTCCTCGGTCATTCCTTCGAACCATGCACGCGCGTACTCTCGTGGAAAGATGTTGCCAACGGCTACATTGGACCCAAGATGGTATCGATAGTTGTCGAAGTCATATACCGAGTACTCTGGTTCTGCCTCGTCAAGCCAGAAAACTTTGATGCCCTTCGCGTAGTAGTTCTGCTTCGCTTTGCCCCATACATACTTCCGTGCTGCTGGATTGGTGGGGTCAAAATGAACTGTTATTCCCTGGAACGTCATGGCGATCCGCTCGCCACGTTCAGTCCGAATCAGATAGCCTTTTTCCAGCATCTCTGCGTAATTTTCGGACTTTCGATCGACCGTGGGCCAGATGGAAACCATGAGCTCGATGCGCATATCCTGTAGTTCCTTGATCATGGCATCTAGGTTGCTCAATGTCAGTATGCAGATTAAGAGGCTGGGGACACATCACATTCACCTGGATCTGGCCAATAGGTCTCATCAAATCTCCAGTCACCCTGCTTTGGCCAGTGGAAAAAGTCGACGACAATCAAGTCAATGGGCAATTCCAGGCGTTTGTACTCTCTCGCGACCTTGAGCAGCTCATCCTGTGTTTGGTAGCGCAGTTTGCACTGCCAAAACCCAAGCCCATACTCTGGCATCATTGGCACCTTGCCGGTGGCTTCAGCGTATGCCTCGACGATTTGCGCCGGCGCCTCGCCTGCTACAATCCAATAGTCTAGAACTTTTGTTGACCGAGCTTCAAAGCTCATGATGTTCTTGCCGAAGAAAGCACTGCCGATCGACGGATTGTTCCATAGGAAACCATAGCCTCGAGAGGATAAGGCGAATGGTACGCTAGCTTGAGAGTTCCGATGAGCAAGCTCAACCTGCGTTCCCTTGATATCAAGATACGGCTGCTGATACTGTCCCATGCCATAGATTTTCTCCTTAGGATCGAGGCTTTCGAATCGAGCTGTGAGATGATAGTCGCCGCCAAAGATTGGCTTGAATTCTCGTGCTTCGATCTCGAGAGCACTGCATTTTGGGTCCGTTGGATCGCGTCGATTCCGAGTAAACTCCTCAAGAATGAGTTTTCCGCTGTTGTCGAAGATAGAAAGCTTGCCACGTTGTGTGACTGTAGCTTTGATGCGACCATTGGTCAGGGTAGCAGAATCATCCCCAATTTCGATGTCTACCTCCGTATGTGTTGGATCCAGCAGCGCCCAGTCTTCGATTGGCATGCTACTTGCCTTGGAAGCGCGAATGCGAAGAGCATTGTGGCCCCAAGCTTCGATCCAAAGTTGCTCTGCATCGTACGCAAAGACCAATCGTCCCTTTTCGTTCAAAAACATAGTTTCGGCCCCCTGGACAAGTTTCTCGCTTTAGCGATAAAGATAGAGTGAGCAGAGGAGACACAGACGATGCAGGGAGGCCACACGGGTAAGTACACGCGCTGTTATGAGGGCGAGCCCGAGCTTGTAGTTACCCGACATCCATCGATAAGGTAAGTCAGCGGGGTACTGCATGCTTGGGTAACGACACATGCAAGGACAGCGCACGTTGTTGTGTCGTGCGGAGCGAGACGTTCCTCTCCAGAAGGCGCGAAGGTACATACCAGCGCACCAGTGCAGTCGAGTCGAAAAGCGGGGCAGCCCCACCGTGATTGTGGCATGACGTTTACGACTGTATCCACGCAGGCAGACCTGGTGCAGTATCTACCTTCATATTGCATCGCAGAAACTTCGGTCGTCACCGTCTCATTACTCTGCGACGCGTGCGTCCTCAATTGAAGCATCACAGCAGGCACCACGTTCGTCTTCCGCCTCTGTTGCCCTCGCCGCGCGCTTCCCCTCGTAAGCGTCATCCAGTTCCTGTGAACATATACAGGCTGCGGAGCCCGAGTCTTCTATGCTGGTCATAATACTGCCTAAGCAGTCGTTCCAAGAGAGTGGCACTGAATGCAGAGTTGGCAACGAACAGACACTTGAAGTCGAGCGGACCAGAGAGCTCCATGACAGCCTCCGCAGGCCTCTTGCCAATGCAATCGCCACCCAATACACGTTTGTAGCCAACTCTGATTAGATGCAAACTGGAATCATTCAATGAGTCGCTGCCCTGTAATATCAGTAGATTTACGAAGCGAGAGTAACACAAGGTCGTTGCGATAAGGCTCCAGATGAATCGTGTTTTGTGCCTTTGCACGGCACGCGATGATGTCTGTATCTGAAACCACACAGCAATCTCGACACATCCATCCCGCCTTGGGTCACTCTAATTGATAGCAGCAATAAAGCACTGGCAACAACGGACGCAGCATGGTATATGTTAGGTTTGTGTTGCAGCCTTGTCGCCATTTGTTTTGATTGATGTTAAATGAAAGCGACCGGGAGATCGGGAGTAACTCTGCTTGCAAAAATCGCACGGCGCAGGAGGAATGTGTTATAAGATCCACGTATCTTCGAGAATTATGGGTACCGCTTCCTTTCGACTTCATCGGACCTCTAGTATTCACCATGTTCGTGTTCTCCATCATCTCAATCGGCCTACTGAGCCTTGCCCAAAGTGTGTCCGCACACGGCTACCTCAAAAGTATAGAAGTTGGGGGAAAGAGCTACCTCGCATGGCAAGTAGGGCAAGACGACTACGTCACGCCCGAGCCCGCTCGGTACGCACGTCGTATCAAAGACAATGGGCCTGTTCCAGATTTCACAAGTGTCAACATCACCTGTAATCAGGGAGGGAACATTCCCTCGAAGGCTACCGTTCCGGTTAATGCTGGCGACAAGGTCAAGCTTATCTGGGATCAATGGGGCTCTTCTCATTCTGGACCCGTCATGAGTAGGTCTGAAGTGAGGGCTTTTTGCTACATAGGATCTGACATAACATTAGACTACCTCGCCTCTTGTGGTAGCTCCTGCGCGACCTTCAAGGGTGACACCGGCACGCCGTGGGTCAAATTCGATCAGATGGCGTACGATACGACAAAAAGTCCGCCCTGGGGTTCCGACTTTCTCGCCACGCAGGGTGCTTCATGGACCGTCACTATTCCAGCAAGCCTAAAGCCTGGCGAGTACCTGTTGCGCCACGAGATTCTAGGTTTGCACGTTGCCGGAGACCGGATGGGAGCACAGTTCTATCCGGCCTGCGTGCAAATCAAAGTAAGCGGTAGCGGCACTAAGAGCCTACCGGCCGGTGTTGGGCTCCCTGGCGCATACAACCCAGATGATGCTGGTATCCTCGTACAATTGTGGCAAGTTAACCAGGGTCAAAGGGGTTATACGGCACCTGGTGGCCCAGTGAAAACAATCTGAGAGTAGGATACGAGAGGATTGTCGATCAATAGAGAAGCATCCTGCTGGACCACTTACAGCTTTGACGATAAATGTGACGGCGATCTCCTGATATGTTCGAATACATCAAGGTGTTATTACACAGTTCACAGCGAGACAGTACGCATATAGTACAAACTCTCGACACTGCATTGAAATTCGCCTGTGCATGACAGCATATCAGTTCCGCTTTCGATAGAAGAGCCTTGACGATGTTTAAAGCGGTCCACGGTCTTATTGCATGCGAAGAAGCACGTCCACCTGCTTTGCAATTTTTTTGCGTGTTCTTGTAAGAGACAAGACTTTGCGTGAATCGTGTGCGCGAAAAGCGTTCATTTGTATTTCCTACCCTACGCTATAACATCTACACTTTGAGAACGAGTGCGCACGAAGAGCATGAGCGACGTAAGCTTGTTCCCGGTGGGAAAGTGCTCAACGTTAAGAACATACGGTTTCAGTAAGTGTTCTAACGAAGACTCAACGAGGTCCATCTCTGTTCATCAGAGAGTGCTGTCAGATACTGGAACATGCGAGCGGAACTTACGCAAGGCCAGCCCACTGCTGGTTTGTTAGTTGTCTAGCCAGATGGCGAAGATCCAGATTTACATTACAGTCGCGCATTGTTGTTTGGTGCTGGGCTACACAATATCGATATCGCTCCTGATTCGTTGAACTCACGATGTGGGATTTTGAAGTACTATTCTGAGCAATGGGAGAGCGAGGGGAGTCTTCGATTGATGATGGGGCGCCGTTTGCGCTAGGGCTATTTGGGTAACGTCGGTGACGCTTGTCTCTGATCCCTGACCCTTCACGTACATCCTAGAATCCTCTGCCGAGGCCTGCTGCGCACAGCCGCATCTGCATACGGCCATCTACAGATCGACTCATGGAGCCGGCCTGTCAGCTGCCGACATATATGCGGGGTGATCGTACATAAGTAGATTGCGTCAACCGCTAGTGCATTCGTACAAGACATGCCGACCGGAGTGTCATGCATGCAGGTTGGTGTACGCTAACGGCAGCGTGTGACCATAATCACATAGTCTGTCAATTCCAGCACACAATTGGATAGACGATCTCTATGCCAGATCCTCAATCTCGCCGAAGCAAATACAACAAGACCAATCAAGGCTCGTGAGCTTGAATCGATGCCGAGGAGACACCCGCCGTCTGCCGAGAATGTCTTAGACATGAAACATGAACTTTTCAAGTGGTTCTTCTTCGAGAAGAGCATCTCTCAAATCAGGCGTAGGTCATACGAACGCGTAGCAAGTAGACAAAGTCTGAATCTGTATGGCGCAACGTTGCCGTCTACAAGGCAAAATCCTATCCTCGAGTGTTTCTAGGTATCAAGGCGATGGAATAGCAGTCAAAGTGCGGGGAAGCAGCTCTATTGGGCATCAGATTGTTGAAAGGCATTGGCCCAGCGCGAGTTCTGTTGCAGATAGGTCAATATTGACCGAGGATGATGCAGTGGTGGTGATGAACTAAGGTGTTCAAATTAATTACTTTTGCTGACGTGCAACTGTTCCCGACCACATCAGCCCATAGCCTAGACACCGCAGTCTCAGGATACCGAGGTACTCTTCTAATGACTTTGGAATTTCTACCTTGGCATGTCAGCGATGCGGCATTGAATGGAGCGTTGTAGCGGGGGATGTGCTCTGGTCGCAGACTGATTGGCTCACAACTATATTCAATGTCTTTGTTGTTCTCTTCACAATGGTCTGAGGGCTGGTCACTGATCCATTACACGGGTAGACCTGAAGTTGGAAGGTTCACTAGCGCGAAGCCACTGGTATTCCACCTCGCCGTAGGTATTTTTTGAACATGGGGCAGTCTTGACTGATGGGCACACTGAATGGTACGGACAACTATAAAGTGTTGCGAAGCTGCACAGCTGAATTCAACATCCAACATCTGCAAGTTCTCAATACAGAAGCCGCTCTTTCTACGCCTATCAGCTCAGCAACTCAAGACGTTAGCTCCCTGAACCTCTAAGCAAACATGAAGTTCTTCGCTCTCGCCATTCTTGCCGGCTTCACTGCTGCCTCTCCCGTCATTGTGCTCGAGTCTGAGGCCATTGGACTCCAAGCTCGCCAAATCGGTTCTTCCAGGACCGAACTCGAGAGTGGCAGTGCTTCTGCTTGCCCAAAGGCTATCCTTATCTTTGCTCGTGGCAGCACTGAGACGGGCAATTTGGTACGTGAATTAGACTGGAATTCACCACGATCACTGACAAATACAATCAGGGTACCTTGGGTGTCCCGCTCGGTAATGCTCTCGAAAGCAGGTATGGTGCTGCAAATGTTTGGGTTCAGGGTGTTGGAGGTCCATACGATGCCACGCTCGCAGACAACTTCCTTCCGAGAGGCTCCTCTGCTGCTGCTATCAGAGAGGGTGTCCGCCTTCTCAATCTCGCCAATAGCAAGTGCCCGAGTTCGAAAGTTGTTACTGGAGGATACTCGTATGTAGTTGTGCTCCGGCATGATTTGTCTCGAAGCTAACCACATTACTAGTCAGGGATCTGCTCTCATCGCTGCCGCTCTGTCCGATGTAACTGCTACCGTGCGCAATCAGGTGGTCGGAACAGTTCTGTTTGGATACACGAAGAATCAGCAAAACTTGGGTCGGGTCCCTAACTACCCTTCAGACAGGCTCGCGATCTACTGCGCGGTTGGGGATCTGGTGTGTGATGGAACGCTTGTCATTACGGCTGCACACTTGTCGTACGGTGATGAAGCTGCTAATGAAGCCCCTCGATTCCTGGCTGGAAAGATCGGTGCGTAAGCAGTTCCCATTGCTAAACCCATCGATGCAGTATGTATCAGATGCCGACACTTTGATGGACGTAAGGGCAGTGGTGGGGTATTGCAATAGGTTTTGACAGGTATCTGGTTTTGTCAAACCGTCTATAGTACTCGAACGTACCTAGATGGTGCTAAAAGACGGGCGCTCGTTCGAGTTCCAAAAAGAATACAGATGTTGAGGTCGAAAGGTTGTTCGAAAGCTCGACAAGTGTGTTGTCTGAATGATGAACATAGCTCCGTTGATTCCTTGATCTACGTCTGCGAGATGGATGAATGAATGCCTCGAGGTTTTCCGATGATGCAACTGGCCTGACTTCGCTCATTCTGGGCAAGAGTACCTCCACGGCTAGCTACATCAGACACTTGGGACGGCTCTAGCCAGGTGCACCAATCGATCGACCAGAAACTGACGCGATATATTGAGCTTGCCCGCCATTCGCTAGGATCTACTCTCGGTAATTAAGCGCGGATGTGGACGGATGTCTACCGAGTTCCGTTTCATGACTCAGCATAAGTTGACACAGCACCTATGCACATATGGATGAAGGATGGCATAATAAATAGAAGACAAGCTGGAGCAGGATGATTAGTGAAACGACTCAAAAATGCAAATTTAATTCGCAGAGCTGGCTACATGCCTTTCAAAACTGAAACATGGCGATTGTTTCACCTTGCTGATAAAAGATCGTGCCATGCTTTCACGGAGTAGCTGGGGAGGTATGACTTGCATCTTCATGAAGGTTGACACCAGAGATCACCGTATCAAACATGGTGTGCATAGAAGTATGTTCATAGGTAGTGAGTCTGTGGAACATGGTCTGAGGTGCACTTTGATATCGCAAGGCTCGACAAAGGTAGAACTTGACAGGAACTGAGCAGCCATAAGAAAGCTTTGATGGAAATTGAATGTATCAAGGCCTAGACATACGTTGTTGTGCCACATGTTTCGAGTACAACACGGCGAAATGGCTGTCGTTGGATTTGGTCGGATTACCTAGAATGTGCAAAACGGGCCTTCAGGATAATAGAGCCGGGATGACGGCATGCTAGTCTATGATACTGACTGGATTCGTGTAGTGGCTCATGCACTAAGACTCTTAGCGCACCGTCCGACCGTTCGCTGATCTCGCCACTCTCGCTACCTACTTACGTGCTTAGCGCTGGTATTCGAAATCGCAATCCAGGCTGTTAGAAGCGGAGAATTGAATTGTCTGTTGTTCAATGCCTTGAGATTGTTTTCACATAAATTTACATCTTGAATTCCTGAGACTGCTCTTGTCAGATCTGTTTTTGAATGCATGTCTCAATCAAGACGACCTAATGTTTACCGCGCTATGACTTTTTGACCGCTTCAGTGGGTCCTGAAGTATTCAACATGACGCAACAAGACGGTTCGTTTCAGCTGGGTATCTCCCCTTCGTATCTATTGTACACGAGCGCTGTGGCTTATGAGGCTTGAGTAGGGTGTTCGCTGCCAAGCCGGTTTCACTTGGAGGTTCACCAACGACAACTCCTCTAGTCTACCCTGGTACTCTAGGGACGACATCTGTCAAGCATTCGGTTTCAGGTTTGCATGACGTATCGGCGTTTTCCATCAATTGTAAAGCCATCACGAAGACATGGCCTCTATTCTGTCTCCTGAGTCCTGTGGGCCAACGGCACCATGTCGATTGTGAAAGAATCCATCACGGCTGATCTCGCCTCACGCATATCGACGGGTCTTCGTAAATGAGAGTACGCTGCATCTGAGTGACGACCTACAAGTAATGGCTGATGAAGCGAAGTCAGCCAGTCTGTGGATTAAAAATCATTATCCTTGTGCTCTCGTTTGACGAACGTCTATACCATAACCGACTTAACGCAGCTGTCTCCTCCTGTAAGAGGTCCCATCTCGGCATCGAATTCGTGTCGTACGGTGTACCTTTGGACTTGAGTGTTGGCGCGCAGGAACAGGACAAGGCTTGCGTTATCTTCCAATAGCATAAAGTATTGGCGAAGTTTGACGTTCCAATAATTCAGATGGGAGTTTTTTTGGCCTGCGTTTTATGGTTGTTTTGCATGAATATCGTACGGCGATATCTCGCTCGGTGCAATACAATTATGGACAGGATCTTCAACACTATGGACTGGACCAGTTCGGATGACCAACTGAGACATAGTGGCAGAAGCCAAGTATCTGTATCTGTACTAAGAATTCAGATATAATAGTATAGTCAACTCCCCTCCATTCTCGACACCACAGTCCGTTTGCTATTCCAACACTCGTTCCGTTACCAACCAGGCTTCGATCTTTTACCGTCTTTACCATCTTCTTCCCGCCCCACCAAAATGCGTCTCGCAACAGTCTTTTCCATGGCTGCCGTAGCCTTTGCATCTCCCACTCCATCCGAGCTCAAATCTCGCGCTTCAGTCCCTCACGACTCTCTTAACCCAATAGCCACTCGTGTGCAAGCTGGAAACATTGGTCGTGCCATTGAGAAATTTTCTCCGTTGCTGCACATTGCACATGGATGCCAGCCGTACACTGCTGTTGATGATGAGGGAAATACTAGGTTAGCCCGCGAATGAGCGTACTTAAATCCCAAGCACTCACTGACCACCTGATAGCGGAGGTCTCCAAGATTCGGGAAATGTCAGTGCTGGATGCCGGGATCAAGCTAAGGGCCAACTTTACGCCCGAGCCGCCGCCCACAAGGAGAAGTTTGCCATCATGTACGCCTGGTACTTCCCGAAGGATCAACCCGCTGCTGGCAATGTCGTAGGTGGCCATCGCCACGACTGGGAGAGCGTCGTTGTCTGGATTGACAACCCTGATAACGAAAACGCTGTTATCTTGGGTGGCGCTGCATCTGGCCACGGCGAATTCAATACCACGACTACGCCCAACAAGCAAGACAACAACCTTCTCGTAGAGTACTTCACAACTTTCCCAACCAACCATGAGCTGCAGTTTACCAGCACCGTCGGTAAGGCCTACGCGATCAGCGACTGGGATGCCATGCCCACCGCGGCACAGAAAGCCCTTTCCAACGGCGACACTTTTGGATCAGCGAACGTACCTTTCATGCCCGACAACTTCGTCAACAATTTGGACAAAGCTTTTGTCTAGGCATGTTCCCCCGGTCGAGCATCTTATCTGGACCCACACCAACTTTCTTTTACAGCTCCGTCCGCTTTATGTTTATGACTTTGTCTTTCCTGCCTTGATTTTGGCTACCATCGAAAGTGTACGTAGTTCAACTACCCGCATCATTATGAAAGATTTGAACAAAGTGTTTGACCGAGTTTCATGCTGGGTGACGCGATTAAGACGAAAAAGATCTTGACTTCTACCGATGATTCCCTGCCTGAACATCCAGCCTGCACAGCTCCGAGATGGCTTGTCTAGTCTATGTAATCTCAGCTAAACGCAAAATAGCCACGTCAGATCGGACATCCAATGGCCTAACGTCTATCCAGATAGCACCAAGCTTCAGGAAATGAAATCGTCTCATAGCCAGGCCTGCTCCTTGTACGACTCGGAAATGGTCATGTAGGACCTGCACCCTGGTCGATCAGCGGAGATCACGTGATGGCAAGGGTATGATCGATTCCAACGACCTGCTTGCGTAAGTTTTCTCACGGACGTTCGAAAAAGTCAATCTTCTCGCCAAAAGATGAGAAGTGGTAAATGGAAGACAGAGCAAGAGTAACGTTCACAACATGAGTACCGAAGAATAGTTACTGTATGTCAAATGCCAAGCGCTATTTCTGCATACGCTACATGACTTACTCGGCCAACTGCAACCCCCGTAGGCTGATCGAGACCTTGACCGTCGCACCGCTTCCAACATCGTACGAGTTCGCGACGCTCAATTCCTGCCCATTCTGCACATCCTCGAAGGGGATCTCTACTACACCAGTCTCAGCCTCCTTGTTCAGCAGGCTGATCCGGAAAGGCGCGCCACTGTTCAGCACATCGCCTGTGATTGGGATCCTGAAAGCCTGGTCAAAGCTCGGGTTGAAGATGTCCGAGCCAGGGGTGTACGTCTTGATTGCAGTGCGGAACTCCTTTGCACCCCACGAGACTTTGACGCTGGGTTGGAGCTCATCGCGCTGGCCCTGAAGACCAAGAGCGCTGGCAACGAGGATGGTAGCAATTCCGCAGATCTGGCCTTCGCCTTCGCTCTGGGAGGCCGACAGGGCCTGCGGGTCAGAGACAAAGTGGAAGAACTTGGCGTGCACTGTGACGCGGGCATCCGTGTGCTCGCCCTTGTGCGTGAGCGCGATCTCTTTTGTGCCGCCGCCAAGCAGGATGTTTTTGACAGAGATCGAGCCAATGCCGATGTCGTCGTCGCCACCAAGGTCGTCGTCCTGGACATCGAGGGTTATGTTCTGCTCGAAGTCTGCAACGAGGAAGTCATGGGTCTCGTTCCACTCAGGGTCGTGGTCGTTCTTCTTTGTTGCTGTTCGCCACTCCTCTTCGGCGCCAACGTTGACTTTGCAGTAGCAGTCAGGCACATCCTTCACGATCTTGGCCAAAAGGCGCTTTGCACCGCTCTTCTTGGGACCTGAGATGCCGATTGCACGCTCGATGGTCAGACGGACGACACCAAGGTGCGGTTGGTATGTCTTGAACCAGTCGTTTGAGTTATCGAGTTTGACGAGGAAACGGTTTGGCAGAACAGCCATTCCACCGATTATGCCAAGGATAGTCTTGCGGATGGTGCCTGAGATAATGCCAAGATCTGCGATGTTGGCGGCATCGGTGAAATCGAGTGAGAGCTCTGGGGGGTTGATGAATGCAACTTGTGCAGCACCAATCTAAATCACGTGTCAGCTTTCGTGCGATTACGGCTGTCAGAGGTTAGACCTTACGAGCGGGATGATGTTCGTCAAAGGCGCGAGCAACACAGAAAGTCTGCCTCTGAGATGCACATGTTCGATACCCTATTGCTGATTAGTTTGCTGTATCTTCGTGGATGAGTGCGAGAGTCTTACAATCTTAGGAACCATGCTGCCGTCCAACTCAATGTCACTCTTGCTCTCCCAAACTACGTCCATATCCAGCTTGATGCCTCCCATGGAAGTCTTGTGAACATCTACTGCGCCCAATCGCAGTGGGACGTGGCCCAGGTCGAGTTTTGTGAACCGCAGATTTCCCAATGGGCCTGGCAATGTGGATGCCAGAATAGGCTCGACGATCTCCTTCACCATTCTGCAGCCGGCGACATTGATATTGGGCCATAGTTGCTCAACAATGTCGTTGAGGAAACCTGATACTTGCCGTCAGCTGACTCGTGGTTTCAGGCGTATAAAATTGCACGCATTGATGTTGTACCTGCAGATTCGGTGCCGCCCGATGCAGTCAAGGTATCCGCGAGACCTTGCATGTTGTTCATGATTGTGACTGTTTGAGGGAATCAAAGGCAAATGAACAAATATTTGACAAAAGAACAGAGTTGAGCGGGTCAAGACACGTTGGAAGCTGAGAGTCTTATACGACCATGTGGATGCAAGTGGGGTAAGGCATGCCTGAGGGGCATCGATCGTAAGGGCCGAGAAGCAGCCTGAAACAGCAAGCTAAACACTGACAAACAGGAGATAACGCGTTGTTTACGTCCATGACGACCAACAAGCTCCTCAGACGTCACTCGTGTGCAAGGTGGGGTTGTTGGCAGACAGGTTGCCTCGACTCTCAGAACAGGGCCCTGGCTGGCGATTGGCTGAAGACCCATACGCCGCGGGGCGACTCCGCCGCTAAAGTGCTGCACGTTCGTCTTCACCGCTGGACATGCATCGACACGCAGGGCTTGGCAACATCGTGGCCTGTTTCGTCTGCAGCCAGGTCTAGTTTTGGAGGTAGTGCAGGTGGAGCGGATCATACATCGTGAGCCATATGTTTGGTGGTACAGCTCCTGGGCTGCGAGGGGAGAATAGTGGCTGAGATGTGGCTATGGTGGCGGTGGCGGTGGTGGCTGTGTTCTTCTTCACGAAAGACGTCCATCTCTATGAACCCATGGGATGCTGAATTATGGAACACTTCAGGATCTTTCATGGTGTTCTGTTTCAGCGAGTTTAATGCGGATATAAACATGGACTTCAAACGTGTTGGTGGTTGTTGTGAAAATGTTCGTCGAATAACTGATACCTCTTCATTAAATAAAATAATGTTGACTCGCATCAGCTGTAAATCGTTCTCAACACCGTTATTCCGTTCACCAGTTGCCAAACTGACATAATTGCGAGGCATACACACTTGAATAGAGCGAAGTCTCGACCTACATATGGCTCATTACTTCAAAGTTGACGCCATTGATGACGACCAGGGCCAATACAGCCCATTCTACATGCATCCAATCATGGGACGGGACAGCCTGTATCTGTGTTAGATAGCGCGAACGATGACTAGATGAAGTCGCCAGACTGTTCGAGTCATTTCCAGTCATTCACCTGTTCTCCATACAGTCTTCAGACGAAGGGTGCACAATCAAACCTCGAGCGGTTCGGCACACTCGGCTAGAGATGAAGAAGGCATCGAATTCCCCGCGCATTTGCGTGGCGTTATGGCTAATAGACAGGGGACAGATATATTTACATCTTTCCTTGGGATGCCAACGACTTGACTGAAAAAGGCGAATCGCATAGAAAGACTTAATCGCAAATACACGTGAACCATCTCCCTCTAGTCCGATGCTCAGGTTCACTGTGATCGCACGGGTGATAAATGACGTCTCTGACTGATGCAGCCGCGTAGTAGCAAGGACTGGGAAAAACCAGCCGCTCTTTCTCATGTATAAACAGAATCTCCACCAGGCTGGTCCAGCCACGTTGATCCGAAGCGCTCAAGCCAACACTGATGCCAAGATCCATCAGAAAACCCCGGCGAGGTGGATCAAACTGGGTACTGATGATGGTGCACAGAACATCCTTGAGTACATCCTGGATGGAGCGGTTGTAATCGGTCGGGATGATTTGAGTGAATCCAACGAGCCCCATCATGCCGAAAGTCTTGTCTCAGGGATCTTGACACTTGCCTGTTGAGAAGGCCGCGATGCAGTCGAGAAGTGTGAGGCTTCGAAAGCCGTCAGCCACAAGACTAAGCAAATCATCAGCTGCATTTTCTCGCCGATCGAGGTCTGGAAACCCTAGGAGACTGCGTACGCTTTGATTCTGCGCCTTCAAACACCTGGCTGCGGCAGAACTCCTTGCAGAACGCGTACAAGTTTGGACCGATTTCCAGATATGCACCATCGATCATCAAGCGACTTCGAGACAGAGAGGTTCCCCATGTATAGGAAAGCGCAGTATATTGGGCTGGAGCGCCAGACCACCTTCCCATCCACTTGAGGTCGAATATTCGCAGTTCACATTTGACTTCTGAACACTCAGAAATATCTTTGCAACAGAACCTAAGTAGTCGGAATTCTTTGCTTGTTGGATGCAATGGTGAATGTTGGTAGGATTGCTGGGTGTGGGAACGACGTGAGCTTGGAGGGGTATGTAGTTTCACCAGCAGCGTCTCGAGAAATGCGCACATCAGTCTCGCGATAACGTCTATTTGGATCCGGGGTCAATGAGTGAAATTGCCCTTGTAGATGTTAGGAAAAGCGCAGATTAAGATGAGGTGGAAGTCGAAAGTGATGCATTAGTGTCAAGACTAGTAGCAGTGAAGAGGTGGTGTGGCTGGGTTGTCAACAGCCATGCAGTGAGTCTGCCTGGCAGCTCATCAAGCCTGATATCAGTCGCCCTGCGCATGGGCGGAAGCCCGTGGTTCTCGAGAGACAGATTTCAGACCACACGTCGCGTTTGTCACGGATGTTGCGCGACTCCTCGGCTCGGAGTAAAAGAAAGCGCGGGGCAGTGGTGGGGCAGGCGCGATTGAGCTCACCCCATACACGAGCAGAGGCGGCCGTCTCCGACGGTTGTTTGCCGTGTCGCTGACTGATTTCTGACTCTTGTCGCACACATTACTAGGTCAATAGAGTGCTCAGAGTCTCAGACACATCCAGGCGTCATGGCATCATCAACTCAAGGGCTCACGTCCGAGCAGGTCGACTTCTTCCACAAGAATGGCTATCTGCTCGTCCCAGATGCGCTGTCGCAGGATACAGTCAAGCAGCTGTTGGCTGACACAGACAAGATGCTGCACGAGTTCGAGTTGAAGGACCACCCCATGACCAAATTCTCCACTGGCGGCGACGACGGTGCAGACCACGTCGGCGATGCATACTTTCTGGAGTCTGGGGACAAGGTCCGCTTCTTCTTCGAGGAAGGTAGGCTTGCGCATCGTATCAATACAAGAACGCGTAGCTAATGCGCCGCAGACGCCTTCGACAAGGCAGGTAACCTGACCAAGCCCAAAGAGCGTGCCATCAACAAGATTGGCCACTACCTGCACGAACTATCGCCTTCCTTCCGCGAGATATCGCTGTCAGCAAAGAACGCGTCTATCGCCCGCGACCTTGGCTTCCGCGATCCCCGCGTGCTCCAGTCCATGGTCATCTGCAAGCAGCCCGAGATTGGCGGCGCAGTGCCTCCGCACCAGGACAGCACCTTTTTATACACAGATCCGCCGAGCGCAGTCGGGTTTTGGTACGCGCTTGAGGATGCGACCAAGGAGAACGGGTGCCTGAGCTTTGCGGCAGGAAGCCACAGGCGCGCCGCTGTCACGCAGAGGTTTGTGCGCACCGGCGAGAACGGCAAGGAAGGCACTGGCTTTATCGACAACGATGGGCCGCAGTTTCCCAAAAGCCTGCAGACCGAGGCTGCTTCTGGGGAGGAAGAGGTATACGATATGGGCGAGGTCAAGGCTGGTACGCTAGTGCTCATTCACGGCAACATTCTGCACAAGAGCGAAAAGAACACCAGCCAGAAGAGCCGAAACATCTACACGTTCCACGTGATCGAGGGCGAGGAGAGGTATGACGAGAGGAACTGGCTGCAGCCCCCCACGAGCGGGTTTTCGAAGCTGAGCGTCGGTGCGTAGGATCGAGAGTGGCGATTACACTATAAAATCTATGACTTGCTCTGTACACATAGCGCAACACCGGCGAGTGCCAATCCCATGCCTATCCACGTGTCTTCCATTTGTCAGCGAGCTTGTGAGACACTGATGTACAGTATAGGCGACCTACCTCTGCTGATGACCTTCTTCTCAGCCCACCATTCGCCCAGCACTGTGAACATGAACGCCAGCGAGTTCGTGATTGGCACAGTGAGACTCAACTCTGGTACCTGTTAGCATCTACATAGCGTATGTACTGTGGCTGACCCACCAGCCTTGCCAATTAGAATGAAGAACCACACGCTGCCAGTGACATTAAGCAGTAGCGGTACGGCATACGCCGGTCTACTGAGCACGCCTTTCACGGCATACCAGATGCCAAGCGCCTTCTTCTTCAGGGCCGAGTTCTTCGGATCAGTCAGAGCCGGGTGTGTTGGCGCTGTATAGTTCATCGCAGCTTTGCGCATAAACGGCGTAGTGAGCCCCCAACACGCGCCGACCATTAGAAACCCCAGAATCCAGCGGATGATGGACGGCTGAGGCTCGCTTGCAAGGGGCGTATCTGGATCCATGGTAGTGTGCACTTGTAGACGGGCCGAGCTGTTTACTGGAGAATGTGTGAGTAGTAGTGGATGGGTAGTCGCCGTCGCGGACGACGCTCGGGATGGCGACAGAGGCTCGAGACGCGCTTGCCTCGGGCGTAGCGGCGGATAAAATCACCGCCCGGAAGCCAGCCATCACCATAGTGGCCAGAGCTCCCAACAATCACTGCGACAACGAGTCCTTTGTCGAGGCCAGCACTGCCATCGCCGCATTGTTTCAGTTCGTTGACGGAGCAGGCAACAAACAAAACGTCCAACACATGGGCTGATGCAAGGGCGCGCCTTCCGCAGCTTGAAATGGCACAACCCGCTGCGGCCCACGAGCGCTGAACCGGCGCCGTGGTCAACACCATGAAGTCGTCACGAACATGTCGCCGCTTACTGTGCCCCTCTTTTCCACGGCTCACTATCCTCAAGCTGCTAGCTGGATCTCGGAGCTCCCGCTCGCAATAGGCACGTGCAATACCACTCACACCACATTCTGTCTGAATCATCATCGCCAACACTGCTTGCCCGATTTGCCCGAACATCGATTTTCTTTGTTCCCCAGATCTGGATTTCCCCTTTCGGCTATTCGATTCCTCTTTCGATGTCGATCTACTTATGTCAGCCATCGTTGTCTGTTCACTTCAGCGTCGCTTGTCTGAGTCCTCGTGATAAGCCAGGCTGCATGCGGCATGCTCACAATCTGCATTCCACCCACCTGGACATCGAGTGGGTTGGCTTAGCGAGCTGTTGCGATGAACACCGCCACACGTCACCGCGCCGTCAATCGTGCACGATGAGCCTCAATTGAGTCCCTCCGTAATCCTCGAGTCACTCCCAGGACATGTCCTCAGATGATACGGCCACCAGTAGAGCTTCGAGGCATATGGCGGCCGCATCTGCAGCCTTGCCGGCTGTTGTCAATGAAGACTGGCAGCGCAGTGACTCTTGTGTGACGAGTCGCTGTGGGGCTGGACAATACAGGCGAGAATGTAACCCAATAACGACGTTGTGTGGCTGCAACCAGCATACTACATCTTGTATGCACCTGCTAAGGGTTGCCCAACCACCTCAATTCCCCAGATCCACTGGCGTTTGACACTTCGGCCACTACATACGCCTCAAGCGAGCCTGAAACAACAAGACGGTGGCTTAGGTCATCCACATTCCGCCCTGGCTTCCCAATAATAGTTCGATACAACATGGAATGCAGTTGTCAAGGAGAGGCTGGAAGGAACTCTCGTGAATCAAGTTGCAAGAGTATATATCCAGACTGGGTTGTTTTGATTGTTTGTATCCAGCCTTCACTGGACCATTGGATACCTTGGATCTGTTCCTGCATCTCTGTACGCCTCGACACGATCTTCCTGCAGGGCTCAAGGCGCGTTACATCCACGGCTCTTCCGCTCGGTATTCCCTTTGCCACAACCTTATCGCACCTCGTTTCCGAGTACCAGGTCACTTAACCAGCGGAAAAATTATTCTTCATGGCCCATTTACTACGCTACCCTTCCGAGATCCCAATGCGGTCGATCAACAAAGAGACGGAGGCCGTTGAGCTAGACCAACTCTTTGAAAGCTACGTTGAGACAGACCTCTTCCAGCAACTGACTACTTCTGTTGCCGACCCGTCTGGATCCGACGATCTGGCACACCTCTTTGACCTGTCTTCGTCCAATGGGAATGAACTTTTTGGCTTCACGCCTATACTTCATCGAGATTCAGAGCCTTGGCATAAGGCCACACAACTAGGTTCTCAAAACCCAGCCTTTTCCTCTGATTCATTGGGCTCTTCAGTAAATTACAGCCTTTCCCGTGGCAAGTCGACCTCAAGCGACAGTGACACGCTCAGTTTTGAGGACCTTTTCGAACTTGAGAGGAATCAACTACGATCCATCTCTCAGCCTCCTACACCACGACCTACTACAGCTACAAGCTCCAGCGCCAGCAGTAGCTCCAAGTGCATTAAGAAAGCCCAGTCATTCCCGGACCGAGCCGTCTCGCGTGGCGTTCAGAAGTCACTGAAGAAGTGTCCAAGTTCGAGCTTCGCAAAGACTGCCAAAATGATGCAGCCTTCATATTACCGCACGCCCGTCCCACACATGTGGGCACGTAAGATGGATAGTGCTGTCGACCTGCACGCACACGTGCTTCCTATCAACATGCATTCGCCACCTCCGTCATCCAAGTTCGGTCAAGATGAATGTGCGGACGGCTTCTTTGCTCAGCATCACCACCAGCAACCTTACACAACCACACGGTCTCCAATTGTAGAAAGTGGCTCATCTCCAGACATGGGATTTTCCAACTATCAACTCACACCACAAGCATCGCCAGCCATTGGTGTACATAACAACAGCGATCCTTTTAGCCAGAACATTGGTATGGCATTCTCATCAGCAGCATCGAACGCGGCCCTTGCAGCCTACACTCCTCCCAGCTCCGTCAGGATACCCATGTCAACCTGGGGACCCACTGACTCACCGGCCATGGACTTCCCCTACTCAACTTGCTCCTCTGACTTCGCCACCACCAAGACCGCAGGCTGGTGGAACGATGAGTCCATGCCCATTGCTCAGCAGTCATATCCAACACAACATCGCGAATCACATGCACGTTCTACTTCACAAACTGGCCCATTGTCCATGGCCGGTCTAGGCATTTCATGCGATATGTCCAGCTTCAGCGACATGAGCGAGTACCAGTCCCAGCCCGACATGGCCTCATACCATCAAGCAATATACCCGGCCGCGCCACTGCACCAGGCCCACCCCCACCCAGAGAACCTTGTCCCCATCGGCACCCGTCCCCTGTCCCGCTCACCCAGCCCAACACCGCAGCCGCGCTTCCACCGCCGCCGCCCCTCAGGCCAAGCACCACGCGCCTCCGCCACAGCCGGGCGGCGAAAGTCCTCCCACTCCCTCCACGGCAGCTCCCGCACGCCCAGCACCGCCAGCGCCGCTGCCAATGTGGGCTTCGTCAACTTCACCCCCGACGACAGCCGGAAGATCCTCACCGGCGTCGCCCCATCCGGCAGCTCCAAGACCAAGGCCCGCCGCGAGAAGGAGGCTGCCGACAAGCGCCGCAAGCTGAGCCAGGCCGCCGTCAAGGCGGTCATGGAGGCCGGCGGCGATGTCGAGCGCCTCAAGATGCTGGAGCGCGAGGGCCTGTGTGTGTTTGAGGGCTAGGTAGCTTCGACTCGCCGCGAGGCTGGAGTTGGCTCCCTAGACTCGCCCGCGGCGCGCGTACATCGCATCCTGTCCTGCTCATAGATTATCGAGCGGTGATGGACAAAGGGGCTGGTTTTTAATTAGTCGACGTATTTACTGTCCTGGAGAGGTAATGCGTACATAGCACGAAGGTTATACACTTCAAATAGCGGAATAGTCAAGTAGTAATCACATTGAATCATCACCATTCATCTCTTCTCGTACGCCCATCGTGACTGCCGCTTCCCCACACCTGTGGTGTCTTGCCTGCGCTCCGTGCCGCCCCTTTGTCGCCAGACGACTAAGGCCCGGCCCGCACCAGTGGCTTCGCGGCGTGCGCGAGGCGGGCATCAGCGACGCCACCACAGGGGCAAATGCTGCAAGACCGCCCATGTTGATGTTTTGCTACCTGTGTACTGCCTCGTCGTGCGGCCTTCACCCAGCGTTCTCGACCGCCAGCCGCGCCAGCACCGCCTCCACGACGCCCTTCGCGCCCACGCCCTTCTCCACGCCGCCCAGACTCTGCTCCTCGGCGTCCAGCTCCACGGCGCCCTCATACACGCGCACAATCGTGTCCTCGTCGACCTTGGCCCCGCACGCCACAAGGCCCTTGATCAGCGTGCTGACGCGCGTGATCTCCTTCAGCACTGGCGCCGGAATGTCGTCGTTCTGGCTCGAGTACAGCGTCTCCGTGACCTGTTCGTCGAGCTTGTTGATGCCGGTTTCCGTCGTCGAGGCTGCGACCGCGGTGTGCTTGGAGATGAAAATGTACCCGTTGACGCCGAGCACGACGTCGATCTCGCCAGCCGCGGTGTTGAGCGTGAAGACCTGGCGCCTGCTGCGCACGACGCCGCCCTTGCGGCTGAGGATGCCGCCGCCGGCGCCGGAGAGCGAGGTGAAGAGCCCATTGCGCAGCTTTCCGTATTTCAGCGAGCGCGTGTGCAGCGAAGCCGTGTTGTCTTGGTGCAGCGACTGGACTTCGGCGACGAGTAGGTCACCCTCGGAGAAGAAGGTGCGGATGTTGAGCTCGTCGACGGCGGTGCGGCGGCGCAGGATGCCGCCGGGCAGGTTGATGGAAGAGAGGGGCAGGTTGGCGAGCATGGGCGCGGCGATGTCGACGCTCCATTTCTTCGTCTGCACGTTGACGATGCGCCCGATGACCAGGTCGCCGATCTCTGGCTGGTAGCGCGCGCGCAGAGGCTGTACGGACAGCAGCTTGTTTGTCTTGTGCAGGTTGCCCGCCACTGTCGAGATGATTGTCCCGCTCCCGGCTGGGACGTATGTGCCGTGACCGCGCATCCATTGGGGGTCGCTCGTGATGTGTTCGCCTGGTGTGACTATGGTGGCGCTATTTGAGGTTGGGAGTTCGTCATCGGACATGTCGACGTCGCTGTCGTCGGCAGGCGCATCGCGGCGCGGCGGGAGGGGTGCGCTGGGAGGCAGGATTGAGACGCCCATTGTGTGGCGTTCGCGATTTCGCGGGGTCTTTTTCTGTATTCAAGTTTCGATGCGTCTATTCACGTGACAGGGCGCTCATGCAGGTAGCGCCGGCGGTCGTGGTCGTGGTCGTGATGTCGTTGACGGAGTTTGGAATTAATTTTTGGCGGAGAGCTTCATCGTCATCATCCCTGCAACTTCCCAAAACGGCATGGCTGCCAGTCGCGTCCACCCCTTACGTCACGTTACACCATCAACAAACCTCACCTGCAGCAACGTCTTCGTCTCGCATTCCTGTCGCCATGTCAGATGACTGGCTGCATGCGCTCGATGACCCCCAGGCTCTATCGCGTACGAATGAGCGCATGAGCGAGCAGTACCAGGAGCCCTTCATCCACGATCTCGAGAGAGCGGTCACCACCACCCAGCAAGATGACCCAAACTATTATTCGCGTCTCCCGCGCTCGCTCATAACGACCTCGAGCGTTCAAACTTTCATGACAGGCACCGGGTCGTCAATTTATGACAGCCTCTCACCGCTCTTAGAGCAGACAGAGCACGAGCTCATCCTCGTGACGTGCTTCTGGGCTTCATCTACCAGCCGTGATGCGCTCAATGCCATCCTACGCAAGCTGTCTGACAAGGCTGTGCGGCGAGGCACAGAGAAGATACGTGTGCGATTGTGTTTCTCATCGTCTTCACTCTTTCAGAAGCTCTTCCACAAGCAGACAGCCACCGGCCAAACGTACGAAGCTTCAAAATGGGTGAAGACGTTCGGCCTTCCTGACCCCTCTGAATTAGGAGGCTTGAATCTCAAGATCAAGAGCGTTTTCGTTCTCCCATTCAGCGTCATGCACCCCAAGTTCATCGTCGTGGACAGGCAGGTTGTAGTCCTTCCAAGCTGCAACGTCAGCTGGGAAGAGTGGTTCGAAGGTGCCATCGTGATGAAAGGGCCTGTATCGTCCCAGTTTCTCAGGTTCTATTGGAGTTTCTGGGAGCGCCGCGTGGATGCACCCCCCAGCTTACCGGAGTGCGAGCAGGTCAAAGTAATCCATGAAACGATTCACGGTCAGTCAGGCGTGGTGTCCAGCGCTGTCCAGACTGCAACAGATTTCCCGAAAGAGACCCCAACCTTCTTCCTTCCCAGTCCTCACCGGCGAAATCCCGACTTTCGACCTGTTGGTACCGCCACAGCACCAATCACGCCTCTGAACGCCTTCATACTCACCCTGTTTGCAAAGGCAGAACGCAGTATACGTATCCAGTCACCCAACCTCACTGCACCACCGGTCTTGTCTGCGCTGCTCAAAGCACTGGCTCGCGGTATCGACGTAACGATTCTGACCTCGGCGCGACTCATGATACTCGAGCAGCTCGTCACCGCCGGGACGACCACAGCGCGCTGCGTTAAGACTCTCGTCAAACGGTACAAAGCGCTGGACACACAAGCAAGTCCAAGAGCGCACGACGAGGAAGCAGCAATAGCTCCTACCAAGATTGGGAAGCTCCACATTTCCTACTTTGAGCCGCGACATGGGTACAAGAAGAGGGGTGACGAGCAAGGGGAACCTCAGCAAAGTCACCTGAAGATGACAATTATTGATGGAGAGGTTATAGTGCTGGGCAGTGGAAATCTGGATCGCGCGAGTTGGTTTACAAGTCAAGAGCTGGGCGTTGCCTTCTTTGGGACTGACGTTGTGCAAAAGGTGGAAGGCACGGTAGACAAGGCTATGGTAGGGAGGGGTAAGGTCGTATTTGACAGCGAAGCGAGGTGACAAATATCGCCAGCACTTTAACTCCTTTGAGCGTGCATCGTAAAGATGATTTTGAGGGATTCACATGCAGCCGGGACACCTGAGGCTTTCATGTTGTACGAACAGACTTCCTATTTGGCATTGGCTAAATTTGTAGCGTATACCTGAAAGACGAACCCTAATAGCATTAGACTTTCTTTGTTCCCCTACGCGCTCCCAACACTCTACCCTCACACCCAACACGGCGACCCTCCAAGCTACCACGTGGCTAGCAGGACTGCCTCATCAAACAGCATCACCGAAGCGATCGCGCCACCTCCTTTCCACTACCACCTCCTCCCCCCTGACAAGCTTCTCCACCCCGCGCGCCAACCTCTCCCCACACCTCCGCCAACACGCCCTGCCCCCCTCTGCCGGAAACGACCCACACCTCAGCCCCCTAATCCTCACCTCGCACCACGCTGCACGCAACCCGCACCGCGCCCCCGCGAGAAACCACTCTACCCGCACCCCCGCCAAGCAAGAACCACCCGAAAAAGTCCCACACGCAGACCGCAAGTCCCCAATCTCGAGCGTCAGCGTAAGCGCACTGAGGTGCGCGAGCGCGCGCTGCCACTCAGGCGCCGGCGAGTCGGGGCGCGTCAGCAGCACGCTCCAGGGCGAAGACTTCGCGGCGGTGTGTGGTGCTAGGGGCTCCCAGGAGAGGAGCGCGGGGAGGTGCAGGGTGATGTGGAGGCTGTGCACGTGCGGTGCGAGGTAGGGTGAGATGGGTACTGGAGTTGCAGAGGGGGAGAGGTGTAGGGGTAGGGTTGTGTTGCGGAGGGCTTCTAGGGCGAGGGTGTGGGTGTGTTTGCTGGTTAGGAGGAGGGGGAGGAGGGGAGGGTGCGGGTGGAAGGGGGTGGTATGGAGGACGTGGGTGAGAATTTGTAAGATTAGTTCTGGGGGAAGGCCGTGCCAGGGGATGAGGAGGGAAGAGCGCTTGGTCATGGTTTATTGGTGGGGTTGTTCTGGGAATTCGATGGGTAACGGTGTGGTGGTGAGGAAGGCATCGTCGAGGTCAGGACAGGCGCTGTCTGTAATAAAAACTAGCGTGTTGGATTGTGACTCAAATCTAAAGCAACGCGGACGATGCCAGAGACTGTAATGATATATACGTACGAATTGGCAGGTCGGTTTCTATTAAACTTGGTGGGCAGCGACTTTTGCGTTCAAAGTAGCCAGATCTATCGACAGACAAGAAGAAAGTTGTTAAATGCGACTGCGACTGCGAATCCGAACAAAGACAATGCTTCTAGCAAGCCAAACTCGCCTAACCCGCTTCAAATCTGCTCTGGCCAATCGACACGCAGGACGAGTGGGGCGATCTACTCGACTGATAAGTCAGGCACGTCCCAACTCCCAGTCAGCCAATCGCCTTCTGCTCTTTTTTGCTCTCATTGTTGGTGAAAGAACTGAACCGACGTTCTTGGAGAGGATGCGTCTAGTGAAACGGTTGGTAAAAGTTGTACGACGTATGGGAGAGGATTGACAACCAATTGAGAGGCTGGGACACATGTAGACCTTCCTGAAGAATTTTTATGGTCTATTTTGGCATCGAAGTCAGCTACTACCAAATGTCTGTAACCGTCACTGATGCCCCTGATAGAATCCAGCGCGCATAATTACAAGACCTCATTGCCTGAATCATATTCCTGGCTGCTCAAGCCTATCTGTTTGCCTAAAAAAGAGCTCTTCTCTTTTCCTCCCATACGCCTATCCAAATATCGTAGTAACCCTAAACCTGCTCGGCCACTTGCTTGGGTCGCTCCATCAGTGTTTTAAGACCATCCGCGATCTTCTCAATGCAACGATGTGAACACGGACTCTTCCATTTCAGGTCGGGCTGTCCAGACTCTATCTCAGTCGAGTAGCATACACTGCCATCATGTGTGACGACTCGTACTATGACATGATCGGCGCGCAATGGGCAGTCTCCAGCGTTCATAGAGAAATCCACTTCTCCGTTTCTCATAACACATGATAGATTCCAGTTCGACTGTATGGGTCTTCGCGGTAATATGATTTCAACCACCAATTGGCGCAAATTTGGTAGGCGTCGCTGCCAGTCTGTCTGGGAGAATCTCATGGGCTGAAGTGGCGACCGAAAAAGCCTGCGCCATACCGCTGCCTGGTAGTCACAGCTGCGCATTTTCAGCGCGCTTTCGCGCAAAGCTAGCATACGCGTGAGCTGGAACGAAATCAACAGGTTCTGACAGCCTCGCCTTGGGAGTGGCACTTGACACGGAATTCGGGGCCAGAAACGCAGCTCGAATGTGTTTTTGTTCCAGATCTCCAAAGACAAGTCATGCATACGCTTGCTGGTCAGAAACAGAGACAACACTTTCCGCTTGTGACGGTGTGCTTCGGACATCGTCATCTTGAGACAGTACGTGAGGATCTCAACCTTTAGCTCGTCGGGCAAACGATCCCATGGACACGGCGCTTCTTTCAAGCGTCGAGTCTGACTTCGCGTAACGACTGGCATTGTTTTGTCGATGTTAGGTGTTGAGGTGGACAGACAGGCCTTTTAAACGAGTAGGGGACCAAACAATTAGTGAGAGAATGTTTCACATTTCGCTTCACAAAGAGGCACGGGTTGTACAAGGAGGCACGGGGTGTACAAACCAAGCAGCTTGCTGATTTCGCAAGCGTCCTGCAGGCACGGTTGTGTCGAATTTGTTTTGCTTTCAAGTCAGTGTACGGTATGCCAGTGAAATACTAATGGTGCAAGGCTGGACCAGATATTCTACCTGTTTGTGCAAAGATATTGCAGATTATATTATCGAAAAACTGCACGTTCCATCGCTCTAGTTGAAATACACGCTCAATCACAAACGGGGCGTATTACGGGAGATGACCGAGGTCGATCATCAGCTCACAGCAATATGAGGAGGATTAATTCCCGCATTCATACCTGATATCACATGACATTGAAGCTCTGTAAGTATTGCGTACAAAAGAGACTCGCCGGTAGTCTCGACCTCAAATGCCACTGCCAACGTATGGCATGTGAAGTAGTCTCTCTACGCCTAACAGCGCAAAGAAGGACCGAAGAGGCATTTTCCCACCATCAGCGCCCATACACAACTTTCGAGGTTTGACGATGAAATCAGCCTTAGGGGTTGCGACGTCAAGTTCCGCCTTCACCAAGACAGCACTGCCCCAACCAAGGCCTCATCAAGTCCTCTCTTCTTGGGTGGATTATCGTACATGTTATAATTGTGACTAGCTGGGATGCCAACATGGGGACCACTGCAATTATATGTGCCTTGACGCTGTGTGTGCAGATCGAGGTCAAGCCCAACAGGCCGGCTTGGAGTTCTGGATGTTGCTCAATTGGTTAGATGAATTACCCGGTTTGAGCGTGAGCACTGTTACTGGGCTGATGCAGGTACAAGACCGCAAGAGATCGTCACCGAGATTTTTGAATTCTGACTATAGTGCTTTCCAAGTGGCCAAGTCGAGCACTGCCCCAATGTTAGTGCGAACGGTCTTAGTTGATGATTCGAAATCACACAGAGCCGAGTGCGACGGGACATCGAAACCGTATTTTGTCCAATAGTATAGGAATGAAGGTATCTGGACCTGAGCAAGGCCTCAACCTAGTCACTGTGGTGTTCAAGGCCCGCTGTGACGCAGGGAGTTTCAATTTGACAGTCATTGATCTCGAGACGGTTGACCCCAGACTCAAAGGCGGACATTAGGCCTTAGAAGTATGGGAGTCGAGAGAGACACAGCCCTTGATAGCACACGTTGAACGTCACGAAGAAGGCTGAGTTCCTAGCCTACCGGTGGACAACTCGTAAGGCTTACCATAAGCCGCACTTTATTTGCCAAATTTCGGACAGCCCCTTTCCGGTGATGGCACCTTGCTGGTAAGACTGTCTCAGCCGGTGAAGACTGAATGTGGGAGACTAGACAGACTCACTGGAGCATTTGCGATCATGATGCGTATCATCGTCCGCGTCTTGTTGTACTGCGCCTCGCGGTACCTCCGCGCGGCAAATGGGATTTGGATTTACGATTCGCTGGTGTCTCAATATCGCAGGGCATGCGTAGCTGGTCACCGCTCACCATCGGCGAGGCCATGCCTGTAGGGTCACATGAGTACGTGCTGTTGTGAATGTTGAAGATCGAGACAGTGGCGAAGAACAACACCGACTGAGCTGGACGTGTGGCTGTGTGGCTGAGCTGTGCCACAGTTCTGATTGGATCAATACGCTGAATACGCTCAGCCCCGTACGTTATGCTCAGGACAAAGCGTCTTCTCATTTGTCAAGTTAGAGTGGCTAAGGCTGCTAAGCCTCAATTGTGGCGCCGTCCGTACCAATCAGAACGCTGTGTTGGATGCAGCAGCCTTGTTTAGCTTCACGATCGGCTTACCGTCACCACTACCCTATCTCTACCTCAGTAATACTGCTACCTGACAGTAACATTGCTGCTGAACTCTCAGGATCGTTTCTTTCGTAGAGGGTTTGCCGACGCGGTAAGTGTGAGGACCTCCGCGCGCCATGCTGTCACACAATTTGCACTGCCCCCCTCGTCAAGGCGCCGGCGCTCTTGTCGCCTCGGCGTTTTCGATCTCCGCCCCGTATCCGCCAACAGTGAACAGTTCACAATCCTTGGCTAAACCGTCCAGTGGCGATCAGTAAAACTGGAAAGCAAGAAATCGGCCAGCTGTCGCGCTTTGAAGCGATGCTCGGCTCGCAGCGCTTCAGATCAAACGAGGTCAAGACCGCAAAGCGTCCGTGGGGCGCAATGCCCAGAAAGGCTGGAAATGAAGACGTTGTCCGCTCTTACCAAGGCAGCTGCTAAATGACGCACAAGACCAGCCAAGGAGCGCTTGGAGGCAGGCAAACTTATACACAGCCTCCTTGCCCGCTGCAGGTATAACTCTCCTACGCTCCACAGGGTAAGACACACATACCAATTAATGTCAGCTTAAGTCGCCGTGCTATCCGAAGCACCCCTTGTCCGTTCAACTGAGTCTATCACATTTACTCCGGATTCATATCTCTTTCGATCTTAGATCTAGTACCTCCTCACAATGGAGAGCGGAAAGCTAGCTCCACCTACTCTGCAGGTCAACACCCGGCAAAGAGCAGCAAGTAACGCGGACACCATCACATCCTCCACATCCGACCCTTTCCGCACACCGGTATCACCCTTATCAGACGTAGCCCCTAGCAATGCGTCAACAGCCGTAAACGACCCAGAGACAGCATTACTTCCCGACCCAGGGACAGAAGCAGACTTTGAAGTCGCCAACAACCCTTTCGCCTATTCGCCAGGGCAGTTGAACAAGCTATTCAACCCTAAATCACTATCCGCCTTCCAGGCGCTAGGTGGCTTGCAAGGTATCGCTCGTGGGCTACAGTCCGACACACATTCTGGACTGAGCGTCGACGAAGCGGGTGTTCCCCAGCAGATAACATTCGACCAAGCCGTACACGGCACGACTACAGACAAAAAGACAGAACGAACAAGTAGTGGCAGCAATCCTTTCGAGGATCGAATCCGTGTTTATGGGCGCAACGTCTTGCCCGCTAAGAAGGCCACGCCTCTATGGAAACTTACATGGAACGCCTACAACGACACAGTACTTATCGTCCTTACTGTCGCTGCCGTAATCTCGCTCGCGCTTGGCCTGTATGAAACATTTGGTGCGGAGCACGAGCCCGGTGCTCCTACACCAGTCGACTGGGTAGAGGGCCTCGCTATCTGTATCGCCATCATCATTGTCGTCTTGGTCACTGCTGTCAACGACTGGCAAAAAGAGCAAGCATTCGTTCGCCTCAATGCAAAGAAAGAAGAGCGCGAGATCAAGGTCACCCGGTCCGGCAAAGCGGTAATGATCAGTGTCTACGATGTACTGGTCGGCGACGTCATCCACATGGAACCTGGAGATGTCGTTCCCGTCGACGGCATCTTTATCGAAGGCCACGATGTTAAATGCGACGAGTCCTCGGCAACTGGAGAGTCGGACGCCCTTCGCAAGATGCCCAGCGCCATGGTCTTGAAAGCGTTGGCGGAAGGCCACTCGCAGAAGGGACTCGATCCGTTCATCATCTCGGGCGCCAAAGTCAACGAGGGCCTTGGTACCTACATGGCTACCTCCGTCGGTGTCCACAGCTCTTTCGGCAAGATCATGATGTCGGTGCGCAGCGACATGGAGGTAACTCCCCTCCAGGAGAAGCTCGGACGCCTTGCTGTCGCTATCTCTAAGATCGGTAGTGCTGCTGCTGGTATCCTCTTCTTCGTCCTGCTCTTCCGCTTTGTTGCCTCGATCTCTGGCGACGGCCGAACACCCACCGAGAGGGGAGAGGCATTCATGGATATCTTGATTGTTGCAGTCACGATTATCGTGGTGGCTGTTCCCGAAGGTCTTCCCCTTGCTGTAACACTTGCCCTGGCTTTCGCTACCACAAGGATGCTGAAAGAGAACAACCTCGTTCGTGTGCTGCGAGCATGCGAAACGATGGGTAATGCCACTGCCATCTGCTCGGATAAGACAGGAACTCTCACCACCAACGTAATGACGGTCGTTGCCGGCAAATTCGGTTACACTACCTTCGCGCAGTCTGACAGCGAGACCGGCACGACTGTCCAGTCCTGGGCATCTGATGTCACTCCAGCTGCCAAAGAGCTCCTCGTCCAGTCGATTGCGATCAACTCTACCGCTTTCGAGGGTCAAGAAGACGGGAGAAAGGTTTTCATCGGATCCAAGACTGAGACTGCGTTGTTGCAACTCGCCAGCGATCACCTCGGGCTTGTCTCACTCGCCGAAACCCGCGACAGCGAAGAGGTCGTTCACATGATGCCATTCGACTCGAGCAAGAAGTGCATGGCTGCTGTTATCAAGCTCAAGACAGGCGGTTACCGCCTCATTGTCAAGGGTGCCTCCGAAATTCTTGTCGGCATGTGCTCAGAGCAAGCCAACTTCAGCACACTTGAGACTGAGCCTCTTACTGAGGAGGGTCGTCAGGCACTTCTCGCCACTATCAGCGAGTTTGCGAACAAGTCTCTTCGCACCATCGGTCTCGTCTACCAGGAATACACTCAATGGCCTCCAGCTCACGCCAGTTTCACCGAGACCGGCAGTGTCGACTTCGGATCCATTCTTCGCAGCCTTGTCTTCTTCGGTGTAGTCGGTATTCAAGATCCTGTCCGCCCTGGCGTACCCGAGGCTGTCCGCAAAGCCCAGGGTGCAGGTGTCACAGTTCGCATGGTCACCGGTGACAACATGCAAACGGCACGTGCCATCGCAACAGAGTGCAACATCTACACAGAAGGTGGCGTGGTCATGGAGGGCCCTGATTTCCGACGTCTCTCTGAGTCAGAGATGGACGAGGTCATTCCCCGCCTCCAGGTTCTTGCTCGTTCCTCGCCCGAAGACAAGCGTATTTTGGTCACCCGTCTGAAGGCGCTCAACGAGATTGTTGCCGTTACCGGTGATGGTACCAACGACGCACCTGCTCTCAAGGCTGCCAACATCGGTTTCTCCATGGGTATCTCAGGTACTGAGGTTGCCAAGGAAGCATCTGCGATCATTCTCATGGACGACAACTTTTCGTCGATTATCACCGCCCTCATGTGGGGACGAGCAGTGAACGACGCCGTGCAGAAGTTCCTTCAGTTCCAGATCACTGTCAACATTACTGCTGTCTTGCTCGCCTTCGTCACAGCCATCTACGACGATGAGATGAAGCCCGCGCTCAAGGCCGTGCAACTGCTTTGGGTCAACCTCATCATGGACACCTTCGCCGCCCTCGCCTTGGCCACCGATCCCCCTACCGAGCGTATTCTGAACCGTCCTCCCCAGGGCCGCGACAAGCCCCTCATCACCACCACCATGTGGAAGCAGATCACCGGTCAGAACATCTACAAACTCACCGTGATCTTCGTGCTCTACTTTGCTGGTGGCGATATCCTTGGCTACGACCTCTCGATCCCCGAGAAGAAGCTTGAGCTTGACACCGTCATCTTCAACAGTTTCGTCTGGATGCAGATCTTCAACATCTTCAACAACAGGCGTTTGGACAACAAGCTCAACATCTTCGAGGGCATTCAGCGCAACCACTTCTTCTCTTTCATCGTCGTCCTCATCATCGGTCTCCAGGTCATGATCATCATGGTCGGCGGCCGCGCCTTCCAGATCACACCCGGCGGTATTGACGGCACGCAGTGGGCAATCTCAATCGTCACTGGCTTCATTTGCATTCCGTGGGCCGTGGCAATCAGGTACTTCCCCGATGAATGGTTCGCGGCTATTGCGCACGTTGTCGGCATTCCATGTGTCATTGTCTACAATTGGCTCGGGAAGGGATTCTCTGCGATTGGCGGTCTGTTCAGGAAGAAGAAGACACAGGACCCGGAGAAGGATGTTGCGATCGCTACGCCACCCATCGTTGTGGTTGACGATGCGGCATCATTTCAGGAGAAGAACAAGTCTCAGGTGTAATTTGGGTCGCGCTCCCATCGCATAGATTGTATTTTGTACTGCATAGCATATGATACCACATGATTTTCAATGAAGTTACGACACTCCTTTTCTCTAAGGAACCTTAGAGCTTTTAATTTTCTTTCCTAGTGCTAGCGTATTTTGTGAAAAACACAGTGCGCAGAGAGTGAGGCTATTGTTAGCTTCCGAATAGAACACCGCTCACAGCGAGCACATGAACTTTGCAATTCGCCTACTTTATCGCACGCAAACCAATTCTTGCCTCATGAAGATCATCATTCGCGGCACGCTGGCACGTATTCTAGGAGTGCAACACGCGCCTGATCTCAGCACGGTGTACGACGCGCTCAGCATCCTGCGATTCGAGCTCAAGACAGTACCTATTTAAAAGTGGCTCGGTGATGATAGGCGTCGTTACGTCATAGAAAACACACAGCAGCACGCGTTTGTAGTCGCGGAAGGCGTAGACAGGGCGCACGGACACGGTACCATTTGCGCTCTAGCGTGACTGAGATGACAAAGGCACCCGCTTGCGGGACATCTCGTGCTTTCTTGTACACTCTTTATCGTGTACGTCTGGCTCTTGTATCAGCGATGGACAATCTCACCGAAAACGAGTCTGTTGAAGACTTTGACTTCGTCGCACTATCTGCACTGCTGTTAACTGATCCAGCAGTAACGCCAGCAGACTTCCAGCATCCTAACCAGAATCTAAACAGCTGTCCCAGCACTTCCTCTGCGTTTCCTTTTAACAACCCTGCGACAAATTATGCCACACCATCAAAAAAGGGTGCGCGCATCAACAAAGGAGCAATTTACATTCTGAAAGCCTGGCTTAATACGCACGAGGACAGACCTTATCCTCGGCCTGACGACTTGCAACTCTTGCAGCAGCAGACTGGGCTGGAACGCAAACAGATCACAAACTGGTTCGCAAACGCTCGTCGCCGTGGCCTTGTTCGTGACTCTGAACCAAAACATCTCCAAGGACACAACGGTCAAACAAGCCCACTTGACATCATTGCGAGACCTGGTACCCCTGCTTATAAAGATCCTTTGCAACGATGGGTAGAGTCGCCACCAGAGAATGAAGCCGCATCGTTTGGTGACATTATCCGCGCCGTAACCACGGATCTAGATCGCTTCAATGGTATGCCCGAAATGAAAGCATGCAAGGAATCAAGCTGACTCGAACTCGAAGGTGAGCACGACCAACCAGAAACGCTGTACCCATCGTCCTCTGCAAGCAGTGTCAGTACGTCGTACTCTAACGCGCGGTCGGACCCTAACTCATCTGGGTCTCAAACGTCCCATGGGCCGATTCGTAGATCGCGCAAGCGGGGGTTGAAGAAGCGCGATCGCTACAAGAGAGCCCTGGCTGCGCCTGACTTACCATACCAATGCACCTTTTGCGTCGAGACGTTCAAGACGAAGTATGATTGGCAACGTCATGAAAAAGCCCTACACCTCTCGTTAGAGCAATGGATATGTGCGCCAGAGGGTGCGAGAGTTCCAGTATCGGCCAAGCAAGAGGACCAGTGCTGTGCTTTCTGCGGTGAACCATCTCCAGACGATACACATCTTGACGGACATCAGTACTCGGCTTGCCAAGCACGAGATGAAACTGAACGCAGCTTCTATCGCAAAGATCACCTTGTTCAACACCTGAGGCTTGTTCACAAGGTTGACACTAAGCATGTCCCACTAGATCGATGGAAGACCTCTATGCTGGATATACAGTCAAGGTGTGGGTTCTGCAATCTAATCATGAGTACTTGGACAGAGAGAGTGAACCACTTAGGGGAGCACTTCAAGACAGGCGCAACAATGGCGAAGTGGCAAGGTGATTGGGGGTTTGAGGACCATGTATTGCAGCGTGTGGAAGACGGCATGCCGCCATGTAAGTGCTCGATAAAACTGGTAAGTTACATACACAATAAAACATTCATTGACCTCAAGAGTAGATTTCATTCACCTCGAGAAGATGACGCCTTGGCCTTTACGCGCATGTGATACACCAACCGCCACGCCTGTCAGCGCTTACGAGCTGCTTAAGCTTGAGGTTAACTTTTTCCGACAGGGTTATCTTGATCTGAATGGAATCCCGCCAGACCGCCATGCTATCCAGCTAGAGGCATGCCGTATCATATTCGCATCAGATGCCCTTTCAGATACGGGCCCTTCAACTTCGCAGCGAAATGATGGACAGTCCTGGCTTCGCGACATAATCATGTTGAATCCAGATATCACCACAGAAGCCCTGTTTGGGCCACTCCGCACCCCTTCTGAGGGCGTTTTAAGTTTACGAATTTGTGGCCTTAATCACCTATTTGAACGATGTCCACTTGAAACACAGCTTCGCGCTTTCGCACAAGCACAAGGTAACACGCCTTCTGGTTGGCTGGACTGGACACTCCAGAAAGAGGCTTGCGAGATCATTCGCCGTACCGAGAATACTCCTAATGCTACTCTAGAAGGCTTCGCAGACTGGCTTATCCACGCTATCGGAGCCAATAACAGCTGGCTACCAGCCTTCAAGCTACGCACCGGCTTACGTTCTGACGATCAACCAGACTCAGCCGCAACTTTCCCAGCCCAGCCGATCAATGGCCAAGGGCTGCCTGCTCCCTTTCTCATGGAGCCTACGTTCATTTCTGGACTTGTCGAAGCCCCTTTCCACACAATAGCCCAAAGTCCATCTCCGCTTGCACTCACCCCTGGTCTGCTTGTCAACAATTCACAAAGCTACCTGGCCATGGGCACGAAATTTTATCGCCTTTTTTCCGACGACCTCAGGCGCTGGGTCCTCGCTACCATGTCCCCATCCAACCCAGGCTGCCATGTCCCATCTGATGCCGAAATCCAGCATCACGCGCGCTGGATCATGTATGAATCTGATGACCCATGGAACCAGACTGTCGCGGACCAGCCTGAGTGGCTGAGGCGGTTCAAGAAAGGTGTCGGTATCATCGGTGCTGAAGGTTCCACTAAGACCACGGGGCTACTCATGTAGCAAGTCCTACGGCGGCAGGTGCTCAGCCGCCCGGGACGGATGCGACCGAATTGTGCGAAGGGATAAGTGGACGTAAGCCTCCGCATCTCACGTCTTGACCACGGAGATACTAGCGGGAAGGGGGTCGAGGAAGATAGTTGTTAGCAGGAAAGAGGATGGGGATTATTGCCAGGGTCTAACAGGAAGATGGGCGCATGTGTCTGGGCATGCCGGGAAAAGGAAGGAGGCTGCTAGAGCTGATGTCGATTCAAGGTCGCTCACGAACTGATCGCAGGACCTCGAGTGGGGCTCCTTTTAGCCCACCAGGGCACAGACGACCTTTCTTCAACATACGAATCCTTGACCTGTGATAGACTGTCATTCATCAAAACAACTAAAGTGTTGCAACAACCCACAGATCAGCGTGAAGTATCTCTGATTGACACGCCTTGTATTCCGAAAACTTACGCCCGAACTGCGGTCAGTTCCAAGATGGATGTAAAATAATAAACGATAGTCTTAGGTCAATGGAACTAAGTCAGATTTCGCGGCCCCAAACACGAAATATCTCATGAACTGACTCACGCCATGCATCGGACGCCCTGTGACGAGCGCCCTGTGACAAGCGCATTATGCGCTCGGCCGTACACCGGCTGCGGTTTAGCGCACTTCCGTACTTTCCTTATCCGATGTAGCGTCCCCAACATGTCATAAGAAGCACTTGAACTCGCGGCGAGCAAATAGTACAACATTGTAGCCTCAAAGTCGCTCAAAACAGTCACTCACTTATCAACATCCGTCTCCAGTCATATAATGATATGTTCAAAACAAGCTTTTCGGCTTGAAAAGTCTCGGGTGTTATTTGGCTCGCGTTTCTATCGCATGTATTGTATTTTGTACTGCATAGCATATGATACCATGTGATTTTCATTGAAGTTAGAACTCCTTAACAAATGAAATATTCTTCTGAACTCAAGCAAAGGAAAAATGGTCCTACATCTGAACAAAGGAAAAGCTGTTCCATCTCCAGACAAATGAGACATAATTCTACATCTGAGAGATTTTGTTTCCCGTGATGTGCGTGCTCACAAAAGAAAAGGGTTGTTACCAAAGGAAAAAGTCGGTGTCAAATCCGTCAATCGCTCGGCATACTGCGATGGCATTTGCATAACCATACACCTCCTGTGCGTTCGTGCGTCTCATGGGAGAAACGAAATCCTAGACTTTAGGTAGTCCATCTGGTCCTGGATGGATGGCACATTGCGCTCAGACTCAAAAGGACCGCCACCAAAGATGAAAATCTCGCCGCGGCACCTGAACTGCACATCCATAGCACCTGCCACAAACGTGTCCCATTTACGGGCGTAGTGGAACCCTACGCTTACATGACGCAGGCCAGAGAGGCCATGGGACGCTTGCGCAATTCGGCTAACTACTAACCAGCCATCTGTCACGGTGATCATGACCTTTTGGATCATGCCGTTGAAGATGGACGACGGATACGCATAAACGAGGCGTAGGTTGCGAATCTGCGCTACGTTGAACACGTTCATCTTGTAGAAGACATGTTTCGCGAGTTCGGCAATCTCAGGGGTCATTTGAAGGTGCTCGAGGAATGTCTCCCGGACGTCCGAGAAAGACGAAACCCCGCGTTCTGGGTCTATGACGAGATTGTGGGCCAGGATTTCTACCTTAAGCTCACTCGGCAGTTTAGACCAACCCTTCGCGAAAGCCGGGCCGAGGGGCGCCATAGAGAAGACGAGCGTGTACAGCGGCACAGAGATGCAGAACGGCTTGGTAGGTACCATCAAGACACCGTTGACTTCAAGTTCAGTTGGCGACGTAATCCACAGAGGTGTTGGCGTGTTGATCTTGAGGTTGTTGTAGATGCGCAGCGGGTAGTCTTCGCAGCTACCCGGCTCAGGCGGATCCTGATAGTCGGCGAGGAAGCTCAGTTCGCGGAAGCGTCGTCGCATGATGGAATTGGTTGAGAGGTAGGGTGGAGAGTGTTAATTGGAATATTGAACCTGCGTTGATATTTATGCAATCGTTCGCGTCTTTCACTAGAGTGAAGCCATGCTACTTCGTTAGGCTACAGAACTGCCCAACAATGTTGTGGGGACTTCAACACACAGCTCGTCTGGACCAAGAACTGCCCAACAATGCTGTGGGGACTTTATTACGCAACTCATCCAGACAGATTGAGCCTCATTGCAACATAATGAGTTACTCACCAAGAGCCTCGAGCTCGCCAGACGAACTTTACAAGCGACGGGTTTCATGACTGACTCTAGATCTGTTTGATATGGGTGTTAGATTCTACGGTCGAAAGAGGATCCAGTCATGTACATGCGTTGCTCAACGTACACTCGAGAGCAGTAGAAATATTTTCGCAACCTACAGACGAGGGACATCGGTGATACGAAATACACAACGGCTATTCCGTCGCTTGACCAACAATCATACAGGGCCCTGGATTGCTTGACTACGCGGTTGTACTCCAAACACAAACAGCCCCTTGACTACCTCTTCGACCTGCTCTACCAGCTCCACAAGCTTCCCGTCAGTGCACCCCCTTGCAAACTCGACACGATCAAACTCGAGCGTCCCGTGCGATGCAAACCTCACCACCGGAGGCAGCCGAAGGCTCAACCAAGCAGACCACTCGTCGGCACTGCTATCTGCACCAAGCCCACGCTCCAAGAGAAACAATCTAACCAGCCGAACAACCGAGCATCGAATCTCGACATGCACCAGCCCCTGGAACCCAAACCTCTTTTCCGCAACACCCTCAATGGTCTCCCTATCGCCATCCTCCAGCCACGTAAACAGCGCCACCCTTCTAATCAGCGGCCTCACACACACCGGCGGAAACCCGCGGAACATTGTAAGCTCCTCCTGCAGCGGCAGCACCACGAACCGATTCTCCGCGAAAAACAACCCCCGCGCCAACCCCGCAATCTCAGGCGTCATCCGCAAGTAGTGCAACAGCGTCTCGCGCACAACCCTATTTGCATCGCGCGGCCATAGCGCAGACGGGTATACTAACTCAAACCGCAAGATCGCCTGCTTCAGCTCCACCGGCAGCTTCGCCCAGCCGCGCGCGAACCCGCGCGCCAGCACGCCGCAGGGCATCACGCGCACGGGCGCCGGCGACGAGAGGTGCATCGGGGTGTGCAGCGAGAGCGTGAAGCTGACGTTGTGCGGGTAGCTGGCGCGCAGCAAGATGGGGGATGTGATGAGGAATTTGGCGTGTGGCGGGATCGTCATGGGCCAGAAGATGTGGATTATCTCGCGCTCGCTTGGGGGTGGCATTCTGGGGTTGGGAGGTCTGGGGGCGGGTGGGGGGTGGTAAGTAGGGCTAGGCTGTCACAGTGGCGTGGTGGAATGTGTGAGGTCTGGTGGTTGTGAGGTGTGAGTTGGGCTTCACAGTGCGCGATATTGACCGAACGGCGAGGTCTGAAGCTGATCTAGTGAATTCCTTGTTGGGTACTTTGAATCCGCAATTCTGATCACTGGCTGTGGGGATAGTATTTGAGGAGCTCCTTTTCGTGCAAAGAAGCGTAACAATTCTCGACACCATGACTTCCCCTACTACCCCAACGACAGAGGCTCTGGGTAAAACAGCAGACACCCCTCTGCCAATTGTAAGAAAATTTTTCCACAAAGGCCCTGGAACACTGTGGATCACATCCCCAGATCCCGTCGAGGTCGCCGGCGGCATCATCTGGTCCGCTTCACCCATAAGCGTCAGCAACACGCGTGTGCCTTTCTCGACCTGCATCAAACCAGCAGGTCCACTTAAGCGCACGCTCCTAGTGTCCTGCATGCGACTCCCGGGCGAGCTGCAACTGCGCATCCTGCGCTACCTGCTCGGTTCTGGTGACAGAATCGGGTTCCGCGGGACCTCGCTGCGGAGCCTGACAGCGATACGCACCGCGGATGTTGACAGGAACCAATTTCCGTACTACGCGGTGCTGCACGACACCGGCGTTTCCAATGTCGTCGACTATGCGCGCATGGCGTACTACAACTACAACACCTTCTGCGTCGCGCTGGGCACGTCTGTGGACGGGCGTGCGAATGCGCTAAGGCCGTTCGACAGCACGTTTATACTGTATCCGGGGGAGTTCATTAATCACCACATCTGGCGCCTGGAGATCGCGATGTGCATTGACCGCGACTGCCCCAATTACTGGCGGTACGTCGTGCGGCTTGCGAATGGCGAGTATGGGTTTCCGAACCTGAAGCACGTCGCTTTTGTGATATCGACGGACTGGATGAATGCGGGTATAGACCAGGACGAAGATGTGCTGGAGTTCTGGAATGCGTTTCAGGGTGCTGTGGGCGAGGGGGTTGCGTTTGGTTGTCGTGGCGATATCGTTATTCGCGATGATATGGTGAAGCCTGTGCCGTTTACTCCGCCGGTTGATCCTGCTACTGTTCTTCCGTATTTGCAGGAGAAGATTAGGTTTGCAAAGTCTTGATTTGGAACAACATCATCGCCTCGGCTATGATACCGCTCGTGATGCACAATAAAGGTGTCAACAAAGAAGAGCGAGCACCACCGTCCCTTTCACTCCCACAGCACCGCCACAAACACCGTCACAACGACCAGCACCCAAGACACAGCGCATTCAAACCACCACATCCCTTTTTTTGTATATACACTATCGTACTCGTACAACACACGCACAAACACACGCACAAACACACGCACACGCACGCGCACGCGCCTCGCAGCAAGCGCCCCCGTCTAGACTAATCGATGCTGCACGCTCGGATGCAAGAGTGGAATAACGCACCAGGCCGCGGGGAAAGACGCCTGGCAATGTGGGACAAAAGAAAAACCTGCTTCTCCATCGTGTTATGGGCTCGCCCGCTTACACATGGTGTCTTCTCCCCTCGCCCTCGATGAGCGCCACGCTCGGCGGCGGCACTAGCGGCCCCTTCGCGCCCGTCTCGCCCTCGGGGCTCATCTGCCCCGGTGCGCGCCCGTACTCGCCCGAGAAGTACTTGTGGAAGTCCTGAGGGTCCTCGAAGGGCCGCTCGCCGAGCAGACGGATCATGTCCTCGCGGCCGAGCATCTCCTTCTTGAGCAGCTCCTCTGCGACGAGGCCGACTTCGTGCTTCTTCTCGGTCAGCAGGTCGCGGCACTGCTTGTAGGCTTCGTCGACGATGCGCTTGACCTCGGCGTCGATGTTCTTGGCGGTTTCCTCGGAGAAGGGCTTCTGGAACTGCGAGCCTTGGTTGTCGTCGTCGAAGTAGATGTAGCCGATTTTCTTGGTCATGCCCCACTTGGTCACCATGGCGGTCGCCATCTGGGTTACCTTGCGGAAGTCGTCGGACGCGCCGGAAGTCACCGTGTCGAAGTATAGCTCCTCGGAGACGCGGCCGCCGAGTGTCATCGCCATGCGGTCCATCAGCTGGTGCACGTTCATCAGGTAGGTGTCGCCGGCGGGCAGGTACTGCGCATAGCCAAGAGCGCCCTGGCCGCGCGGGATGATGGAAACCTTGAGCAGCGGGTCGGCGTATTTGAAGTACCAGCCGCAGATGGCGTGGCCGGCTTCGTGGTAGGCGACGGTCTTCTTCTCTTCGGGCTTGAGGACGAGGGACTTCTTTTCCAGGCCGCCGATGACGCGCTCGATGGCCTGCTCGAAGTGGACCATGGTTACTGTGTCGGCGGAGTAACGGGCGGCTGGAGGTGTTAGCAGGGTCATGTTGAAGATGTATCAGTAGACTTACCAATCAGCGCGGCTTCGTTGACACAGTTGGCAATATCAGCACCCGAGAACCCAGGTGTGAAAGCCGCCAACCTGCCCTTGAGGAACTCAATATCCTCCTTGGTGATGATCTTCTTCAGATGCACACCAAAGATCTGGCCTCGACCCTCCATAGTCGGGCGATCGATGTTGATATGCCTGTCGAAACGACCCGGACGCATGAGCGCCTTGTCGAGGACATCCGGTCTGTTCGTTCCAGCCAGCACGACAACCTGCTCTGTGGTGTTGAAGCCGTCCATCTCGGTCAGGATCTGGTTGAGGGTGGCCTCGCGCTCGTCGTTGCCGCCGCCGAAGTTCTGCTTCGAGCGGGAGCGGCCGATGGCGTCGATCTCGTCGATGAAGATAATGCAGGGCGTGCTCTTGCGCGCGTTGGCGAACAGATCGCGCACACGCGACGCACCGACACCGACGAACATCTCGACGAACTCGGAGCCGCTCACGCTGAAGAAGGGCACGCCCGACTCGCCGGCGGTGGCCTTGGCGAGCAGTGTCTTACCAGTACCAGGGGGACCGGACAGGACGGCACCACGCGGGATCTTCGCGCCAAGCTTCTGGAATCTGCCGGGGTCCTTCAGGAAGGACACAAACTCCATGATCTCCTGCTTGGCCTCGTCCATGCCGGCGACGTCGGCGAACTTGACCTTGATGTCGGTCTCGTGGTTGAACTTCTTCGCGCGGCTCTTGCCCATGCCGAAGACGCCGCCAGCGCCACCACCGCCACTGCCGGCGCGGCGCGTGAAGTAGAACAGAGCGCCGAGCAGCAGGATGGTGGGGCCGAAGGACAAGAAGGTGCCGAACCACGAGATCTCGCTCGAGTAGGCGACGGGGATGCGCTCAGAGCTGGGGATGCCGAGCTCGTGCTGGGCGACCTCCATCTTGCGCTCAAAGGCCTCGATGGAGCCGATGGTGAAGTGGTAGAAGAAGTTGGAGTTGACCGACGGCGAGTCGGGGTACAGATGGCGGCGACGGCCTCGCGGTGCAGGTGCACCTTGGCCTTGGTGCCATTGAGGATGACAATCTTCTCGACCAGCCCCTTGTCGAGGAACGTGGTGCGGAACTCCTGCCAGGTAATCTCCTTGGTGTTCTCGCTGGGCACGAACAGGCGGTAGGTAAGCCAGGACAGGAAGGCGGCGACGACCATCGACTGGGGGTCCATAGAGCCGAACGGGCCAGGGCCGCCTCCAGGAGCCTCCTTCTTGCCGCTCTTCTGGCTCTGTGGCCCCGGGTCGTGGGCACCGGCCTTTTGCTGCGGCTCGCCGGCCTTGAACTGCTGCTGCTCAGCGGCGCGGCGGGCCATGTTGGTCGTCATGCGCGAGATCTTGGCGGCGGTGGCGAGGTCCAGCTTGTCGCCGCGGGCCAGCTTGTCCATCTCCTCGCGCAGCTCGGGCGGGATGCCCGTCTTCTTGATCTGGGCCATGGCGTCGCGGACCGCCTTCTTCTGCGCCTCGGGCACACCCGTGGTCACGAAATCCACCAGGTGGTCGAGCGTCTGCTCCTCGTGAGCCGTCAGCTTCGACGCGGCCGGGGCGTCGCCGTCCTTTGGTGCGGCCGTGTCCTTGTGTGCTGACTCATCCTTCTTCTCTGCCGCCTCGTGCTTCTCGTCCTTCTTGGGCTCCTCGGGCCCGGTCGCAAACCGCCGGGCGCGCTGCTGGGCGTACAGGCACTGCGGCACGGGCACGCGCCGCCGTAATGTGAAGGGCGCACGCGCAGAGGTTGTGGAGGCGGGGCGCGCGAGGCGCGCGAGCTGGCCGGGGGTGCGGCGTAGGAGGCTCGACATGGCGGGCGCGGTGGGCGGGTGCGCAGTGGTGGAGGTGGCGGGCGGATGCAGCGGTGCGAATGGGCGTGTATGGGGGTTACGGAGTGGTGCGCCTGCAAGATGCTGCCATGCAGCGGGTGTAGAGTGGGAGGGGTAGTGCGCGGGTGGCGGCTGATGGCGAAGCCTCTGTCGAGACGTGACAGCTCAAGTCGTGACGCCGTCGAACGCGCTTAGTCATGTGCGTATTTGACCGCGCGCCGCGGACGAGCCGTGCCCCACCTTTCCGTGCGAGATGCGGACATATATTGCGCTGCAGTGTTCAATTGCACGATTTATTGAACGGCAGTCCCGCCGTGGCGGTTCATGCTCCTGCCCCGCTTCGACTGCTGAAGCCTTGCATGTGAACCCTCTGCATGCAGTCCGGATGTCAGGAACCACTCTAGCATCGAACTCATGCATACAAAGAAACCCCTCTCGAATAATGCTCGCCGAATCTCTACTACTCTCAGACAATATTAATACTACTCAGTGAATCTCGATCATACTCAGTGACCCTCAATCCCTGATACATCGCCATGAAGCTCACCACCGCCACCTACCTCGCCCTCCTCACCTCCCTCGTACCCACCCTCGCCCAAACCAACGCGACCTACCTCACGCTCCCCGCCCTAGTCACCATAGACAACCGCACAGCAATCCAATGCTGGCGTTTTACCACCCCCTTCAAGACCTCCACCGTCCCTGGCACCATTGGCGCGCAGTCCCTCACGCTCGCTAATGCTACAAACCTGTGTACTCGACAACTAATCTGACTTCAATGACTCGACTAACGCGACCAGCCTACACGATCCTGCCCCCGCGATTCAATGGCGGACTGCACACCGCCCCCAGGCCGCAGCTCGTGCACTTCGTGTCGGGGCTGGCGCATGTCACGCTGCCTAGCGGCGCAGCGGAGCTTTGGCTCGTGGGGGGTGCAGGAGGGGTGTTGGTTGCGGCGGATACGACGGGGGAAGGACATGTTACTATGTATCCGAGTGATCAGCAGACGGTGGGCTTGCTTGCGCCGTTTGAGGGGGGAAGGGTGCCAGCGTATGAGGTCTTGAGGGAGGGGGCGTGTGAGGGAGAGCAAAGTTTTCTGTAGACAGCGAGACTGGTAACCGGGACTCTCGGAGTGGTGTGAGTGTTGCCGCGGGTTTTGCTGTTTTGTTCAGAGATAGACGACGTGATAGTGGAATGTCGATATTGACCCAGATGCGCTTTCATCATGGTGTTCGTCTGTGGAATGGTAGTGAATGCAGCTATTTGTAAGACCGGTCATACGCAGCATATTGACGGTCAATTGACAATGCTGTAGATTGCACGACGAACGGTTGATGTACAATCTATTCGTCGACTCGAAGACGCCCGCCTCATCTAAGTATACATGTCGCATCCATCCGCTCTCTTACTCCGCGTCGCCGAACTCAGCGCGGCCCTGCTTGGAGTTGAGGTACTCGTTCCTGCGCACGTCAGTCTCACCCTCCACACACATTCCTCTCGACTCACCTCTCAATCGCCCACTCCATCGCAGCGTAGCCGGCAATCAGCGGGGGAATGAAGTACAGGACCTGGTTCCGCGAGCGGCGCACGACGTTCCAGAAGCCCTTTCCGATGAAGTTTGCCATCGGGCGCTGTCGGTTGGGGCTGAGCGAGTACGTGACCACGCCCTTGCCGGGTCGGCCACCGCCCTCATAGGGGTTGCCCCAGGAGCCGATGTGCCATCTGTGTGCGGTCAGCCTGCTGCGCGATTGACTGTGTAGCGTGCGGTGTGGGCGGGTTTGGTGCGGTGCACGGGAGTGCGTCGGGCGGAGGATGCGATTGCGGGGGCGTGGCGCGGACGTACGTGTTCTTGACCCTCGCGTTGGGATCGGAGCCGCCGCCAGCCATTGTGAGATATGTTGTCGGGGGGTGGGTGGTGCGATTGGGGTGGTGGGTGGTCGTTGAGTGAGCTTCAGGGCAGCTCTCGCGACGGTCAGTGTTCTGCAGACACGTGACCCTTCAGGCTTGGCGCTGTCAGTGAGTTAAGGCGGCCATGATTGGCTGCACGGCACGAACTCAGGAATTGGCACACATCATGCAGCGGAGGTCACGGACTTGTTGGAGAATCATATTGCAATTGCTATCGAATGCTCGACCGTCGGCCTGCCACGATCGAGCTGCATGTCCAGCAGCGCCGGTCTATCCTATCACCCGGATGACCAGCACGAAGAACACTACGATGATGAGCGCGAACGGCAGCATCATGCGCACGCTCTCCATGTTGCCTCTCTCTATGATCTGGTTGTTTGCCTCGATATCGGCCTCGCTGTACTGCGGGCGCTGCCCGACCGGCCACAGCTCGCCGTACCGGTTGCCCGGCGCCGACTCGTACAGCTCGCCCTCTGGAGACTTGAATGTGTACACCTGCGTGTCGGCGTCGTACCCTACGCGCTCGTAGCCCTCGGGGAGGCGAGAGGCATCCTGGTCGTGTTAGCCGCTGCGGGCGTGTTGCGTGCGAGTCGCGTGACGTAGACTTACATCGTCATTGTCTCTGTACGCCATTGTGGATCTTGTGAACGGGAGTGAGTCTGTGAGGTGGTTAAGCTGTACGAAAACGAGTGTAGATTGATGTACAGCAATCAAGGATTTGTGATGTAGGTTTGTTTGTGAGTTTCAGGATCACGGCAGCGTGCAACATCTATCTCGTACATGAGTGTGGCAGTGCCAGTGCCTTGCCTGAGCAGCAACGTGCGTACCCAGTCGGGGCTGTGAGGTCGCCGAAGGGTAAGGCATCCCGCAGCGCCAAGACCGTAGTTTCCACACTGACGCGACGCCATCCTTCAGGAACATAACACACACTCAGTGATGATACTGAGTTAAGACTGATAATTTAAGACCTGTCATGAGTCGCAGCTGGTGACATCCCCGCGATTGTTAGAGCTCAGATGCAGATCCAAAAACCAGCGGCCTGCGATTGAACCACCGTATATTTCGTAGTCCGCGCAACTCCACAGAAGCAGGTTGCTAGTATTGGAGATCCATAGCGGCTGTTTGAGCCGAGTATAGTTGTCTTAGAGCCTATGGATGCGTAGATCTCAACCTTCATGTCAGCCTCGCTATTTCTCACGGCATCTGTTCGCTGCTTTAGTCTTCCCTTCGAGTCCACACCTCCATATCGCAGACGATTAATCCCAAATGTCTCGTGGTTCCTGACACCTGAAATCCAACCAAATGCCCTCAGTGGGCTACCGCTCGGTCTACCTACCGAAGTTTGCGACCAAATGCCTCACGCTTTTGATCGGCAGACAGATAATTGTCAGCCAGAACCGGTGAAGATACAGCCAGGTTTGCTGGTAGGATGGAGGCGCACGAGTAGACTGCAACTTTACAGCAGACAGCGATGGTCTTCTAATAATTACGACCATATCACAACGATGGCCGATCACGTGCGGACTCATGTACACGGCGGAGGATAGCAACGAGGTCATCGCCTCAGAGCAAACTTGAATTATTCTACACGTCGAAATAAGGTAGCGATCTGGCTGCAGCCCTAACTGTAGCCTCTTCCCCGCTTCGGTGCCGAGTTTCCGCTCGGATTTTGAAGTTTCTTCCTCCTCGTGAGACCGTAGCGAGTGCGCGACCGTCTTATCGAGACGATAACAGAGTACCGTCCCTGAACTAGGCATATGCGCTCACACGTGTGGAAGCTACCATGGTTCGTGGGGAACTGGCGCGTTGCAGACCGGATTGCTATCCACAAGACCGGCACCAGTGGACCTCAAATCCTCGAACCTGGGGATCAGGGCCCACACCATCACTGCACCCTCGGTATTGTCGACCGCTCCTCACAAGGAGAAAGACTGGTTCGTATAAAGAGCCTTGGCAGCTGCGCCGACAAGTCTTGTTTTGTTTTCTACGTTCAATACTGTCGGTGATCTTCTACCGAGCACCTGCACACCGCAACGCCACGTTTGCTACAGCCCTTTCCGTTCTCGGCCGTCTAGCGAGCACCCCGGCGGCGAGCAACTTCTGTCAACGCAACCACCTGCCTCGGTCGTCATACGATAAAGCGATCGGCTGCGTTCTCATCATCGACACACTTAGCTCCACTCACTTCTTTGACATTCGCCATCTCTGACCAAACAGTCACCAATCGGTGTTCCAGATCATTCGCGCCACTGCACCGCCTCACTGCGTGACCCTAGCGCTCTACGTCACCTAGCGACCAATTGACTGGGACCAAGCCGGCATAAGCTTGCCGAGCCATAGATAAGACACCGACGCCTCACTTTCCAAGGCTTGAACACCTTGGGTATTTGTGCTCTCTTGCACACACTCAGCTCACGCAACTCGCTCACCACTTCAATCGATGGGAGAACCCGACGAACCTTCTTTACCGCGCAGTGTCACGTCCAAGGCTGCAGCAGCACTCGGTCTGGGACGCAACAAGCACTCGCAGCCTGTCCTGCCCACCGCCAACAGCCACACTTCCCCAGCGCGTGCCGCCTCCAACACCAGCACCCTCGGCGAGAAGCCCAGCGACAGCCCCAGCAATCAAGATGACCAACTCAATACCCAGGGAGATGGAGATTCGTCTTCCGCCGTAGAGAAGGCCCCCAAGCAGCCGCTCTCCATCCGCATGAAGAACGGCTCGCTCCGTTTCCTCACTCACACCAAAAATGCCTTGACACACAGCTGGATCAACGTCATGCTCGTGTTCGTACCTATCGGTATCATCGTCAGACTCCTCGATCTCAAACCTGAGATCGTTTTCTCCATGAACGCCATCGCCATCATCCCACTCGCCGGACTCCTAGCGCACGCGACCGAAGTCGTCGCCGAGCGCGTTGGAGATACATTGGGAGCGCTGATGAACGTTTCTTTCGGCAATGCCGTCGAGCTCATTCTGTTCATCATCCTGCTGTCCTCCAATCAAATCGAAGTCGTGCAGGCGTCACTTCTAGGATCCATCCTAGCAAACTTGCTGCTCATTCTGGGCATGGCCTTCCTTCTTGGAGGTCTCAGATACCAGGAGCAGGTCTACAACAGTACCGTGACCCAGATGAGCGGCGTAATGCTTGCACTGGCTGTCATGAGTCTGCTACTTCCGACTGCATTCCACGCTGCGTTCAGCGACAACGCCATTGCCGACCACGAGACGCTCTATGTCAGTCGCGGCACCAGTGTCATTCTGTTGATTGTCTACGGCCTGTACTTGCTTTTCCAGCTGAAGAGCCATCGCTATTTGTACGCCAGCACTCCTCAGCACATCATCGATGAAGAGTCGCACCCGGGTGTTCTAGCTAGCGCTTTCGAGTCATCCAGCTCATCGTCGTCGTCTTCCAGCTCCAGCTCTGACGAAAGCGATGGTTCTTCGCGCTCTGCCGGCACACTCCAGCGCAAGGCCAAACGCATGGTGCGCAGGCTTCGCCGCAAGTCCAGTGCAAGCTCCAAGGATGCTTTGGCTCAGCCGGACCTTGGAGGCGCACGCATCGGCAGCGCCGACAGGAACGCCAGCGTTGGCAGCGCTATTCCCCGCCATGTTGACGAGCCGATCATGAGTGGCGATGAAGCCGACGAAGACGTCAACGCACCTCGCGTCCGGGACTTCGAGGTCGCTTCACATGCATCTGTTCCTCACACCAAGCGCGAGAAGCGTAGGCACAAGGACAAGAGCAAGAAAAGACATCGCCAGAAGGAGGACGTTTTTGATGAGAAGGCAGCAGTGCCGGAGCCAAAGCCTAAAGTCGCCTTTGCCGAGGAGGTTCAAGAGGGCGACGCTGCTCCAGTAACTGGGCGCCGGGCTTATCGACCTGCTCTTCCTTCACTGCTTTCCAACAACGTCTTCTCAAATCCGCAGAACCCTACTCCCGTCGGCACACCCGCGCCAAACATCCGCATGGCAGCTCCTAGGGCGCCCCTCCGCCGGACCCGGTCGTTACCTGAGCGCATAGATCGTACACCGTCGCAGTCTGGCACTAATAATGCCAACGCGCCAGCACCTCTTCAGCAAGCTGCGATCGTCCATGATGAAGACGATGACGAGCACCCTGTCATGTCCGTCAAAGCCGCCGTCTTCATGTTGCTCATCAGCACCGGCCTCGTCGCCGTCTGTGCCGACTTCATGAGTGACGCCATCGAGCCTATGGTCGAATCCTCCGGTGTCAGCCAGGCCTTCATTGGTCTCATCATTCTTCCCATCGTTGGTAACGCCGCCGAACACGTCACTGCCGTCTCTGTGGCCATGAAGAACAAGGTCGACCTGGCCATCGGTATCGCTGTTGGGTCCTCAATCCAGATCGCCATTTTCATCACGCCCGTCATCGTCATCCTGGGCTGGATGATGAACAAAGAGATGACCCTCTATTTCAACATCTTCGAGACTGTCGCACTCTTCGTCACAGTTCTCGTCGTTAATTTCTTGGTTCTGGACGGCAGGAGTAACTACCTCGAGGGTAGTTTGCTCATCGCCGCCTACGTTATCATTGCGCTTTCGAGTTTCTTCTACCCAGATGGCTGCGACGCATCTGCCATTGGTGGCAACCAGAGCACGTGCACCGGCAACACTGTCGTTCACGCCGCGCAGATGGTCAAGCGCCTGGCCGGGTATTAGTCCAGCAATAACTCGGCTTAGAGAGCCTGAAGCTGGCTACGATTAACATGACTATCGGCGATGCTGTCATCTAACCTGCGCATCGTACGATTGTGGGGCTTGAGCAGGTGAAGTGCTCGCCCCGGTGGCTATGTCCGCCCTTACGAACTGTCTTTTCCGATCAGATATTTAGAGTAGTTTAGTGGTATCACGTCTTTGGTACAGATAATATCACACGTTACGATACAACCTGACCCATTCTTGTGAAGTCCATCGCCCCGTGCTATCTTCCGGCCGAGAAGCGCGATACTATATGGAAAGCCAACGAGTTGCACTCACGATTTCACGCCCTTGTTGACGTGCATCTCCACGCCTCGTACCCAGATCTCAATAACCATTCGCAAAGACACTGTGATCCGCGAGCACCCCAATAACAAGCACACACGAAGGACCTCACAGGAGCAGAGCGAAAGCAGAGTGGCGAGTGCATACATTCAATCCTCTACAATACACGATCCGCAAAAACACAGCACGAGATTTTGTAGCCTTAAAGGCTTGTACAGAGCAAGCAGTAACTAGAATTCCCGCCGCAGTGTATTCAGAGCCTCCTTAAACTCTCTTAATTCAGAAAATAGATGGTCGGTGTCGTGGTGCGGCCAGCGCGCTGCGTAGTGTCGTGCTTCGTGTGATGAGAAAGTGGTGTTTGCTTTGTGTGTGGGTGTTTGTTTCGGCGTGTTGAGTCTGTGTGTATCGATGATGTGTGTGCAGATTTTGTGTGTTAAGTGTTGATGTGGGTGTTGTGTCGTGAGTTGGAAGGCGGCGAGAGGGGGCGTGGGTGTGCGACGCCAGGTAAGAACCGGAGGTTTAGAGGCGTGAGGTGAGTTTATGGGTTCTGTGTCGCGGCGAGGAGGGTGGAGATGGTCGCTGGCGATTGTCATTTCCTGCTGATGTCCCTTTGCTATCGCTATCTCGAAGGGGTTGGGTTTTGACTAGGTGAGTACGGTCGGTATTGCGCTCTTGGATGCGGTGAGCGGTGTGAGTAGGCTGCGTGTGCTGCTGTGCACGACTAGCTCGGTGTATGGCTTTGATGGCAGTGGTACCGTAGACGAACGGCTGGCCGTGATTGTCGTTGCTGGGAGAGGAAGCGAGGGCTGTCATCGAGGCGTTGCTCAGGCATATATACCGGCGTTCTGTGGACTACTGGGTACGGGCGCCGTATGTATCAACCCGTTGATCCAAGGCGAGTGTACTGAGGGGGCCCTGGAAGCGTGGAAGGTGCAGAGACATGGAAGGGTAACGAGGAAGGTCCTTGTACAAGTTGCAGAGTAAAGGAGCGCAGAGGATCGCATTTCGATGATTTCGTGCGTCCGGCAGTCTTCGCTCAAGTCTGAGTCTGCGCACCATTCCTAATCTCGACTAACTTGGCTGGATTACTGGCTCTGACACCGGGCGATCTTACGGGATACCTCTTCACGAAGCCCGCGAAGAACTTATCCCGCACATCTTCAGGGCTTGCATTCTCCCATGCGTTCTTGTCGTTGATTGGCATTGGTGTCACCGAGTCAAGCACTTTGTCCACCGTCTTTGCCAGCCGCCGGCCCTCGGGCGAGTCGAAGCCGCCGAGAGCCTGCCATGCGATCTTGGTAGCGACGAAGCTGATTGTGTTGGACTCGTATATGCCTTCTTCCCGCTCTTGTTCTTTGAGCTCGAGGCACTTCGAGATAATCATTGCGGCGTGGTTGCGGAGTATGGTGTTCGCGGGCGACGGGTCGAGCGAGTTGATGATATGGAGGAGACAGATGTGGACGGTGTTGTAGAGCATCAGTGCGGTGGCTGAGATGTAGTTTGAGACTCCTAGCTCTTTCGCTAAGGGACTCAATATCTTGGCTGGATCTACTTGTGAGGCATTGAAGCTTTCGTAGTCTGGATACAGTTTCTGAAGGTCCTCTAGAGTTTCTTGCACACGTTGCCGCAGCGGTTCGTAGGTCCACAATGGCGCAGTCCCGTTTAGTAAGGCGTTGTGATCGCTTTTGAGCTGTGTACAGTCGGCCAGGCAGTCAAAAATACGGTGTTGGAGCTTCATAAATTCAGTAGCATTGGCCGGCGGTGGCACGCGCTTCCATTCGTCTCTGGCGTAGAGCGACGGTCTTGATTCTGCAAGTGCGCCTATGATCGATAGTATTCGCAGTCCTCGAAACATGGTCGCAGTATTTCCAATGGTTTCTGTCGGCGGTCCGCGCATAGCCATGATAGCCTCTAACCCGCGGTGATGCTTGAAGAAATTCTGTGGACCGGTTGGCAGGAATATCTCGAGCAGCATGCAGGTTAATGCTGTGAGGATCGTCTCGTCGGTGGTCTGGAGGTCGGGCTGGGTCAAATGGAAGTTGAACTGCCGCAGAACCTCGCCGTACTGAGCGTAGCCGCGCCGAGTGATCTGAGTTTGGCGGTGCTGCTTGCCGAAGAACGTTACAGACAAGCTAAGCATGGACTGTCGGAGAAGATCAACGCCTGGATTGCTGAGCTCGAATCCGGCTGCCTGAGCCTCGATCATGTTACACGCCAGCTCAACTGGCCCTCCTCTCAGTAGGTTTTTGCGCGTGTATGCCAGACATATCAAGTCATCAAATGCATCAAAAGAGAGCTGCGGCGGCGGAGTCGGACTATCGCCGGACAGGATAAGAGCAGTGTCTGGATATGACTCGCTCTGGAAGTCGGTGTTCTGACTGATCCACGTCGCTTCCTTTGGCCCGTCGCATTCAAGGCCTCTCTTCTTGCAGCGAAGACACACTGGGCGCGTCTCGTCTGAAGATGTTTAGGACTTTTATTGCATACAAGCGATCACGGAAACACTCACCACATTTGACGCGCCGTTTTCGACAATTAAGGCACCCCTTCGAGCGCCCACCCCTGCTAACCATGCTGTCGACGTTCTAGCGTGTCAGGTGGGGGCGAGATCTCCGCATCCGATTCACGCGGTCGGCCAAATGCTCTGTTTTGCTTCTGCTGATTTCCGCCGGAGATTCGAGATTTGCGCGACTGTGTTGCCGCTTCATTTTCAGTTGATGAAGTGCACGCTGTACGTGTGCAGGGATGGATCGACGACGTAGTCTGAGTGGCTGAGTCTTCGGTGCCAAGCCCCGCTCAACCTCCGACATGACAACCCTCAGTACGCGGCCCGCCCACCACTTCGCATCTAACACTACATTCAATAAGCACATGCTCCATTGTCTGAATACCAGTCCGGTTGGACCAGCATCAGTCCCTCTATGCCGCGATGTGCCGCTGAGCAAGGCCAGTCTGCCAAGGCACGGGCCTCGAATGATGTCAAGTCACGTGTCTGAGACGCCGAGGTCGATCTCGTTGCAACAAAGAAGTAGGGTGGGGAGAAAGACGAATGGGCAACAACCATAACAACAGTAGCCTTGTCGCCTCAGTGTATGACTGTGAGCACCTTGTATGCCATATCGCCAGGATGTTCTACAGTGTTAGGATGAGTCTGCAGCTGGCTCTAAAGGTAGGTAGGTTTATGTCGGCTAGTGTGTGGACTGATCTCGCGCTCAACTAGCATCTCGGTCAGTGCCCCTTGGTACATGATAAGTCTCTACATTAAGGCAAGTATGTACTGACCTGCGTATCGGATTCATGTCTCAGCACCTGTCTTTGCACGACGGGTGTCATATGTAAGCAGCCACATCTGCGATATGGCTATCACCGGCACCGCTTGGTGAGAGAGAGGATTGATTCATGCCATGCTTGCTCCAGCGGTCTCTCACCTTCACCAGCTCCACGCCGCTAGCTCCGCAAGGCTACCTAGTTACTGTATATCAAGTCACCCACGCTGAGCACTGCCTCGTACCTCTTATCACCGCACTCCCATAATCAGCATGCTTTTACTAGATCTACCTCCAGAGTTATTTCAGCGGATCATTGGGATCCACGCCACCACAGTGAGCGCTCGACGGGCTGCTAGAGCGCGCGAGGTATCCAGTAAGACGAGCATGCCGTTCACTTTGCGTTCCACATTAACATCAGCTAGAAACATTCCGCGATTATATCAACGAAGAGCTGTTCGCGAGACAGTCGGTCAGCAAATTTAAGGCTCGTGAAGGGAAAAGGCTGCTCAAGAAGAACCTAGCCTTGTTTCTTAGCTATCGAGCGAAGGCATTGCATGGAGCTCCAGGCTTTCTTCCCGAACTCATTCATGCTACAGTCGAGAAGCTTGTGGACTTCGTCGGGTCCGCGGACCTTACAGCACGAACTCGGTGGACCGAAACGGTTACGCAGGTGATAGCTCGCCGTTATGGCTCCGTCAACGCCGCGATTGCGCCCTACCTATACCAGCTTCGGGATCTGAAAGATGATCGAATAAGCTATACTGCTCTTGCCGTGGCGTTGTATGCCAGAGATACGGATGTGGCTGCAGCTATGATCGGAGCTGGGATGAATCCTTGGGATCAGAGCTGTCTCTTCAGCTGTGCAATCTACATTACAACGGAAGTGAATGATCTTCACATCTTGAAGATGCTCCTTTCCGCCGCCGACAAACTCGATATGGACATGAGTAGTGAGAGTCGAAAGAAGCTGCAGTATCGGACAATTACCAGGTCAATTCATAACGCAACTCATGCTGGTTATTGGGATGTGGCGGTATTGTTGCTCGTGTGGGGTGCTACAAACATCAAGAAACCTCCTTGCAGTACTGTCAAGTTCTGGATGGAACGCGCAGCAGCAGCCGATGGTCTGGACTTTCTCGACAATATTCGCAAGCTTGGTTATATCCGGCACAGCATCAGCAACTATGCACATTGCATTATCCGGGGCCTGCTCAGAAACCCTATGCCCGATTCAGCCCTTCGGTTCTGTATTCGAAATGGGTTGTTAAACGAGCACAACAAGACCAGCACATGTAAAAACACTTCTTATCACCATCTCCTAAATCTGGCTGTCTTGGAACGGAACATCCTCCTGGCTAAGGCTGCACTTGCTGTCAATGCATATGCCGACCAGCCCGCCGCACTTAGAACCGCCATAAGCCTCGGCGACACATCCATGGTTCGGTTCCTCCTTGACAGCGGCGTAGATCCCGAGGGACTGATGCATCCGCCTGTGGAGAAGACTACGTGTGAGCTTGCAGAGCCTGATTCTGAAGTTTACCATGCACTGAAGTCTGCAATCCACAAGAAGATGCAACGACTGGGCACAAACTATCGTCCGCCACACCAGGTGGTCCGTACCAGCAAGAAAGATCCAGGTGTTTATGTGGCCTACACCTTTCACGCCCCCAGACCCTGATTACGAGGCTCAGACAGCGAAGCTCTAAAGTCTACGACACATACCTTTGAGCGAGCTTCACCCCCCTGGCGATCCTAAGTCTCTTGATATATTCCAATCCCTTGATTCCTTCATTACGTTCGTTCTCTTTCACTGTTAGGTACGAAACATCGTATACGATCTTTTCATTACCCATGCCTCCCCTTCTTCGAAGATCAAAGTTTCCCCACGCTCAGAAAGGCAGTATCCCCAAATGAAGACATCTCGCACAGACAAGCATCCTGCAGCTACGAGCACGGGTCTACATCGTAGATATTGAACCTATGATCATTACAGCAAGCGTCAATTCCCTTAGTTCTCAGCTTCCCAATATACAATCTTCACCTACGACGCGTGGTTGTACCCATATTCGTACATGTGAAACGTTTAGTGATGGAATCGATCTGTCATTAGGGCTAATTCAGCTACTTACTATGAAGCTCTTATTACCGTACAGAAACGAGCTGCAAACCCATCTTGAGGATAGCTACATACGTCCTCTTGACGCTTACATCCCCGCATCGCGCCTTTGAACTGCAACCTCCACAGCTCTACTTGGTTTGGCGCTTACTTACTTGGCACTTTTAAGTTATTAGCAGTATTTTAAAACTTTCTTGGTAAGATGATGTTATTATTCATAGATATGGTCCTACACCAGAAAAGCCCTTCTAGCTACAGGAAGAGACACGAATTTAAACGATACAAAGGCTCTGTAAGTTACCTCTATCCCGAGCTGTTTGCAAAAGCTTACTTGTGTCAACGCTATACAGATATGCCTCGCCAATCAGCTCATACTTCCCCTCTGTCGTCGGTCTTATCAGATACGGAACACTAGCACCATCGACGATACAAATCGCATCACCCGCTTGTACCAGTTCCGATCCCGTGCCCAAAACATTATGCGTCTCTGTCCGAAGCACCCGTCTTGATGTATCATTTCTGCCAACGAAATATACGAAGGGCATTGCGGAGTAAATGGCCAGCGAGCACAAGGCGTGGGATGCTGAGTTATTGCTCGAGTACAGATCAAGGTCGTTCCGAAGGCGTGCGTCACCGCGAGACCATGGTAGCCCGAGGGCTGCGAGGTGACACTCTGTCTCCTTGATGATTGCTTTTATGAGCGGTTCAGGTCGGTTGGTTTTCTCGTGATAGTACTTGTCGTAGTCCTGTGCTGACCGGCGAGTGATTGGGAAGTTCTCGTGGTGGCCCAGTGCCGCGCTGATGCAGACGAATGTGAGCCAGCCTTTGAAACTCTCGTCGGTCAATCCGTACGGTAATGGCCCATCAGGTGTTGTGGCTGTTGCGTCTTCGATCAGTGTGCGCCATAGAGCTCGACGTCTTTGCTCTGAAGATAGCTCTAGCTTGAAAACCAGTTTAAGCCACCTCCTGAGTCCGGATAAGTCGGCACCTACATCGTTGAGTCCCGTGTCAGCCGTCTCAGAGACTGTGTCCCAGATGTAGGCGCGCACTAGAAGCTCATTCTGTGGTGTGATGCGTACTGTCGAGGTGTAGAGCGAGCCGTCTTCTTGGTCAAATTTGGCATCAAGAATCTGTACCTGCGTGTCGTGCAACGCATTGGTATCGATACCTCTAATACTGACAGGGGTTAGATTGTCCAAATCCGGTAGCCAGGATGGCAACCCCTTGCGCCGCTCGTGCTTGCTCTTGCCGCTCAGCGATAGCGCAGAAGGCCCATGCATAGCAAGCAGGCTCTTCCCAACTTCCAGAAACAAATCTCTCGCCGACCTTGTGTAGTCAGGTACAATGCTCCTTGGCCCTCGTGTTGTCGGATACTGTATTGAAGCGAAATCAAGAACAGCATAAACTTTGTCTCTCGCATCAGCGCACTGCTGATGCCGACTCAAGTTCAAAGCTGGCATCATGGACAGCCGGCCTTCTCGTTTGAAAGCCATCCTCTGTCGATGAAGGCTAATGGCTGGTATCTCGCTCAGATGTGGTTTGCCACTGAGGTATGCTGCTCGAGCATATCCAGTGGCGCAGAGATCTCTTTTAATACCAAACATGTAGCCAAAGCTGCCATCAAGCGATACAAGACGACAGGCTTCAACGATGATCGACAGGAAGACGAATAAATCCCAAGGTAGTAAGTATGGTCCACACACTACTGTTAGGTCTTTCGCCATGAAGACTTCTTGCAGAATCCAAGCTCTATTGAACCAGGCTCTTTGAAACAGCGGTACTCCAAGCATCCAATTGTCGATTCTCTCTTGTCCATTAGTGTTCAGCCAATCGACGGCGGCAAGCCTAATTTTCGAGCTTTGTGAAACCACAAGTCCAGCTACGGGATCCTTAACCAAGTCTTGCAAAACATCTGGAGGGATTTGGTCTGCCTCTCTAGCAAACTCCAATCTCCAAGAACCTTGCAGAATCTCCTCTGTATTGTCATGTCGATCGTGAAACTCTCGGCCAAGCCATATGATGACATGCTCTGCAGCTTGGAATATCTCACCCATCTGAGCGACTTGCAATGCTTTTTCTGAGTCGTCTGCTTGATTGATACAGATCTGGAGAGGTCGTTAGTAATTTCATATGGCTGTGACAAAAGAGCTCACTGACAGCATCTATCCAGAAATACTCGAGCTCAGTGACCTTAGGCCGAAGAACGGTGTTTTTGCCGTATACAGCACCCATTCTCTGGGAAAGGAATCGTTCAGTGTCTCGCCATTGAGGTTGATGGGAGTTTCTTGCTTCCTTGCGAGCAAGTTCTATGGGTGTGTCGCCCCACTCGTCGGTTGCATCCATGTCACTACCAGCTAGAACCAGAGCTTTTACAATGTCAACATGAGCCATACGAGCAGCATGATGTAGAGCGGTCCGACTTTCTCCATCACGGGCATGTATGTCGGCCCCTTCTCGTAGCAGCTTCTCCACCTCCACAAGAACGTTGTTCCACGCTGCTTTCATGAGAGCAGTGGACGCTGTGCGGTCTTGCGGCTCCTCGGGCACTTTGCCTCGAAGTCGGCGAAGCGCTTCGTAAAGGTTCTGCCCGATTTCCAGTGGCCGGCCATTGCAGCGGATCCTTACGTTCTTCTGATAGGTATCCTCGACCTTGGGGGCTGTTGGAGGAAAGGGGCTCCCCCATGTGTAAGACAGAGCAGCGAACTTTGGGCACGTAGCCATGTCGACTTCAATGATTGAGCATTCTACAATATCTGCGTCCTCACCTGGAGATGCAATTCGGAGCAAGCGAAAGTTACGTTCACTACACAGGGGTTCGTGTTTGAAGAGCGGCTTGTCTGAGATTGTTCGGGCTAGGAGAGCTCTTCTTGCTTCTATCGCTGCACCTTCATTTGCGTCTCTCTCCTGTCTTGCCATCTGATTCATGAATTCTGGCCCCGTGTGATATGACATTATCCCTGACTCTTCTCGCGTCATCGTACGGTCCAGTGATTGGTCCATGCAAGCAAGATAGCCACAGATGTTGGCAATGCGTTCTTCCAGATCGACAGATTCTTCGTGCCATCCGCCATCGGAGGTGTACAACCTAGCGTGGAGAACAGTGCCTTCCAGCCGAGTGTGACTGGCGGACATACTGTAGTTTCGGCCTTCCCACGCGAATTTACCATAATGATTGCCGATGTATTGATCCAGGTTCAGTGTGGTCTCCCTGTATTCTCCCGAGGAGGTTTCGCATTTGGCATAGAGGATCTCATCATGCAATTCAATATTGCAGCTAGATCTTGAGAAGTTCGCCATAGCTATGACGTAAAAAGGAGTGTAATGTCAATGGAACAAAGAGCTGACTAGGGAATGCTGGTACTTGCAATTGCTTCACCTGTTTGTATGTAGTAAGTTAAGAGAAGAAAGGAAGCAATAGCAATTGTCGAGGAAGAGCACAATACTTGTTTATTCTAGGAGCGCCACTATGCGGGAGGCCTTAGCAGATACCTGGATGATGTAATGCGATCGACACCCCAGGCATGCTTACGCCGGATGCACAGCCAACTTGGCATTCTCAAATGGATATTACAGATGGATAGGGTTCCCGGAAGCAATAAAGTCAGGAACTTTAGTAGAGCACCACGCGCTCGGCACGCCGCGGCCTATGCCATAGGCCAAAGAAGATGCCTCGAATTTGCCTGTATCTGCACTGCCACAGTAGTTGATTGTTACTGACCTGACCGGTAGGCAGGCACAGAACAACAAGGCTGCGTGACCCCCAATCAAGCCAAGGCATGCAAGTTCCCGTCATTGTCAGCAAGATCGCGCTAAGGCCAGTACATACCCTGGTAATCATCTCCTCCGCAGCGCGCACACCTACCCCGCTATATACTCCTCATAACGCAGCAGGCGCGCTATTTTGTTGTTACGAGAGAAAGAGATATAGGGATAAAGAGCAAAGAACTATTGCTGCGAGATAAGAATGCAAGCTAGCAGATCCTTAGCTTTGCAGCCTCTTGCACCTAAATCTAACCCCTAGTCTTGTTGTAGAGCAGTACGGTGCACAGTAATGGCAGCGGCGCAGCAACAGCTACGAGCCCCTTGGAATCCTTTCTTAGTGGTTTTGAGAAGGAAGAGGAGAAATGTAGCAGCGCGATAACAAGTCTCCCATAGCACAGAATCTAGGATGATATCGAGAGGGTGATTCCACAAGTCAGATTCCAAGGGGTGGATTCAAGGGAACTTCAAGAGGTGTGGAGCGGATTAAGCGCGACAATAAGCACGATAGAACCGGTATCCATGTTTGTCAGGCAGCTTTCGAGGGATTAAGGTAGCGTAGAGGCGTGCGAGCCGCGCAGCAACGACGAGAACAGGCATGGACGCACGTTTTGTTGGTTTTAGGAGAGTGCAAGAGGTAGACTTGGAGTGCATTATCATAATTTGACTTGTGCTTCTGCTGCATTCAACTAGAAAAAATCCGTGATATCCACCTGGGTTGTTGCAATCAACTTCCAGTCAGCGAGAGCGGCGTCGCGGTGTATAGATGCGGTCGCAAAGTATTCGTCGCTTCCGATTGCATCTCGAAATGTCTTGATGCTAGGATATTTCACCAACGCGACCGCATCCCAATGCTCGTTGTCTTCACCAACAACTTTCGTGCCTTTAACACCCAAGTATGTCGATTCCAAGCCGCCGTGGGGACCTGCGATGCGATTGTATTCCTGAGCATATCTGACAATCCAGGCTTCTTGGCCGCTGCATGGTGCGTGGGGGCTTCCTGTTGGGTACTTGGCTTGGTCATGGAAGCGAAGGAGATTGACCATAACCACAGGCTTGTCTTCCGGGTAGTTTTTGGGGACGTTGTCCAGAAGGTGGCGCCATTGTTCTGTTTTGGACATGTTGATGGTAGGACGTGTTTGTGAAGTAGTTTGTTGTCGGACTGTGAGATAGGAGAGCAGGTTCTCAATGAGCTTTAAAGCGATGTTGGATAGGACAAAGCTGAGGCCACAAGTTGTGCAATAAACCTTCCAAGATATTATAGAATGCTGCATACATGCAGATCGTTGATCGTCGTGTGGAGTTTGAGGTCGATGGGAGATTAGTGATGTCTCAGAGATTAGTGATACTATAGTTGTTCGGACCACATGCACATTGTGCAACATCTGCTCGGCCACACGTATGGCCGCCTTGATCTGAATTGACATTTTGATCAGTAATTACGCAATACATGATGGTGGACAGCGAATGTTCAAAAAGGTGATTAGTGAATGGCAGATATGCGGTGAGCCACCTATCCTCCCGGTACAAGCCTACGGGTTCGTGTCACAATCCATCTTACTTTCCCTTTGTGCGGCCGCTTCAATAGTATTTTTGGATTTCGAGGAAGACTTGAGGCTCTAAAAGTACATCCTGGACTGTCCAGTGCGTGAATCACAGTCTCTCGTACTCCGCACAGTCCTGAATCAGGGTGCCATCTTTGAGCTTCTCCAACACCGATGCGGTCCTTTTTTTCAGCTCCATCTTCTTGTCTAACAGCTCATTGAGCGATAATCCAGTGGAAGACATCATGCCAACACTGGCCCTACTGATTTCTGCCATCAGATGCCATTTCAGTATGCTAAGTTCCCTGCCTGCCTGAATGCTCGCCTCGCGCTCCAGGTATGTCTCGCTGACACGCCATCCGCATGACGCTGGAATGGGGGGCCTATTCGTTATAAACGGCGCGATGTGGTTGTAAGCCAGTTCCGAATTGGGTGCAGGGTCAGGATGAACTTTTGGCGTTGTCTGACCTCCACAAACGGATATGTACAAGGAGCGACAAGAAGACGGTAAATTGGCAGCAACATCGGCCCAACTATAACCGAGCGTACCCAGATAAACATACCTAAAGACTACCCGCTTCAGCTCCGGCTGCACTCGAAGAAATTTGATTAGCGAGGGTGCATAGAGTATCAGGGTACCAAACTGTAAATGCTCGAGTCTGGGAAAAACAAAGGTGCCTGTTTCACTGTCTGGATCTTCGCCCCAAAGGTTTTCCAACAAGTGTTCTCCCCTATCAGGGAGATGGTAGTGAACACGGAAGAAGTTGTTAAACTCTAGCTTCCGTAGTGTATTCCGAGCACAACGGAAGAGAGTGCGTAAGGATGCGGGACCACCACTGTAATTGGCAAGCATCTCTACTGGGCGGTACAGGTCTAACGATAAAGAGGTGAGTGCGCCAAACAGGTGCTGCACAGCCGGAGTCCGGGCAATGTCACGCCCTGACACGGTCGGAAGAAGTAGGTGTTCGATGCGAATACCAGCTTCCTGGACCGCATTACCCAGCGTCTCGAGATGTGCGTTAAGGATATCAAAGTCGGAGAACTGGCCTACAACTTCCTCACTACTTGCGTTAGCGGAGACAGTGCCGGGTTGTGGTGACATACTCGACGCGTCCCTTTATTCCATGTGCCTCAAGCTCACGTGTGGAGTCCCATTGCATGACCTGCAGGCTGTGTAATTTAGGCATTTGCTTGAACATACGCACCAGAGCAGCGTGGTTAGCATGATTCCTCTGCTCCTGCTCCAGAACCTTGGCATCCCAAAAAAGTTCCGCTTTTGAACTCGCTTCGCGTTCTGCTTCGGGCCTGTTCCGTCTTGCTTCTACTGCCCGCCGAATCCCAACGGACCCCCATTCATCGTCCGAGTCCCACGCATCGGACCCGTCGTCCATTTCGTTCTCGCTGACCTCCACATTGATCTGCTCTTCAACCCAGTCGCGATACTGGGGCCAAAAATCTACGCTAGCGCTTCAGCATACTCATATAGACCTGATCATAAGACAACATACTGGCGACATAGACTTTCGGACTGTATTGTAATGTTTTGGCGTACTTTGATATGCCCAGCCTCATCGCCTTGTCGATCGTTGTTTCCAACGAGGCCAACTCGACAGGTCTCGTAAAGTTTGTGTAAGTCGAGTCGACGGGAATCCGAAGCAGAGCATGCTGATCGCTGACTTGGTCGTCCCCGTGAAATGTGAGGGTCTCGAAAAGGAAAGGCTTCGCGGAGGCAGCTAGTGAGACACAGGTGCGCGAAAGGGCGAGAAGGTCAACACGCGAGAGGTATGAGCAGACCTCGGTCTGTAGCTCAGCCGGTAGCCTCTCCATATTTTGTTAGTGTATACGTAGGTTGGAGGACGCTCAGATGGCTGGTGGCGCTGAGTGGTAGCGCCGTCTTAAGACAGTTAGCGCAGTCTTCAGGAAGGCAGCAACGGCGGTCGCACAGACCTGGGATCCTTGGCAGCACTCCCTCTTGGAACTTCCTTACAAAACAAATGTTGGTCGTCTCGTCATGTCGGCATGTTTCCTTAGGGGATTGTCAGATAGATGGAAGAATGCAGGTGCCTGGACTTGTGCACGGCTGGATACGTGACGCTAAGACAATTCAGAGGTACCTGCATTGCATGATTCATGTTGAAGAACAAAGTAAGAACGTCACCGGGAAACGCAGCTGTACAGCTGTCGCTGTTACTGTGAGTGCAAAGACACATGCTTGTCAGCAGCACCGAATGTGGTATGTCAAAGGTCTTTTCCAAAGCAGACATGGAAGTTCAAGGCTGCCTAAAGTTGGAAGAGCAACCTTGGTAGACGCGAAGATTGCTGTGATTCATTCAGATGCATTCAGCCATCGGAAGCGCGGTGGTGGTCTTATAGTTGCAATAGAAGCTGTAGCGCTACTCTTTCACATTAAAGTGGGAGACTTGGACCTTTCCAAATTTCACCTACTCAGTATTTTATAATACAAGGATCCGTCGCAAAGGGATAGGTCAGTAAATGAACGTGTACGAAAGAAGCCTCACCACAGTATGGCTGCACCGTTGAAGACATGAAGTGACGCGCCTGCGTTAATACTAGAACACTTCCGCCACACGATTGCACAGTGAAACAATTTACGGGTCTTCACAGGACGCCTATCATTGGCTGAAGCGAGTCCGATGTATTACTATGTACAGTTATGCCTCAGAGTCATCAACCGACGCATCCCCCACCCTCAACTTCTTGCGCAAGCTCTTTGAGTCGTACTGCTTGAACGACTTGCGCTTGAAACCATCCCGGAGCCGCCAGAACTCCTGGTCATCCGCGGTCGTGCCAACCGGCATATCTTCAGGCCGCAGCGGAAACAGGCCCACAGCTTGATTGGGCAGCATGCGGAAACAATACAGCTTCTTGGAGACACATCGGCTACATGCAAAGTTGGGGTCGCCCCTTGACAGGTAGCAGCGGTAGTCGCCGCGACACTCCATGCACTTCGCCCGCGGGACCAGCTTCGAGTGCCAGCTGTCGCCGTTCTGCTGGGTCACGAACAATACCTCCAGAGCAGCTCAGACGTCGGCGGACAGGTTGGCAAAGGGAATTGTGACGCCGTTAACGCGGGCGGACACGTGCGTGCGGAGGTCTGCAACGGCTTGGGGCCCTTGGTCAAGCCTGGGGACTGGCTGGCTGGCAGGTGTCGGCATAGGAGGCAGCGCAGGAGGAGCAAGAGCATCCGAAGCAGGAGGGAGGACAGCAGCAGGACGAGCAGGCGGGGGCTGGAGGTTGACGGAGAACACGCTCTGCATTGACCTGAACTCTTCTCCAACCGCCTTCCTGAGTTGGCTGCGTTGACGGATGTCGGCGTTCTCAGCACGCTCGAGGCCCTCAGCGTAGTTGCGGTCGAGGCCCTGGATGTTGTTGTTGACGGTGGCTACAGCGCGGTGCACGTTGCGGTCGATGATGTGGTGGGAGGCGTTGACGACTGCAAGTGTGTTCTGGACGTCTCGGTCAATGGTGGCCAGCTTTGCCACGACCTGGCTCCGGAGCCAAACTTTGTCGCCAAAGTATTGGCTGTTCTCGTTGCGGAGGGTGTTGTTGACCGCAAGCGTGTCTGTGAGCTTTTGTCAAAGCAGCGCCAGCTTGTCGTCAGGCTCCTTCACAGCAGCTCGCAAATTTGCCTCCACGTTGCGGGCACCCTCCCCCCTTCGCTGCTTAAAGTCGACGTCAACCTCCAGACGTGCGACTTGAGCGTGGGCAGTAGCAATGTTGTTGTCACTGCGGCGCGAATTTGACTCGTGGAGTTGGAGAGACCGGTCAAAGTTGGCTTGCATGTGAGCGATGCTGTCGTTGTAGATATCGTCCAGCTGCTAGTACATGTTGGTGAAGTTTTCACGCGACTGCTGGAGGTAGTCCTGATGAGCTTTGACCTGTTCTTGATAGTACTCGATGTGGTGGTTACGGGTGCGAACCATCTCCTCGAAGTTATCGCAGAGATTCGTAACGTCGTCAGAGCACTCCTCGGTAGTACGTGCGTACAGTTCCGCGTTGAGTGAGGCCAGTTTAGGGAGGCCAGCGGGAGCAGCGGTGGCGGGATCGGCGTTGGGCGGCATCGTGGAGGTTGTCAGGTGCCTAGGCGAGCGTCAGCGCAGTTCATTTGTGTTGGAAAAAAATTAAAAATGCGTTCCCGTCACGAGATGAGGAGGATGCAAAGATGGCTGTGGAGGAAGAAAAACGGGCAATGGGGGAGTTTTGAGGCTTCATATATCTGTGGGCGTCCGCCGAGCTCCGTGAGGAAGTCACGATGGAGGCAGGCACGATTGTCAGCCACACAGCCAGGACTGTCTCGAGCCTCACTGGATACATAGTCTGTATGATTAGTCTCCAGCATGTCCATAGTATGACTTGATGTAGCAGGCAGGGTTGGCAAACAAAATGGCTCTGTTGAACACGAACGCGCGGAGCTTGAGCTCACTACAGAATATGCTGCAAAAGCTGCGAGAGACGCCCGGGATAACAAGAAAACAACTTCAGCCACTAGATAATTAAATACAGCATCACCAAGCCAGGTCAATGTTGAGGTGGAAAGCCTGTGCAGTCTAGTCGACGACAGGATTGCGAAGATCGGGCAGCTGGAGGAAACGACGTCGACATCGAATCTGAGCACGTTCTTTACCATGGAGCAGCAATTCCAACAGATGCATAAGCTGCAAAGAGAGTGGCGAAGGAGGGATTGTATGGATGTACATGACAGTCAATTTGAGTTGTTTGTTCCTGCCAAAGACGTCACTGCAGTGTTGGGCTCACTTCACCGGTCAGGTATATAAGCAGCCACCCCTCGACTCTTACAACCGTAGCGGCATCTTTCCACCCACCTCGAACTAGCGACGAGAACGCGCATTTCAATTTTTTCAATACGGCCTCTAAAGCACACGCTGACTTCACACAGGTCAACATGGTCTCTACTCGTCGCCAACACGCCGCCGCCGCCAACCCTGCCAACGCCGCCCCTCCAACGGATTCACCACAATTGCCTCCCACTGTGTCTTCCAGTGCGCCCAGAGACGCGAGGAATAGCAAGAAGCGTGCCCGCACGTCAGAATCCGGGGCCTCCTCCCAGACTGCCACCACCACAGCTAGCTTAAGTGCTGAGATTTTGGGCTTGCGTGCTGAGATAGATCACCTCAAGACGCAACTTGACGAGGCCAACAGCAACAATAGCGCGCTGATAAGGTCAATGGCCTCGATTTCGCCCATCGCCGAGACACAGCAAGCCAACTTCGACCGCCTCACCCAGAGCCAGGAGCAGATCATCACCAGCTTGCGAGATATCAAAATGGGCCTCGAATCGCGCGTCTCTCTCAGGGCCGAGTCAATCCAAGGCGGTGGAGCTGAAGCCAGTGGCCAAATCGAGAAACTCCAGCTCGACCTCGCCATCGCGACACAAAAGCTCTCCCATGCTGAAAACGTGGATCGCATCAACAAGATCGCTCACAGTACCCAGCTGCAGTTAGCCAACATGAAGGCAACATCTGCGCGAGAGGCTGAAGTGGTTGCACGCGAGCATCTTGCAGCCAAGGCTGAAGAACTCGCTACATCTACCGCTGATGTGAGAAGCCTGCAGTCTGAGGTGGAGCAGTTGAAGCAGGAGAACGTCAAGCTCGCTACGGACAAGACGGATCAAGCCCAGAAGATGAAAGAGAAACAGGACGAGTTGAAGAAGCTGACGGCAGAGTTGGAGGAGGTGGAGAAGCTGAGAAGGGAGACAACGGCGAAGATCGATCAGCTCATGAAAGAAAAAGGAGAGGCAGTGGAGAGTCTGCGACAGGAGAAGGAGGAGAGGAAGCAGTTGAAAGAGAAAGAGGAGGCTAAGGCGAAAGAGGCACGTCGTCAGGAGATGAAAGCTATCGCAGAAAGTATGGCAAAGATGTAGTGCTACAGTGTTCGATAAATCTACCTCCAATTTCTGATTTGATACACTACAAGGACCTTCCAACTCATCAAAGTACTAGCTGCTGAAGCACTAGCTGCTGGTTAGCAGCTGTGGTGGCCGCATACTCTATCTGAGTCCAGATATCGTCAATGGCAACACGGGCCTGATCCCACTTTATGACCTGTGATAGACTGTTCCGAACGTGGCTGACAAGTCCCAGCAGCGGATTGGTGCCCTTTTTGACAGGAAAGCGCTTGTTTCCATGTTGATCCGTGGGAATATCGTAATGAGGCTGCTTATCATGCTGGCAGATGTGGACGCGCTCTTGCCAGAACGATGCATTGCCTGCAACAATGTAGATCTGCTGGGCCCGGGTGATAGCAACGTTAAGCCTCCGCATATCTGCAGCATGCCCAAGGGAACCTGTCTGTTCTCGAACGCTGCAGAGAAGTGCACGATAACGACAACGTTCTCTGCACCCTGGAAGCTGTCGACTGTACGTGCTTGGATATTGCGACCTAGGAATAAGAGGGCTTGCTGTATTTTAACAGTCTGAAATGAGTACATGCTGATGATGGTGGTCTTCTCCTCGTGAATGCCAGCGTTGTGCAGGGCGAGGGCAAGCTGGATCACTGCTGCTGCTCCGGTTGGGTTCCAGATCATCTCTCCAGATGACTCGTTGCTGAAAGTGTCTTTCAAGTCAAGGAACCACAGTGCACCGTGACTATGGCTGGCTGCATGTTCCCATGTATTCTTGAACATGCCGTTGAGCATTCGGTGTATCTCAACGTCAAACAAGCGGTCAGCATCATCGTCCGCAGGAAACTTCCCAGCTGGGTGGCCCGACACCATCTTTCCATGGTAGATGAGCTTGGAGGTGGCGTCGACAATCTCAGGATGGCTGCGGTAGTTGCGAATCAGCTGCACAACAGGACGAGAAGGGTATACCGCCATGTGTCGTTCCAGTGGTTCTGCAGTCCATACGGACTTGATAGCCGGGAAAAGATGACCGGTCCAAGTTGCTTGGTGTCGCCGCAGAGCAAGACCGCCTTTGGCTTCTGCGTCATGAATGGGAGGAGGAAATCTGCCTCTTTGGCCGGGAATAGCTCGTCGAACAGCAAAGCATCGCTTCCGAAAGTCATTCGCTTTAGGCAGCAGACAATGGCAATGGCACCAGGCCATCTATCTGCAAGGTTCCAGTTCAGACATGTAAAGTTTGAGAGGAAAGATTCGAGAAAAGCAGAGCTAGAACAGGAGAAGTGTGAGAGTTGAGTCCATGTTTAGTGGCCAACTCGACAATTTATATGTGTGTTTCGCGTATAAGTGTAAGAAATAAGAAAGAAGAGGGCAGTGGTTGGTAAATATATATGTTCAACATAGAACTTCGTGAGATTGATGTCTCGAGCGACATTTAGTAAGAGAGAACTAGAGCAGGCCAGGCCATGACGTGAAAAATGTGGTGGTTCAAAGCGGTGCAAGTTGCACAGGCACGGAGCGAACCAGGCGGATATAGCGACGCCTACGTAATAATAGAATAAGCGTTGAAGTTTTCGGTGAACTTTAGGGGACAAATTTCAGGTCAGATCTTGTGCTGTAATGTGTCAACCTTGTGTGACTTTGAGAAGAGCAGAGAAGAGCAGTAGGCCATACCAGGTGCTCTGTGAATGTTCAAGACGTCGATATCGAGAGCGGCATACAGCACAGCAGCCCCCCACCCCATGGCGAAAGAAAAGACTTTTTTGAGAGTGTGCAAGGTATTTATAGGATCAGGGATGGCCAGCGGTATACGGCAATTGCCATGAAATCTGTGGTTTGTACAAACCTTGTGCACAAACCTTGGAAATCCGACTGGGTTCTTTTAGAGGAGTGGATAAGTCCTCACAGCAAGCATCATAGCCGTTTTGCAAACTAATTTCAAGAGGACCCACTACTGCATGTCCTCGGTATTTTGAGAAGGATATGGACCAGGGCCGCAGTGAAATGAAAGGCCATGGCGTTAGGCAGATTGAACTTCGAGAATACGGAGGTGCTTAGAGCAAGAGCAGCAGCTGACGACCGGAACGGCAGGGGCAACAATAACAGCGGCAGTCATGGAAGGAAAGTCCAATATTTCTGAAAGAGAGTAGGGAAGGAAATTTGAGGCGTGAATTTCGAAAGGCTGATTTCGAGAAAAACAAAGAAAAGCAGCACACCATTTACCGCCAGGAACTTCATTTCGGGAGGGTAGAAAAACCAGCGGTAACAGTAACACCCATGCCATCTGTTCTGCCATTTGGAATTTCATGCGGATGAAAGGAGAAGGACGGCACGTCAACAGACTGCTGGCGTGTTCGCATCCAGTTTTTTGGGGACAGATCTTGATTTCGAAACGGGACGCAGAAGAGCATACGAATGGCGTCTATGACATTGGTAAAAGGACGTGGGTAATTCAAAGGTCAATAGAAACAGCCACACCCATGCGGCGGCGGTAATGGTGTTTCAGAGATAGCAAGAGCCAGACTAAAAGCCGGCAGGCGGATTCTAGAAAGGAATGGGTTATAGCAGAGAAGGTCAATGCACCGCAAGAGTCTTGTCTTGCAAACTGATTTGGCAAGACTTGGAGGAGGGCAGAGCAGGAAACCGACAGCCATGTAGATACGGAAAGTGCAATTTTATGCCGATGACGAAAAGCAATTTTCGAGCAAGAGACTTCTAATGAACAGAGGTACAGGTTCTGGCTCGTTGATTTCATATTTTTGATAGTGATGCAAATTGAAATTTGATGTCTGGTCCCATAGGAGAACAGGAAAGCAGCCCGCCACCACGCCATCTTGGGCCATCGCACTGAATTTGAGAGCATACGTGGTACTGAAGCAGGCTAGCACCGCACAGGGAAGCAGCCATCAGAAGTATTTCAGGCCGTTTCGGGAGGAAGTAGATGTGACAGACAGTTGGATAGAAAGCAGTTCGAGAGTGCTTGGGTAATAAAGCAGCTGCGTGACACACTAGCAGCTGCAGCCCTCCACATCAAAGTCGCTTATGCCTTCTTTTTCGATTGAGAGATTTTGGTCGATGTAGAAAAATTGAGACAGCGCCAGCACACCATGTTTGGTCATGGAAATGGTTCCGAGTGTTTGCAGAGTGACAAAGTAGAACGGACCAGCACAGAAAAGCAGACATATGCAATGCGTGTAGGGTCTTCAGTAGGAGACCAGGAGGATAGATAAGCAACATGCCCTCACGCCATGGTTTAACGATGTTCTGATTTCGATGGTGTACACATAAAGAGGTAGGCAGAGCAAGGCAGGCCAGGGCTGGAGACATCCATCGTTGTTTCCACGTTTTCAGTCAAAGGGTTTTCTTTTGAAAGGAGGAGTGGAGTCGATAGTAAGATACTCTAAGGGTAGTGAAACAGACATCGATGGCCGGTTCGGTAGCTTTAGCCAGAGGTGGGATACCGAGAATGAGGAAGGAGAAGGAGCCCAGCACAGCAGCAAACATGCATTACTCCGTCCAGCTTTTCAGTACCTGGGAGTCGAATTTCAGTGTATGGAATGACACTTCAAGAGTGCTAATTTGGAGCAGAGTAGCACAGAACCGCAGACATGAAAAGCTTGTGGCTTACCCAGTAGGATAGGATTGCGGCAGACAGGGGTGATAATCTGAGGGCGGCAAGGAGCAGAATAACCCAGAGAAGCAGACATTAGCTGTTTTCCAGTCAATTTCGGCTGGAGGGGGATCTCAGCATTCGAGTGACTCCATTAGCATAAGGACTTCAAGAGTGAGGATCGAGCAGAGCAGCACCGTAGCAGACATCTAGGAACTGCCAATCCAGTTATGCTGTTATTCAGCAGAGGAAGATTGTAAGATGGCGGGTGCCAGCAGAACAGAAGCGCAGCGCGCCTCCAGGCCATACCCTGAAGACTCACTCTTTTCGAGTACGGGTTCAGAGCGACACAAAGACGCACCCACAGACATGAGTTGCTCATGCTGGCTTTCAGTACTTCGTTGGGAGAAAATTCGATCGACAAGGCAGTAGAACATATTCCAAAGGAGCCGCAGCAGTACCGCGGCAGACATGCATCGGAATCATCATCTTTTCGATCATCAAGGACAAGTGCCGTTCTTTGGTGCAGGAAACTTCGATTTCGCGCGGATACCGAATGTGGCAGGTGAAGGAGCAAACTAACGCCGGACAGCAGCAAGTATAAGCTGATCCTTCCGAGGTTTCAGTAAGAGTAAAAGTTTGGTGTGGCACATGATTCCGAGAGTGACAAATACACAGCCCCGCAGCCATGATGGCTTGACATAGTCCTTTCGACGAGAGTAGGGTTTCAGTGCATGACATGAGATCTTGAGAGTACCTGAGTAACACAGGAGCAGCGCGACACAAAACCACACACATAGATCCGATACTGGATCTCTTTGGTTTGGGTTTGAGATCGCAAAAAAATGGCTGAGATTTTAGTGTGAGTAGGAGCTGAGCAGCGCAGAGAAGCAAACATGAGGTCGATTGAACGCCGTTTTGTTTCAGTTTGAGGAGGATTCAGGAGATGAGTGGCTGATACAAGATATCTTGAGAGTAACATAAGAGTAATGCGGCACCAAGCCGCACACATGCGTGGTTTCTTGTTCCCTTTTGGACGGGAAGTAGAACCACAGTGAACAACGTGACATCATGTGAGCGAAAAAGAGGAGCGCAGCACAGCGCTCCAGCCATGATCCGTTTTCATAGTCGCGTGAGCAGGAGGGCGACATCCATCATCTGAATTGTGTTTTAGGTATCAAAGTGTTAAGCAAATGGTATACAAATCCCAGTTGACAAAAGCGCGGCGCGCGACAGCAGCAGACATTTATTGTTGTGATAATCGTTTTCTTGGTGGTGTGGACTTGGGTGGACAGTACAATAAACCTTGACGGTGATATAGGTCAAGGCTTGCAACGCAGACATTTGCTTCTCCTTTGTTCTTTTTGGTACGAAGAGGATATGATGGATAGTAGAAGACGTCCTGAGAGTAATATAGGAGCAATACGGGAGCAGCGCGGCACAGAACCACGAACATGCACCGGACGCATGTTTGATTATGCTCGTATTAAGGAGAGATTCAGTAGATAGCATATTTGCTTTAGTGTATGTATACGTGCTGTCTTTCTATAGTAAGGAATTTTTCTTTAGGTTTTTTCTGTAATTATACGGCGCACCCTGACACATATTGTGGTCTTGAACTAAATCTCTTGCTTCGACATCTAACCACCCTGCTGCTAAATCTGTGATCCCAAAACCGAGCCAGATCTCGTCGTCTAGGAATCCATGGCTCCTGTTTGAGATGACATTTGTATGGTTAAAGAAATACACCATACTTCCAGTCCATATAAAACTTTCGTCGGTTTCTCCTAGGTAATAAAGTTTTTTGCTTACACTTAGCATCCTATAAGGTGGTGCGGCAGCGTAAACAACTATGCGTCGGTCATAGGAGATATGGGGATGGACCGAGTAGTGCTCGTAGCGGCGATGTACCATAGCCAGCATTACCGTGTTGTCCTCATGGGGCTCGCACTTTCCACGGTTGCAAAGCGTCAGGAAAAGCATTGGCGTCGATTGGTGTACGAGTTTGTCTGCCATCATGACATCGTGTAAACACGTCTTCTCGATGCTATGCCAAGTCGAAGATCCAACCCAAGGGGGATACGGCTCTTCTACTGCTGAAATGGAACTCGCACCTACATCCTCGACTATCTCGTTGTCCATTGTCCACCGAAACACTCGGCCGGGTTCTACAACGAAAAAGTGCTCGTTATCGTTCTTGTCGAAAGGCGACTGAAAAGGTGCCCAGTTTTTGTCGCGCTGATAACGTGAGTCGTTTTCATACCCTGGTGGGACCATACGACGTATTCTTGTCGGGGTCTTCAATTGAATTGCTGGCATGAGACGAGCGTGGCCGCCAAGTATTCTTGTGAGCTCAGGCACAGCAACGCGTGCATCGAGTAGGAACATGCCCTGACAGAGAATTTCGTGTTTAGATTGTAAGGTGAATATAAGCAGTGGTGCACCACTCCGTGTCCAGAATAGTTTCATGTCCTCAGGTCCAATATGTTGGTCTAAGATGGGTTCGTTCTTACAATGATGGTCAGGCCCAGCATATTGGTCACCTAACCGCTTGGACCATTTGCACGCGGTGAGCATAGGCCGCTGAAGTGCATTGTACGTCATGTTGGCGAACACGGCAACTTGGCGTGAAAGCCGATATTTCCGGCCATTGATTTCTGTCTCGACGAGAGGAAACCTTGCTATGACTAGGAACTCATGCTCACTTCCACTTGGTAGTTCCAGAATTGTTGGATTCAGGATATTGAATTCTGACTTCCCAACATCTATTGAGTTATAGAAGCCTTTTGGGTTCCGAATACTTGAGAGGAGCCGCATGTCATGTTTCTTTTGGCTAATGGTATCATCTGCGAGATGGACATAGTCTCGTCCTGCGGCGAGGGGGAGCCCTGGTGCGTCCGCAAGGTCACCGATGACGTTGACGTTGGATCGAGTAGCAAGAAGACTGAGACCGAAGAAGGCACTGATTGCTCCTGCAACCATCAAGCGACTCTTGCGGAAACCCATAGTATTTGCGAGTATGATTTGTAGGTATGAGCAATCGTTGACCAACAAACAATCCTATGCCGTGAGCGTGCTTTCGTCGAAGAAGATCCTGACAATGATGTAGAAGAGTACGATTCGCCGAGGGGGGTAATCGATCAATCAGTCCAAGTTATCGCCAAATGTTGCAAGATGGATGTATCACGAAAACAGGGAATTTTGACTGGTATAAATCTTGTCGACATAAGATGATTAATCAACTTGACCGGCGCGAGCGCGATAGATTGTGGAAAGGTAAAAGTTGGATTTGAGATTCGGATACTAATTGATACCTGAGTGGAGGCCCGAGTGCATGAGATCATGATGTACTGTCAGCATCGCTTAATTCAACAAACATAAGTTGTCTAGCTAGGGTGATTAACTGCCGGAGCCGCTTCCCAGACACTTTGTAAGATTACGATATTCACTTTCTTGCCCGACGTGTAAATAAGTCCTGATAACAGATGAATCGCTCCCAGAACCGATGCCAAGAGGATAGGCCTGACTTCCGTATCCTCCGCAGCCGTCTTGGTGGCCGAGGATATACCGTCTTTGTGGCCGAGGAGATACCGTCTTCGTGGATTTGGACCGATAAAGGGACTGGTTCCATGGATTCGCGGTTTGATGCGGTGGAAATATCATAGCCTTCGTCATGGTACATGGGCTATCACTACCTATCCAAATCAAAGACAGAGACTTCTCCAGGATTGTTTCCTGGTGCAGCGTTGGAAGATCCGCCGAAATCATTTGACTGCTCTGTCATTCGCTAACTAATCAAAATGATACACAGTCGTGACTCAGTACCGCAGACTTACTCGTTGATGATGTGAACTCGGCCTAATAGGGAGGAATGAGCGGGCGCTGCGAGCCTAGCTATGGGATGGCTAAGAACAGTCCATATCAAAACGACATGTCTACTTTTGCTAGGGCGTCTTATTTTATAGCCAATCAAAGAACATTGCAGCATGTTATTGAGACAGTAATATAGAGTAGATTTAACATAGAATAGGTTGCTACCTACTTGCCATAATTGGATGAGAGCTGATGGATATACCTGCCTCTTAGGCCTAGTTCACATCATCAACGAGAAAGTCTGCGGTAGTATCGTAATGGACGACCAAGTTTGACTGCATGTGTTTTCAAGACAAGGTTGATTCGTACGCAAAATCACACACTAAACAAGCCAACATAGTTATCTGGTTCTAATCGCCATCGTCTAAAGACTGCTCACTGTTTCCCTTGTTTGACACCCTTTCTGTGAACATTCACTTCTGTCAGCATAGAAATTACCACCGTACCTGCTTGAACCCAGAATCTATGGCTATGGTAGCTACCTAAAATGACCATGAAAATAAAATCATTGCCCAGACTCCGCATAGCGTACTGACTAGTTCTATTCCAAGTCCTCTGATCGGAGATTTCGGAAGTTTGGAGTGATCTTTAGGGCGAGCAACACCTGCCGCATCGCCTTTGAGAAGGTTCTCGCGTTCAGGCATATCCGGTGGGAAAATGGCATAGTAAAGAGGTCTTGAAAAGGCCACAGCATAGGTCGGCCACATAGACGAGGCCCAGAGCACTCGTGGCAGAAGATAAAAGAAGCAAGCCCTTATATCATAGCCATACGATTCGATAGCAGCCCTGAAGTTCATGAGCACCCCAATAGCCAGGGAAAAAGCAATTGCCACAGGAATAATGCCACCGTCAGTGATTAAAATTGACTTTAAACGCGCTCTCAGAGGAGCTCTGAAGGGACGATGTCTCTCATAAAGTTCGTCGGATAAGCTCCCAGTCGACGGGAATTTTGCGGAGAAGGCACTAGATCGTCCACCCAACGATTTCGGGATTATGAATGTTTTCCAGTGGTCTATCGCAAAGTCTGTGAAATTTTTAGTTTTACTGTAGTCGTCGTTTGTGACAACTTACACGTGTTCAGAAAATAGAGGGACATGGCCTCCCCGCAGCTCGCTGCGTATCCATTGACAGTTGCCATTAGACATTGACGCACAAAATTAATGGCATGAGCCGCCGAGCTAATCTTCAATAGAGACATCAGTTGTTCTTCGTGAGTGTACACAACGATAGGCCAGCCAGCAATTAGCATTACTGCTGTTTTGACGACCTCTAGCACCCTTAATGTGGCAGTTATGTTCTGGTAAAGGTACCAGAAACCATATGCTCTTTGCCAGCTGTTTAGATGGCGTGCGCGCTCCCCGAAGAGACAGAGCCGCATTATCAAGCCTGCTTGTACGCCGCCGGTACTCTGTCGTGTATAGTTAGAAACATTCCGATACTGTCTACATTAAAACCACGATGGGATGGTTGCTTACCCAGCGTGTGCGCTGACGGATGTGCGCGTGGTATGTTTCTGGGACTAGACCCCACTGCAGCTCTTCCTGGACGTATGCAGACCGCCATCCTATAAACTGTCAGACAATTTGTGCGTTTGCAGACCACAAATTACGGCTTACCCTTGCCAAGTAGAAGGTGACTGCACAGGAGATCCTCTGTGAGGGATTGTGAAGGAAAGCCTCCTATTTCAGCAATTGCAGTCAGTCGCATGACCCAGCCAGACCCTGTACAGCATGCGATACCCGCCGCATCCTTCAGAATTTCCTCATATCTGTTGAAGACAAACAAAGACTGGGAGAGCGGATCGTTCGTAGGAACATTGTAAAAGCAGGGAGGTGGGCAAGTAAATGCCATCCCTGGATCGAGTAGCAAGTGTGGCAATTGTACCCTAAGCCATTTCCTTTCGGGTATCATATCAACGTCCAATCCTGCAAGAAAGGGGGCTTGTCCACCTGGGAGTTTAGCAGTAAAGTTGAGTACATGATTAAGGTTTCCAGCTTTGTGGCTGTTCGACGGAGTTTTTTGACGTGCCGTATAGAAAAGATGGGTACCAGGATATTGTTCTTGCAGATGTTGGACTCCTTGTTGAACGTTTTTCTGAGCGCCGTCATCCGAGACAATGATGCGCATTCGATCACTCGGCCAGTCTGTATTCAAAGCCGCCCGAACTGTGTCCAGTATTACAGTCAGATCTTCGTTGCAGCATACTATCGCAATGTCCACTGAAGGGACGTCTAGGCCGTACAGCCACAGCCGAGACCTCCAAGAACCTTTCGCTATTACTGATGCATCCAGAAGCTTCTTACAGTACTCGGGTACTAATATAGTCAACACAAAACGTAGTCGTTAACAGTAACAAGCAGGATAAATACCATTTGTGATCATTTCGAGGACTACATAGCCACGTCGAGCTACGAAAGCTGTATTTGAAAAAGATCCACTCGACGCCAACAGCAAGCGATATTGGATCCACCAATAGTAGATGTTTAGGAGGATTGGCAGTAAGGTTGTGATAGGAATGAACCTGAGAAATCTTTTTTCTCTATTAGTCAGTGTGAAGAGGTCTTTCTCATACCCGTCGACGGTGACAATCTTGTAGTGCGAAGCATGCTCTTCACTACATTTCACGAATTTGGCTCCGAAATCTTCAACTTCTCGAACCTCGAGATCTGCCGTTGGAATCAACCCAGGGTTACGAGTATCTGGCTTTGCCATTGTTGGAATTGTGAATGTGAAAGTGAAGTGGTCAGAAGCGTGAAACTTTTTTACTGCATCAATTTAAATAATGTTTTGATTGATTTTAAATGTCCAGTATTACTTGCAGAGCTCTCGAAACTTCTAAGGCAAAGAAACATCATCCACAACGTGCTATCATCAGTGTTTGAGGAAATTCACCGACCGATCTAGCCGAAATCCCTTCGCTGACTGGGCGACAATTGAGCCAGTATACGAGATGCACTAACGGAAAATCATGCTCAGAGGACTCACCGATCATCACCATTTACAGCTTACCAAGCAAAGCACGGTACCCACATACAGCTCGAATGGAGAAAATCAGCTCCTAGGAGCTGATTCTGAACAACCTTGCCTTGTCCCTTCGTACGCTCTCGCCATCTTCAAGTTCACATAGAAATGAGTCTCTGGAGTCACACACAACGGATTACACAATGCTTTCTTACACGGAGCAGTCTGCTGGACCGTGCCAGATCTGTGCTGCTTGCAATTTCTATTCGCCAAGACAGATCTGGATGGCTGGAAATCATGGGGAAGGCGATCTCCCAGCCACCTTATATTGCGTCCTGATTGAGTTGTAGGTGCCTAGAAGGGTCATCTGTGCGTCTCTGCAGGCCTGTGTCATTGCTCGGTCTATCGGTCGTTTTGTTCCTGTTCATGACTCGTTCCAGATGGGAAAACAGTAGGTATGAACGGGATCAAATATGGACTGTCGCTGCTGCACTTTGAACAACACATCTATATCTACCTACCGGTTTGATTTATCTACTTCTTCCTTAAGATGCGTTCCAGCCTTAGTACTGTTGGTCTTGTAGCATTGCTCTCTATAGCATATGTAGCGCCTTCTGCTCTAGTATCTAAAAGAGATGGCAGTCCAGAATATAGACGCTTAGTAGCAAGGCAGCGACAGTACACATGCGTTGATGTAGACGTCAGTCTGCAGGCACAATGCCTCGAAGACTTGATTGAGCTGGAACAAAAGAAGGCTTATGGGTGTAACATTGCAGGCAAGTACCTTAAGTTTTCGATTTGCGCTGCAACGTAATACTAACAAATATCTAGGATGTATTGGTACTTTTGCTAGTATTACTGTACCGTGTGCTATTGCTATCAGCACAGAATTCTCAGGCACATCGAACCCGCCATTTGTCTTGAATAATGCTAATTCCTACAGTAGATGTTGCGGCTGACATTGCATGCCTCAGCGCAGTCCCTTCTTTTGAGGGAGCATGTATCTCTTGCGGATGAGTAAGACTTGGCTCTCACGGCCTGATCTGGACCTAACAGGAGTAGCCTCATTGATTGTACTTGATAGATCAATGTCGGCGAATAGCTAGAAGGTCCGAAAGGCTTCGTCTAATTAGATTCCCCTATGATTAACATGCTAGAAAAGACTTGGCAACAGCCCAAAGACACTGCTTAAGCTAATAGGGATTACTAATGATCTCATAGCTACAAAGGGGCGCCTGAACAGGCTAGGATACACTGTAGTCTCGCAGTGGTATCTCTACAATTTTCAATGGCTAATACCTATGTTTAACAATTTCTACTGCTTTAGTATTGATCCTAGTTACTCTTTACCACATGTTCTGCACATGTATGATATTATAGTACCGGAAGAACCTGTTCCTTTCGGCCCCAGCTAGCAGGGATCAAAAGGGGGTTCTGCCCTGCTTAGAGCCGGAAGGAATCAGTTTCCACGGTATATAGGCAAGCACTAATAGCCTACGTCATGATGGAGAAAGGGCCAAGCGTGTCTATTTATTAGCCTTGATGTCTAGAGTCTTTTTTTCTAGTAACGAAGTGCTTCTACTGCTTGGATCTAGAACCTCCTTATCATCGATTACTTTTCAAGATAATGTTCTGCATTCGCAATTGTTCTGAGGCTAACCCTATTCTGAAAGATGCTTCTCACACCTTAATCAAGCTGTCACAAAGTGAGAGGAGCGATACGGCCCCTAGTATGTCATTAAGTCTACTCGACGAAGCACTTTATATATATGCCTCCGTTCCTTTTCAAGGCACACATGTTCTCACTATCGTTATATGTGTTGTCCCTTTCAGTACGCCGCATCATCGTGGCCAGATATTTCATCACGTTGAGGCGACGTATGCTCAATGTTGCAAAGACTTGGACGAAAAGGATTTCTTTCCAATCATTGCCAACATTGCGCAAGGAATATACAACAACTGCGTTAGTCACCACGTTTGGAACTTTAGGACCAATGATGCATGGTCAGTTGCTCTAATCTCTTCCAATGGTCGTCTAACTCTTATAACATCATGCAGGCAACAGCTACCGATTCCCAAGAAAGTCGTGCAAAAGTGTAGAACCTGCTCAGAAAGAGCAGCCCTAATATTTGGCTACGTTGTTGGCTTCCCAGAAGCTAGACCTAACAAAGAAGTTTTTTTCAGTCCTGTCCACCCCCAGAACAGCTCAGAAATGTGCTTTGAGCAACACATCTCCATGGAAAAGTCACTAGAGCAGGCATTGGAACGTTCCGCTAGCCACCTCGAATACCCGCATGTAAACAAACTGCGTAAACAAAGCAGATCAGAATTGCCAATCTTAAGTCTTGTCCAAAAGTTCATCAGAGGCTTCCAAGACACAAACAACCTTAACGCTGCCGATGGAATACAGAGTCGCATCGTTCCTGAAATAGACACTGCAGAAGGCGAGTCTTTTGAGCACAGCACACTAGCCTTCCAGTGGTGCAAATTCACCTTCCTCCAGTCAAAAGAGCAATTGAAACATGCAACATTCACACGCTTCGTTTCTCTGTGCTTTTTCCTCATCTGGGAAGCGCTCGCATGCGAGTCTGGAAAGGCTGGTGCTCGAGTGGTATGTACATTGAAGGCATCACACAGGCATTCAAGTTTCTAAGGCGAGGACTAGATCAATGCCAAAATGAAGGAGGCGGGGTTTGAAGGGACATCAAGAAGTCTTAAAACTCTCCGCGAAGAAACAGTCTTCATCAATCAGCTTGTTGCAACAGTCGAAACAGAGTATGGAGCAGGGGTAGCCTCATTAGTCTTGTACTTCGTCTTTGGTAAGTGCTTCGGATAAGGCAATTTCCAAACATTGAATTGGTGCAGACTCTTCAAATTATCATCTCATCCGCCTGATGAATCGATACAGTACTGCCAGAAAGAGGTATGCGATTCGGAGAATCTGTCAGGACCTGAATGTCGCTGAGCTGGGCGAGATCACCCTCCCTATACTGCGAATCCACACGATCATAAGAGAGCATATGCTAAGCCTGCAGTATGTTCATGAGAATAACACTGCGAAGCCTTGTTAATCATTGACAGTGACCACGAGGTTAGCCAAGCTATCAGGTTCTTAGACGTTCACTCAAGTACAGTGGCTCTAGAATAGTACCAGGTATTCAAAACATGGCAATTAGCATCCTCACGAGTTTTACCTCGGAAGTCTCCACTTGCACACTACAGAATACTCAAGAAAAACTTGCGGTTCAAGTCTGGATACATCTCTTACCGGAACCAGTACAGCACTGCAGCTATTTGTTAACAATTAGTTCTTTTAAGCAGGCGCACGATTTCAGTATGTAGTATAAGAAAGAAGGAAGATGAAGAAACAACGCCATGCATTTTTATACACCGTCGCAGCGTAGCAAGGGCACACTATGTTGAATCCCTTGGCAATCTTGGAGAAAAGTAGAGAATTGGTTGGAATAGTGCCACAGCTATGCACTTCTTCTGTGGCGTACTTTTGGCAGAAGCAGATTTGCGTGGATATCCATGGTAAGAATCTTCGAAGGCTTATCAAGAGGAAGCGGGGGCAAGTCCAAGGGGCAGAGAAAATCAGGGCGGCACAGACATGTAGTGGGTTTGTTTCTGTTTAAATAGGAGTAGAATTGCAGTGGGCAAGAGGAGACATGCCGTGAGCAGGTAGGAGCAGTGACACACAGCAGGAGACATGTGATACCATCTCTTGCGTTTCAGCAGGCGCGGGGCGTTCAGTTTCTGGTATAAGAAAGAAGAAGAGAGGAAGTAACAGAGTTCATATTAAGTGGCAGCGCGGCACAGGCGCACCATGTTGAAACCACGTCCATACTTCGAGAGTAGGCAAAAGCAGAAGCGTGGCGCAGCCATGCATTCCGATTGTACTCCATTTTAGTAAAAGCAGAGTTGCGGCAGATACAAGAGCCCTGGAAGACTTTCTGAGAGAGAGAGGGAGCAGATTTAAGTAATAGAGGAGCGGTATGGCAAAGTGCCGCAGACATAAAGTGCCTTTCCTGACTCTTTTCGTTTCGAGAGTAGTACAGTAGATAAGAGCGGAGACATTTCAAGACTAGTAGCAAAGCAGCGCAGCGCAGCGCCATAGACATATCATCGTCATACAACTTTTTTGGTAGGTGTTCGATATGTAGTCGGTAGTAGAAGTCATACCAAGAGTATGTAGGAGCAGCGCAGCACAGAACCCGAGACATTTAAAATCCCTCGGGTTGCTTTAGTAGGCATAGCGCTGCGGTGGATAAGAGAAGACGTGCTGAGAGTGGGCAGAACTAGCGCAGAGCAAAGCCACAGACCTTCCGTGGGGTTTTCGGTATTTCGGGGGAGCGTGATTGTAGTGGTTAGGAGAAGCCACTTTATACGCAATAAAGCAGCAGCACAGAGACCCAGGCATGTGGCGATCTTGTGTTTCTTTTAGCTAGGGGAGGATTTCGGTGGGTGGTAGAAGTCATGCCGAGAGCGGGAAGGAGCAGGGCAGGGCAGAGCCGCAGACATACGGCGATTTTGTGGTTTTTTTTAGCAGAGGCATGATTGCGATCGATAGGAGAAGATATTTCAATAGCAGTAGAGGAGCAAGGCAGCGCAGAACCACAGACATTTTGGTGTCGCATGCGTATTTCAGGAGGAGTGCAATCGTGGTATACGCGGTGGACAACAGACGACACTCTGATGGTAAGCAGAACAGCGCAGAACCGCAGACATATTCTGTGTCTGGGGTTAATTCAAGAGTCGGTAGGAGCAGCGCAGAGCTGCAGACATACGTTGCTTCTATGATTGCTTTCGCGGCGGCGGAATCAAAGTGGATAGTGAATGAGTGGAGATAGTTCAAGAGTGCCAGAAGAGCAACCACAGACATGCTGATGTTCTTTTCTTTGTTCTGGTAGGGAGCGCACTGCGGTAGATGGGAGAAGAGATCTCGTAGGTAAGGAAGGAGCAGCGCGCACACAGCCGCAGACATGGACTGGATCCATGTTTTCTTTGGTGGGACGGGATCGCGGCGGGCATTAGAAGACTTTCAAGCTCAACCAGAAATAGAAGTAGGCAGCGCAGCACAGCACCGCATCGCAGACATGGAACCATTCCCAACATCTTTCGATACGGCGAGCACAGTGGTAGATAGTAGTAGATAGCAGAAGGCATTTCCAGGAAGAAACTCAAGTAGCGTGGTGCAGCCGCAGACATGGGTCTCCTTCTGTTGTTGTTTAACACAAGCACAATAGTAGAAGATGTTCCAAGATCGAGGGATAGATACAAGCACCTCGCACAACGGCGCACATATGCATCGAAAGTCGTACACATTTCGGTGCGAGGATGATTGTACTGGATAAGAAAAGATCATCAAGGGAGAAATGGAAGGCCAGTACAGCGCCGCAGGCATGTTACTTTTGTGAATTCTTTTGGTCAAAGGAGCAAAACAGTGGCTAGGGGAGGACACTTGGAGAGTGGCAGAAGAGCAGCGCAGTACAAACCCACACACATGCGTGATCACCTCGTGTTCTTCAGCAGAAGAAGAACTGCCGGGACCAGGTAGGAGCAGGGCAGAGCGGCAGACATGTGTTGATCTCGCGTTCTTTTCGGTAGGGGTATAATATCAGCAGATGGAAGAAGATATAACAGGAAGAAACAGAACAGCCCAGAGCCGCAGACATAAGATACAGTTGTATTTTCTTTAATAGGTCGAGCACAGTAGTGCATGGTAGAAGATATTTCAAGGGCGATAGAAGAGCAGCGCAAAGCTGCAGAGTCGCAAACATACGTTGTTACTTTACGTCTTTCGGCACGAGTATATGACAACAGCACTCGACAGAAGCTACTGTAAGCAGCGCGGCACAGCGCCACACACATACAGCCGTCTTTACGGCATTTCGGCAGAAGAAGAACCGCAGTGCACAGTAAAAAACATTCCAGGGAAGAATCAGGAGCAGCGCGGCACGGCACAGAGCCCCAGACACGCAATCGACCTCTTGCGCGTTTTCAGTACAGAGTTGGTTGTAGTGGATGGTAGGATTCGAATGGGTGTCGAGTGAGGAAGGAGCAGCGCGCACAGCCGCAGACATCCAATGTGGGTCTGTCTTTTTTGAGTGCGAGAATGATGGTAGTGGAGGTAGAAGAGGTCTCGCAAGGGAGGAAGGAGCAGCGCACACAGCCGCAGACATTTGACGTCGGTGAGGATTTTTGAGTAGGAAAATGACGGTGGTGGAAGTAGAATAAATCCCGCAAGTCGCAAGTAAGGAAGGAGCAGCGCAGCACAGCGCCACAGACATTAGTTTGCCACCACATGTATTTCAGTAGAGTCAACATGCGAGTAGGTTGTAGCAGATATTCCGACGTCAAGGAAGAAACAGGGGCAGAGTTCAACAGCAGTAGACAAGCAGCCCGCACAGCACCGCAGACATCGGTGAATATGGTTTCTGTTTCAGAAGTGTGATTTCAACAGCAACGAAAGAGCAGCACCGCACAGCGCCGCAGACATTCTTTGCCTTCCGCTTAGTTTTAGGGGAAGAAGAACTGTACAAGACTTTGCCCGGTTGATCCTCGCAGCGCCGCAGACATCAGAGGGTCCCTTCCCATTTTGAGTGATGGCAGAACAGGTGACGCAAGTAAGGAAGGAGCAGCGCGGCACACAGCGCCGCAGACATGGAAAGGCGCCCTCTCGTTTTTGGTGACGGCAGAACAGATTCCGATTTCGAGAGTAGCGGGAGCAGGAGTAGCGCAGGCCCGCACACATAGACGGGTCTTCGTTGAATTTCAGGAGGGGGTGCACAGTGGTAGATGAGAAAAGACATGTCGAGCGTGAAAGAGCAGGGCAGCGCAGGGCCACAGACATGATTGGTCTGAGTATCGTATTTCAGTGACAGCAGAATAGCTTCCGATTTCGAGAATGGCCCAAGAGCAGCGCACAGCACCGCAGACATGCGTGGCAATCCCGTGGATTTCAGTAGGGGGTGCACAGTGGTAGATGAGAGAAGATACTTCAACAGTCGTGGAGAAGCAGCGCAGCGCAGCGCAGCGCCGCAGACATGACGGATCTGAGTGTGGTATTTCAGTGATGGCAGATCAAATTCCGATTTCGAGAGTGCGCAGGAGAAGGCCAGCGCAGAACGGCAGACATTTGTTAGCCATTGCATGCATTCCAGGAGACATGTGACCGTACAGTCGATATCTCGAGAGCGGGAAGGAGCAGCACAGCACAGCGCAGAGCCGCAGACATTCTAAGGCCTCGTCTAGTATTTCAGTGGTAGCAGAACAGCTCACAATTTCGAGAGTAGCAGAAAAGCAGCACAGAGCCAAGACATTTGTGGCACGCAGCTGTATTTCAGTAGGGCGAGTACAGTGGTGGATGAGAGAAGGCACTTCAGCAGTAGTGGAGAAGTAGGGCAGCGCAGCGCAGCGCCGCAAACATTCTCAGACAGCATCACAGATTCCAATTCCGAGAGTAGCAGAAGCCTAGCGCAAAACCGCAGACATCCAACAACGGTTTCGTCATCTCGGGAGGCCTCAAGTTGCAGTCAACAGTCGAGCAAATCCCGAGCGCAGACAGGAGTCAGCACAGCACCGCACCGCACCACACAGCGCCGCAGCCATAGAATTCTCGCATGTCTTTTTCCGCCGCCGCAGCCATGTGTTGCTCAGAAGCATTTCGGTGCGTGGTTGGCAGTAGATGGTTGAACAAAGTAGGAGACAGAGTAGGAGACAGTTGAACAGAGTAGTACACAGGTGAACAGATTTCGAGCGACGCAGGAAGCCGCAGACATGCGCCTTTTGATTTGATGCTTTCTAGTGATTATGAGGTGATGACTGCGGAGGGAAGGGGAATGGCATTGGGAGGTGGCAGAAGGGCGTCACACGGCGCCGCAGACATGGTTCTCTCGTAGTCTTGTTTTCGGTGGACGGCGGAGTGTGATGGATGGTTGGAAAGCGGGAGAGGGAGAGAAGAAAACGATGCGATTTTATACACGCTCCCATCCAGGACATGCACCTCACTCACCCATGTGAGCCTTTTACACACCCACGAGACCTTTTGACCCCGGTACCTAAACAACCATCCCCTCCACACTCCCCACCGGCCTCCCCGCAACCCCCAAACACCCCTCCGCCACACTCTTCCTCGCGTCCTCAGAACTCACAGCCTCGCCGCCAAGATACATCTGCCACACCAACCGACTAACGCGAGGATCCCGCACCGTGCCCAGCGACACGAGCTCGCCCATCGCACCTTCCCCTCCCTTAGCAGCCGCCGTAGGTTGAAACCATGCGCCCAGCTCCCCCCTCCCGTCGCGGGTAAGCAGGATAACGCTCCCCTTGGCGGCTTTCCCGCGCCCGGTGAACAGCGCCTTGAAGTCCTTCATCGCAGCGCCGAACGCGTCGTCCGCGAACTCACTCTCCTGGACCGGTTTCGGCAGGGAAATCGTCTTCTTCTCGACCGCCTGCTGCTGCAGGAGGAGTTGCTGCCGCCGCCTGACTTCGTCCGTGCGCCCCGCGACACCCCGCATCCAGCCGTCCTGCAGGTGCTTGAAATCCGTGTTCCGCGTGGGCACGACGCGGAACGCCATATGTACGTTTGGGTCCGCGAGGAGGGCGTCCCACAGCGCGATGCTGGTGGTTGGGTCGAGCAGCGCGGAGCGCAAGGCGTCTTTTTCGCTGGGGATGAGGGCTGAGGCGCGCGGGTTGACGGCGTGGATGAGCGCGGTTTGCAGCGCGGGGAGCGACGCGGTCGAGATGTACAGGCCCAGGATGTAGACTTGCACGCGCAGGAAGGAGACGCGGCGCGGGCCCAGGCCGAGGAGCGTGTATTCCTGGTCTGTGACGGTGCCGTCGGGGGCGGTCGTGGGGACGCGGATCGTGCGCGGGAAGTACGGGATGTGGGTGCTGGCGACGGGGACGAGTTCGACGGCGTCGGCGTCGGTGGCCTGCGGGTTCGTCGCGTCGGCGGGCGCCGCAATCACCTTGTCGCCGGCCGCGACCACGACCCGCTTGCCCTGGAACTGCTCGGCGGCGGCGCGCGGGGCGTCGGTCTTGGTCGGCGGGCCGAGCACCATGTCGACGATGCCGCGGCTGGCGGTGGGGTCGGGCGGCGTGTCTTTGGGCTCTTCCGGCAGGTCCCACAACCGCACCAGGAAGATCGGGGCGATCATGGACAGCGCGGCGCCCAGGGCGAGCCAGTTGCGGCGTTTCTTGAGGCGCGCGATTTCAATCAGGTTCGCGCGGTGCGTCGACACCGAGTCGAGCTCGGGGCGCAGGCCGCGGCGGTGCGTGTGGCGCAGGATGGCGTGGATGTCGCCACGGGGGACGTTCGAGGCATGGCGGCGTGCGGGGGCGTGCAGGCACTGGAAGAGCGGGCGGCGCGTCGACAGCATGGTGGTGGTGCAGCATTGTGGGGCGGAGGTGAGGCGGAGTCGGTGATGTCGTGCCAAGGCCGGGCGCGTTCGCGAGCGCGTCTCAGCCCTACGACGTCCACGACACGATGCCGCCCCGGATCAGCAGACGGACAGTGGTGAGTGCGCTGGACAATTTATGGATTTCGCTCACACATCTAGGCGGAGGCCCCGCGGCCGGCCACGCCCGACGACGACGAGGACATGGAGGAGTCGCAGCACGGCGGCGGCGGCAGCGTCGACCAGCTCTCCAAGAGCCTCGTGCGCTACGCGCTGTCGTGCGAGGCAGCCCGCAAGCCCATCAAGCGGCAGGACGTCAACGAGAAGGGTACGCATTGCAGTCACGACTATATCCACTACAGTCACGCACGTTCAATCACAACCGCTGACCCCGCAGTGCTCGGGTCGCACGCGCGGCTGTTCAAGACGGTGTTCGACCAGGCCAACAGCGAGCTGATGGACGTCTTCGGCATGGCCATGGCCGAGCTGCCCCGCGGCGAGAGGGTGACGGCCCGCCAGAAGCGCGGTACGTCTCTACATACTGCCCCCCAGACCACGCTGACCGTCCAGCGGCCGCCGACTCAAGCAAGACCAGCAACATGTGGGTGCTGCAGACGGTCGTCCCCGCGCAGTACCGCCTCCCCGACGCGCTGGGCCCCGCGCCGCCCGCCTCCCGCGACGACGCCAGCGCCTACGTCGGGCTGTACACGATGGTGATCGCGCTCGTGGTGATCGCAGGCGGGCGGCTGCCCGAGGCGAAGCTGGACCGGGCGCTGCGGCGCATGAACGCGGACCAGACGACGCCGCTGGCGACGACGGAGAAGACGCTGGCGCTGATGGCCAAGGACGGGTACGTGGTGCGGGTGCGCGAGGCGGTGGGCGGCGAGGAGACGGTCGACTACGTGGTGGGCCCGCGCGGGCGGGTCGAGGTCGGGCGCGAGGGGTTTGCGGCGCTGGTCGAGACCATCTACGGCGCCGACGCGGACGCGGACGAGCTGCAGGCCAAGATCCGCCGCACGCTGGACGTGGCGGGTGCGACGAGCGGCGTGGCGCGGAAGCGAGGGCGGGAGGGCGAGGAGTGATACCCATACTGTAAGCGACGGCTTGATACGAATCTGCAAGCGACCATGCTTGATACCGATACTCAATGAGCGACTATGCTTGATACCATAAGCGACTCTCATGTACTTTAGATGAGCGAGGAATCTTACTATACTCAACTACCATGTCTTGCGACGGATACATGCACGTGAGAGCCAGACAGTGCACCCCGGCTCCAGTGGCACGGTGACAGCGACACGGCGACAGCGACACGGCGATGAGCGCAGGCTGTATCCCAGCTGCAATCACGCTGCAATCACAGCTGCACCCACAGCTGCATCCTGCTGCACGCTACTCCCACCTGCACCAGGCCCAAGGCGGCGCTGACGGAGGCGGGCAGTCGAGCCGCCCGCTGCACCTGGCCCGCCCGCGTCTCCGCGCCAATGCAGCAGACCAGCGCCAACGCGGCGTGCATTTTCTCTCCAGCCCGTCTGTCGTCACTTGGCTGCGTCTCGCCATGCACCCGCAGCCCCGACTCTGACAACGAGCCCGCGCCTGCGCACGCCCACGCCCTCGCCCGCGCATACGCCCACGCCCTCGCCTCTCCACACCATGAGCAGCATCAACGCCCTCCTCAACCACGGCGCGCCCGAGCGCCGCCCCAGCCTCGACCCGCTCCAGCCGCCGCGCGACGCCGCCGACGCCCTCACCACGCTGGCCACCCTCGGCAGCGGCCAGCAGTACGCCGCGCCCGAGTCGACCGTGTCTGCGTCGACCGCCACACCAGCGTCGACCCACGCCGCGTCGCCGCCCGCCCGCCGCCCCAGCGTCGCCCACGCGCCCGTCGAGCCCGCGCCCACAGACCCGCCCGCCGCCCGCTCGCCCTCGCTCGCCCACTACCACCACGCCCAGCACTCGCCCGAGGAGCGCCGCCGCCGCCAGTCGCTGCTGACCGACCCGGCGCCCGTGCTGGCCCCGATGCTGGAGCCTGCAGACCGCGTCAAGCACGAGGATCCTACAGACCGCGTCAAGCACGAGGATCCTACAGACCGCGTCAAGCACAAGCCGCACATGGAGGACCAGGACGCGTCGGCCGTCAAGGATGAGCACACTGTCACGGACGAGCACACACGCGAGGCCTCGCCCGCCAGCCATCCCGCCCAGCCCTCGCCTGCCAGCCTCAATGACTCCAACACCCTCGACGCCGACACCCTCAAGGCCATCGAGGCCGCCAAGGCCGACCTGGGCCTGCGCGCAAAGCGCCCCGCCAGCGTCGCCGACAGCGTCTCGCCCAAGCCGTCCAAGAAGCGCCCCGCGCCGTCGGCCGTCAAGAAAAAAGGCACCGCCAAGACCAAGCCGTCCAAGAAGCGCCGCATCGACGACGAGCGCTCCGTCACGCCCACGCGCAGGAAAAAAGGCTCGCAGGCCGGCACGCCCCTCCCGTCGTCGCCCGCGCCCGACGACGACGACCACGACGACGACGACTCGTCCGAGGACCACAACCTGTACTGCATCTGCAAGAAGCCCGACAACCACAAGTGGATGATCGGCTGCGACGGCGGCTGCGACGACTGGTTCCACGGCGACTGCGTCAGCATGAAGCAGGCCGACGAGCACCTCGTCGACAAGTTCATCTGCCCGCTGTGCGAGGCCGCCGGCAAGGGCCACACCACCTGGAAGCCCATGTGCCGCCGCGACGCCTGCCGCCGGCCGGCCCGCCCCGCCGACACCAGCAAGTACTGCTCCGACGACTGCGGCGTGCTGTTCATGCAGGAGCAGCTGCAGCGCACCGCCGGCGCCAAGCCCAAGAAGAAGAAGCCCGCCCACGACGACGACGAGCCCACGCCCCTCGGCGGCGTCCTGCGCGCCAAGGACCTTAAGGCGCTGGTCTCTGCGTCCCCCAACATCGCCGCCTTCCGCGCGCTGGGGTCCGGCGTCCTCTCCCCGCCCCCCACCGCGTCCCCCACCCGCCCCGACTTCCCCCCCGACGCCCTGACCCCCGCCGAGACCCTGCGCCTGACCGCCCTGCATAATGAAAAGAGCCAGCTCAACGACCGCCTGCAGCTGCTCAAGGACCGCGAGCGCTTCGTCTCGCAGGCCAAGGAGCGCGCCGCCCGCGCCGCCGAGCGCGAGAAAGTCAAACCCAAGGACTTTTGCGGGTATGATGCCCGGCTCGCGTGGTCCGACGCTGAGTTCCTCGCCTGGCGGGATAGCGCTGCGGGGTGTGCCGCTTTTACCTCTTCCTCTACACCTGATCCCACAGCGATGCAAGATCCCGCAGCGCAAGACGAGGAGGACATCCCCCTCTGCATGAAAAAACGCTGCGCGAAGCACCCCGCGTGGCAGAAACTCAATCTGCAAGACGCGCGGTTCGAGGAGCTGGAGGTTGTCGAGGCCATCCGCGAGTGCGAGAAGGAAGAGCGCAGTGTCAGGGAGCGCGCAAGGCGGAGGGGCGTTAAGGAGGGGATGGCGCGGGAGATTACGGGGGGGGAGGGGCGGAGGGGGGAGGGGTGGGTCGAGGTTGTTTGAGGGGTGTGTTGGGATTGCGATTGCCATCTGGATCTGGGTATTGGATCGGGTACTGGAACATCGTCGTCGCCGAGCATCATGCGACACATGGCTGTCACGCAGCGTTCACTGCGTGCACATGTCTCCGCCGCGATTGGCACAAAAGCTACTGGGAGGAAGCGAGAGCAAGGCGGAAAGGAAACGAGGAGTTTGCAGCAAGGCAACCCGGGAAAGCAGGCTCTGCCACAGCGGAGGAGAAAAGCGTCAACCATTCATATCAGGTCTCTACTCTATACCTACTATTACTATTACTATTTATTCACCTTCATCAGGTCTTTCTTGACGTTGCTTCCTGTGCGGCTTAGAACTTGCTCGCTTGCTTGGTTGTTAGTATTGCTATGGTGTGCTGTGCTTTGGAATTCGAAAAACACGCTGGCTATCCATGGGCTGGTGTCGTGTCCGAAAAGGCGCGCTGCATGTGCATGTCTCCGTCTTCGGGATCCCGCTTTTGAAGGGGTATATATTCCGCTCGTCCTGGCTCTTTCCTTTCTTCCCTTTATGCACCTTCTCTTTCTGCAGCTTCTCTTTCTGCGCAAATCTTCTGCACACCTCCTCCGCACCTCCTCTGCTTCTGCAATACTTCCTTCTGCAACACTTCTGGTGACACTTCCTGAAAGGTGTGCTGTTCGAACGTATGTGCTGTCCTGCTCTGCTCTGCTCTGCTCCGCTCTGCTTGTTCAAAGACAAGACAGAAAACCCGAAAGGAAAGTGACAATGGCACATACAGATCATGTATTGACCCGAATCCTCTTTCTGCTCATGATCAATGGACGATGAGCTCTGACTCGTTCTTCTGTGTCTTTGGTTTCGCTGTCGGCATATCCTTCGAAATATGAGCGGAAATTGGCCGAGGAAGGTAGGATGGTCTGGTCTGTCCTGCTCCGCTCTTTCCCACTCTGCTACGCACCAACCCCCCAAAAGAGGTGTATGCCCTCTCCACTGCACTCCCCCACCTTTCCCTTACCTTCCTAAACTAAAAACTCTAAGGTCGATAACATCTGCGCCTTCCGAAAGAGAACGGAGACTGTGTTGGGCTCGGGTCTTCGCTGCGCTGTTCTGCTTCGTGTTGTGATACAAGAGCGCCTTGAAAAATGGCGGTGAGAGAGGTCATGTCTGGACTTGTTTTTCGGTGTCTTCGCGCCCGCTGGCTTGGATGCTTGCTTCTTCTCTCTGCGTATCCTCTGCGTCTTTTGGAAGATGGGCGAGAAGTAGCCGAGGAGGGCAGGATTGTGTGTCCTGCGCTGCTGTGCGCTGCTCTGCTCTCTCCTATTCTGCTGCCACAAGCCTCCAAAAAGGGGAAGAGCGAACGAAAAACGTCGAAAAACGACGGGAAAGCCGGCGGAAACGTCGAACGAAAAAGCGGTCGTTAAGACGTCGTATGTCTTGCGGCGACGCTGCTTCTTATATACGCTGCTTACCCTCGCTTCCTCGCGGTTTGCATCCTTCTCCTCCTTGACTCTAGGTTTCTTATATCTCTCTCCGTCGTCTAAAATCATATTGAAAAAAGGCGCATGTCCTGCGTTGCTCTTCCCTGCGCTGCTCTGCGCTGCGCTGCTCTGTTCTGCCCTGCTGGTTCAGTCCTGAAATAAAAGACACCTCGGAGCATGACGATAGATTGGTTAAAGAGGGACATATCTTATGCCTCCTCCTCCTCTTCTGCTTCTCACGCATCATCTCTGCTATGGCTGTTGTCTATCACCCTCTATTTTTGAAAATACCGTTAGCGGTCCCCATATGTCCTGCTCTGCTCTGCTCTACTCTATTCATCTCGTTCGATCAGTCCTGAAATACAAAACACCTCGGAGCATGACGAAAGATACGATCAAGGGCTTCATGTCTTGTGCCTTCTCCTCCTCTTTTTCCACTCTACGCAGCATCTCTGCTGCGGCTTTTATACATCTCTCTCTGTCGTCCAAAATACTACCAGAAACATGGTATGCTCTACTCTGCTTATTCTGCTCTGCTCATTTGGTCCCGAACTCTAAGAACTTTCCGCAACATAACGAAACCCACGACAATCTTGATCATGCCTTGTGCCTTCTCCTCCTCTTCTTCTTCTCTACGCATCATATCTGCTGTAGCTTTCGTGCATCTCGCTCTGTCGTCGAAAGTTCTGACGCAAGTGGGCATGTTCTGCTCTGCTTATTCTGCTCTGCTTGTTCAGTCCTGAAATGAAAGACTTCACAGAACATGCCCAAAGACCTGACGAAAGGATAAATGTCCCGCGCCTCCTCCTCCTATTCTTCTGCACTCTACTCACCCTCTCTTCGCCGTGGGCGGTATTCGATTTCTTCTCCTCTGCATCTCTTCCACATCGCCCTTTAAACTTCCCAAAACGCACCATTAGACAGCTGATGTTCTGTCCTGCCCTGCTCTGAAATATGCTACAAGAACACCACAAAAACGCCTTAGAAAGAGGTTTGGAGCCTGCGGATGAGACTGCCGTTGAAAAACGAAGTCCTCCTTCTGATGCCGTTGAGACACGAAGTCTCTTCTACTCATGCCGTCGATCTTGGATGTATTCTCGCCCCCTGATCCACATCTCTTGTCGTGTACATCTCTAATTGTGCACATCTTGCTTTGAAGTTTCCAAAACAGAAACGGGAGAGAACGATGGGTTCTGCGCTGCTCTGCTCTGCGCTGCTTCGTCTCGCACATCTCCCTAAACCTTTTCAAATTGACAAAGACGTGCCACATGTCCTGTTCTGTTCGGTTTGTTGTGCTCGCAACCACCCTTAAATGATGGTGTAGACGGGGGATGTCTTGCGCCTCCTCCTCCTCCTCCTCCTCATCTTCTTGTTGTCTCTCTACATATCTGTAGCTGCTGTACATCTTCTCCCCGCTTTCTAAATTAGTCACTCGTTCTGATCATGTCCTGCTCTGCGCTGCTTCGTGCGTAAGACTTGAGGTATGTGAGATCATGGGCGCGTGGAGATGGAGGTTGCCTTCTCCTCTCTTCGACCATCCTCTCTTTATTCTTCTTCTTCTTTTCGTCCTGGGGTGTGTTCAATCTCACCTCTTCTGCTTGTCTTACAGATCTCCTTTTCCAAATTCTTGAAAAACAAGAAAGACACGCAATATGCTGGCGTGCTTTGCTCTGCTCTACTCTGTGGTACGACTTAAAAAACAACAAAGGCATTAGAAAGGCTCCCTATGTTTTGCGCCTTCCCTTCCTCCTCCTCCTCGTTCTTATCCTCTTCCTCCTCCTACATATATTGTACACATCTTCCTTTGGACCGCCAAACTCTCAAATACAGACACAATTACGTCATGCCCTGCTCTGCTCTGACTGGTCTGTTGGACTACTCTGCAGCACAAGACGCCTTGAAAACCGACGAACTCAATGGGATCCAACTCATGACCTGCGCCTTCTCTTCCTCCTTCCCTATCTTTCTCACACATTTTCCTTTGAACCACCGACCTCTAAAACTCAAAGCCGATGCAGCCATGCCCTACTCGGTCTCTCAGACTGCTCTGTGATACAACGCGCAGAAAATGAAAGAGAGGTCCTGCGATGAGTCGGGGCCGGTGGCAAGGCTTGACTGCCTTTCGCGCTTGTCATCTTTTCCTTATCTCTCTTAACTATTAAGACTTAAAACAAATAATGGGATGTTGTGCTCTGCTCTGCTTGCTCTGTCGGACTGCTCCGCAGTCAACACGCCTAGAATGATGAAGAAGATCTGCTATGAGGTGGAACTGGTGTCAGGACTTAACTCTTTTTGCGCTTGTCGTCTATTTCTTATCTCTCTTAACCTTTCAAAGCAGCTATCACACCGTAAAATGTTGTGCTCTGCTCTACATGCTCTGTCCTGGGACTGCAGTAAAGACTGCCGCGAAACATAACGAAAATGATGGCAATACAGCTGATGTCTCGCGCCCTTATGTTTCTAGGGTGTATATCTCTGCTGCTCTCTTCTTCGCAGCTCTTCAACGTCTCCCTTTTGAACTTCCTCAAAGATAAGGAATCACACGTGATGTCCTGCTCTGCGCTGCTTTGCTCTGCAATGACATTCAGAAAATTAACAGAGCACCTATGATGGGACTTGTGTTGAGACCTGTCTTCGTTCTGTAATTCTCCTCTTTTCCTTGTAATCCCTCTCCGAAATCTTAAAAATTATCAAAATTTTGGAACATGTTCGGTCCTGTTCTGCGCTACAAGATGTTTTAAAAAACGCCGAAAGGGGGGATGATGCATTTACTGTCTCAACTCTTGTTCTCTCTACTCTATCCTCCTCTGCATCTCCCACAAATCTCCCTTCGGGCTTTCAAAATCACGGTTGAAGAGCGCAATAGGTTCTGTTCTGCTCTGCCTTTTTAGCAGGACCTGGAAATGATGAAAAATGGAACAACAACGATACATGTTGAGGCCTGACTTCTTATTCTACTTATTGTTTCTCCTTCTCTCTTTTTAGCATCTCTCACACGTCTTCTCCCTACCTTTCAAAACTGACAGAAAGCAAGGCAATGTTCTGTTCTGCTCTGTCTCTGCAGCACGACCTGGAAACGATGAAATCTTAAACAACGAGGATGATGTTGAGACCTGAGTCCTCTGTCTACTTATTGTTTCCTCTTCTTCTCCTTCTCTGCTTCTCCTATACGTCTTCTCCCTACCTTTAAAAGTCGGCTGGACGTGAGCCATGCTCTGTTCTGCTCTGCTACACCCTGCAACACCCCTTAGAAAAAGAACAAATTGCTGACGATGGGACTGGTGTTAACATCCCGCTTCTCTCTATCTATCCTTTCTCCGCTCTCTCCTGCTCGCCGCTTGATAACGCCACTGTACCTTATCGCCTGGTTCTGAAAACAACCACAAATTTGAGAACTTCATGTCCTGCTCTGCCGTCCTGTTCCGCTGTACCGGTACTCCCCCCCGTACCTAGATACCCAAGGCCCCTCTCTGCAAAACCTCAAAAGAGATATCAACAAAAAAAATGTCTCGCGCCTCCTCCTCTGCTTCTAGC